TCAACTGTCTTTTGAATTTTTTATTGAATCACGGTGAAATGTATATAGAGGTTTTAAAAGTGTTTCGCTCTTAAGGCGGTTTTTTTAAATAAATTATCAGTACCTAACGAGTAAAAAATGAATCACTGTACAAAAAAATCACTATATGTCTGTCACCAGAACGATAAAAACGCGATGTTCAGAGTTAAAATTTTGTATGTCTTCTGTCGATAAAATAACCCATTTTTAAAATGAAGTAAGGAAATGTTTATTTCCTATCTTTGCTAGATATAAATGTGCGGGATCCTTCGTGTTTGTTGTTTATTTTTTTTTTATAACTTTCTCTCCTCCTTATTTATACCACACCTTTCGGTTCGTATTTGAAATTGGTAAATAATTGGATGTTTTACAGTGGCAACAAGTAAAATGTCGTTATGTAATTGTGTGTGATGATGATTTAAATTCGGCGGTGACCGGACGAAAGCGAGTGTTATGTTTAGGTGTTTACGTCCGACCTTGGCATCAATACGTTACAATGTTACTTGTGTGTTTGTGTGTCACTGCGCCTGCGCCTAGGGTTGCCAACTGACAGAAATTAATATTCGATTGGTATAATTAGGAGAATTAATAGAAGGAATTAATTTTCATTATATAAACGATATTTAATTAAATCGAATCTAGAGGTGTGTGGGGTAAGATTGCAATTGCATTGCCGGCATTACGGTGGCTCAATTTGTCAGTTTGCTCGGTCTGTCGTAAATTTTTTAAATGTTCGTTGTTTGTTCTTTTGGTATGTCATGTTGATTTCTACCGCATTTTCAGCTCTTTCTTCGCTCCTATTAGTCACAGCGTAATGTTTTATAGCCTATAGCGTTCCTCAATAAATGTTCTAAGCAACAAAAATATAATATAATAATTTTTCAATTCGAACGAGTAGTTCCTGAGTTTAGCGCGTTCAAACAAACAAACTCTTCAGCTTTATATATCAGTATAGATATACTTTAGTTTCTGATTTTAAAAATAAATATTTCACTGAATAATAAGTTATATTAAAAAGTCGCAGATGATGTAATCTCTAAACTCGAACAATTTATCTTTGATGATCAAATTACCTGAACAACCTTGTTTTGACAGTTTGCTAGTGACGTCATGCTACTGTTAAATTTAAGCGTAATAATTATAACTTATAATTTGGATTTCGACGGGCTAACAGTAGCAATTGGTAATAATCAACGGATCGTGAGTTGTCCAGCATGTTTCTAATCAAATTAAAATTTTAATAAAACCCTGTTTTGTCCTTGGAAAGTCTGGATAATAAAGGTGGTAAGAAATGCTGTCACTCTACTGGCTGATAAAAGAGCCGAGAAGTTTAATAAAATTTCTGTATATGGATTTCCGAATGAAGTCAATAAATTAACAGCTAAATAAATAATTAGACTACTGTGTCCCGCCCATTATCTATAATATGCTTTTCCCAAGTCCCAGAACCCAGGACACTTAACGCAGTCTTGAATCTAGGCAACACTGCTACGCAATGATACAGTTCTAGTACGTATGTATATACAATCTACAGGTTTATAATATATTTAAATAGAACGCTCTAACGGTTTAAAACACGATTTATAAAAGTTTAATTAATAAATATCGTGTTAAACGTTGAAGTTACATACCACACCTATTAAATGTGTACTACTCGCGTAAACTATAGACAATATTTAGTTTTATAATCTTCTGAATTGAGTTATGGTTGCGAAGTCACATACATAACCTAGAATATATTTTTGACACGCAAACAATCATTTATAACGTTAACGATTTCTTTTAAAATTACCTTCTAAGCGCACTCCTAAAAATAATATTGTAACTGGCTTATTCGTAATCTTGTTCAGACGATAAACTAATTAACTCATTGCATATTGGTCCATTTTCTTTATTTATATCTCGGCAAGCCTTACAAGTTTTCTGTTTCAAGCCGTGTTTTGTTCAACAACAAGACGCCTAAAGAGACCTACTTTCTGCGCTAGGAATTGCGGTCAATCCGTTTTGAGGTTATTCTATTTTCTTTTTCTTTCGATGTTTCTTAATCTTCTGGTTGTGTGGCTAATAATTAATATGCAGTAGGTTTGATTCCGATCGGGTCCAACATATTTACAAAAATCATATTTTTTTTACAAAATATTATTAACCGAAATTCCATCCGGGTCACGAATCACTTTCCTAAGAAATAAAGCCGTGGAGTGTGAACCTGAATTTCGATTTCATTAGATTTCGGGATGTCTAAAGTTAAATAAAAAAAAAGAAGCAGAACGCGGAGAGATACTGAATTGAAAAAAGGGTTCTCTATTTCAAAATCTAATAAAACTTACTTTAAAGGAAAACGTATTGTTACCGGAAATAGCTAACGTTCCCCAAAAAAAAGTTATTGGTCCCAACTAATCACTACGCCGTTCATCACAAGCTCCGATTCCACTATGCCTCATAGTGTGTGTAATTTCATGAGAATTGTATAGTATTACTTAATATACACTTGTAATTAAGATTTTTATTTGCTAATTGAAGCTACAAAAGCATCCCTTCAACAGTTTGACGCGACAGAGTGTGAAATATCAATTACATTTATTTAAGGGGACTAATAAACAACCATTTAAATGTTTATATTATGAACGATGACAGCATTTAAATCTATTAATATCCTGTTGGCTGGCAATGGCTTGGCGTGACATTGGCCAATCGTTGGCGCCTCTGTGACGTCACTTGCCATTATGGCAACACCATTAGCGATTGTTGAATGACAGTCGCATTTGTTTTGAATGCAATGAAAACGCGCTCTAAAATACAATATCTAAACTACTTGATCTGGCAAACGTTTTTTGCCATGATCATTACCATAAAAATGGTTCTTGTGAGTTTATCTTAAAAGAGATCGTTACCTTGAACCGTTTTCCCTGGACACGCAACGTAAAACCCTAAAATATGATTAATTGCATCGTGATATTTTATAGCCTTCCTCGATAAATGGACCAAACAACACAAAAATATTTTTTCAATTCGAATCAGTAATTCCTGAGATTAGCGCGTTCAAATAAACAAACTGTACAGCTTTATAATATTACAGCAAACCTTAACAATCTATGAAATGAGTATCGTCATATACTATGCAAACGTAAAACGTTTTTACAAAACTACTGGTATACGAAGTCCAATGGAATAGAATTTATTTTCTATTGAAATAGTCGAGTTATGTCTTTTTAATTAAGGCTTTAGGGGAAGATCGGTCGTTGGCCGTACCAGGACGTTCTACGTTCGTGTAACCGCACTGCACGCAGACTTAATCGAATCTTGATCCGACAATAAAACGCCATGCGTAAACATCAGCGCGTTTCGAAAAAAACAGCCACGTTTATGAACCGAGCCGAAAACACGACATGGAAATAAAAAATGATGATGTAAAACGGATATATCCGCTTTTCTAAGTTGAGTTTATGGAATATTAAAGATATAATGGTATTTGAAACATCCTTTAAGTAAAATTAATGAGAGAATGGATTACTATACTCTATAGCTAGGGCTCTTGCAAAGCTTCGGGTCGTATTAAAAATACCTGACAACTTTATTTCACCACATGAAGAATTTCGACCAAAACTTGATTACCATTGAAAGGGTGAGACATATACTGTCAGGGACATTTCTTTCAGATTATTTAAACTATAATCAATCTTTCATAAATATTTTTTGATACCCGTTATTGGTACCCATATTGGTTGGTAACCGTTTTCGCAGCACACGCAACGGAAACCTTTTTTCCACATTTCCCAAAAAAATGGAAATGGGAAAAGGTTTCTCCATTTTGCTTGGTTTCAGCCTGATGTTTTATAGCCTATATGGTATAATATGATACATGGTCCAATCAACACAAAAAATCGAACCAGTAGTTCCTGAAATTAGCGCGTTCAAATAAACAAACTCTCCGTCTTTATAATATTAGTATAGATAGTTAGTTAACTAGTCGTATATTAGTATGTAGTAGTAATTTCTAGTTTTAAACCGTTGAGTGTTCCATTAAATGTGTAATACTAACATAAATTCAATTAATAACTTAATAAGTTTTGCATTTTTCGTTGAAATTGCATGGATTATTTATTTATTTGAATATTCCTGAGCTAAAAATCCTGCTTCAAGCACAGTGGATTACCAACACGAAAGTCTATGAACTCATGAACCAGAAATAGGTGCTTATCGAATCGAATTGCGTTTATTCGCGATATTTGGCAGATGCAATGAATGAAACAATTGGTGCACTGAACTTGGCGTATTCTATCGTGAGTCATTTCAGCGAGTTTCAAGGGCCAATGATTTAGGCATGACGTGGTAATGGCAACCAAGGTTGAGGACTGTTCTGACTGAATTCGTAAACAAACATTGATTTACATTTTCTTACTTAAAACATCGCACTATTGTCAAAGACTTCAGAAATTATTTTCATAACTGCAGTTTTTAAATAGTTTATCCTTATACTATCTGTGTCAGCGACTTTGTCCGCGTAGAATCGATTTTTGGCATAAAAATGTGTTTTTGAAAACCTCCTCCACATTTTCTTGAGAGTTAATTTTAAAAGATAGTAATATACTGTGGCGGACATTTTTTTAGATCATTTAAAGAGGAATGATTCTTTCATACATATTTTTGGGATATTTTGAACCGTTTTTGAAGCGTACGCAACGGATATCCACAAGGATGAATAATTTCCTCCGATTTTCTTACATTTACCGCTGTGTATTCACACCTATAGCCTTCCTCAATAAATGCTCTAACCAACATAGAAAATAATTTTTCAATTCAAACCAGTAGTTCCTGAGATTAGCGTGTTTAAACAAACAAACAAACTCCACCGCTTTTATGTTACTATAGACAATGTTTTAATTACAACTAATTCTATTTATTAAATTATATTTTTTTACAATTATTTCTTACTTAGCATTATTAGCTTATTTAATATTAAAATTAGTTTTCCATTGTTACAGATGAACAGGAAAGAGTACAGAAGAAAACGTTTGTTAATTGGATCAATTCACACTTATCGAAGGTAAGAAGCATTTGTAAATGCCATTTCGTTATCGTAATAATAAATGAGGTTATATTTCAAAATAAATAATTAAATTTCCCCAGAGGAGCACGGTGCGAACATATTTCTGTGCCGGTTTCACTGATTGGTTTTATTAACAGGCAGAGAACTGATCAAGTACTTGCTATTCAATCAGAACTCTGTGCCCTGCCTGACCGAAATTGTTTTCTCGGGATTTGAATTCAGGACCTCCTGCGCTTATCGCAATGCTAGGCACATCTTTAACTATTAGGCTACAGAAGCAGTCAGATACAACATTATATAAAATACTTCAATATACATATTTTTTTAATAATAATTTTAATTTAACAAAATATGAGGCCACTAGAGGCAGAGTAGCCCAACTGCAATTTTATGACTTGACTTATGTTAATCTACAAGAGCTCAGTGACTGAAAATTGTTAATAACTTTTACGCAAATAATAGTACAAATTAATTTTCGCCTAAGTAAATTGCGAATTGTTATTTTCCTCATTATTGAAAATTAGCTTTTTTGGTAGTAGGCCACTCTGCACCTAGCACCTCATATATCAGTATACGTACACTGTTTCCTCGAGATTCAGTTCGAAGTCAGGACCTCTCGCGCTCATCGTAATGCTAGGCAGCAAGGTTAACTATTTAGCCACAAAGCTAACTCTGTAGCTTAGTAAGAACTCGTATTTCGAGTAAAGTAACATAATTGTCTATATATGACAACTACTGTATAAGATAAAATTCACGAAAACGTTTAAAACGTTTTTAGACTGCTACGAACTAGCTACGAATTGGCTACGTTAGATAAAGTCAGTTCCTGTATTATTATAATATTGTTTTTACTTCAACAGAGAATACCTCCCATGCGAATTGACGATCTGATCTACGACCTACGAGATGGAACCAAACTTTTGGCCTTACTTGAAGTTCTGTCCGGTGAGAAATTGGTAAGCGATTTTTACTTATTTATCTCTGCGTTCCTTATTATTATTAATAGTGGTTTTTTTTTGTTAGTTAGTTCAAGGACACTATATATTTTATGGTATATTATAGTCGTACCTACTAATAACATCTTAAAAAATGTGGTGTCACCCTATTTCGGCTTTGGATATACAGAAATACACGGACTGATACCGAAACGCGTTTAAATACGGCTTTTTCATCCTTCGATGGTGGTTCATGACCCGGGCGGGATTTCGATATTTCTACCACCCATTTTTTAATATCTAGATTTCCCCGACGATCTCAAACATGTTTCTGACAAATTATAAATTAATTAGAAACACGTTATACATACATGGTTTTCCGAATATCCAATGCCGAAATATTAATAGCGCGTCTTGTTTAGATGTTATATGGTTGGGATATTCCACCCACCATCAAGTGAATGTTTGACTCTTTTCCTCTGTCATATTATAGGGAATAGTGTCGCGGCGCACTTCTTAGATATATTGTCGCAATTTTTCCGAGCCACTTAACATCTAGCGTAAACAAAATAGAATTTATCTCATGCTCTGCGCTACTCTCGTGTTACAAGGATCGGCTTACATTAATCTGATCGTAATAGCTGGTTATTGGATTCCACTAAAACCAAGGTCACCGTTGAGGCGAGATTAGCTCAGTCCACGTTTTATGACTTCTTGAGCACTTGTTGAGCTTACGCTAAGTTTACGCTGAAGGATTATAATTATTGGATTTGTAATTGTTGAGAAATAGCCGGTCTAGTGTTGTGTACACGCGATATCTTAGGAGCCATATTTAGTGCCTACCCTGGCATTTTTATCTTGTACAATATGATGATTTCTGATCGAGCCGGATGACCGATGAGTATAGCCAGGAAACTGGAATTAGCTATAACGCAAGTGGACAATTGGACTGGCGAGCAAAATTCACATTTTTTAAATTTCTCACATCCAATTCAACAATTTAAAGATAATTATTTTATACATATATCTTCATTATTTATATTTTATAGTTTTCGCGGCGCACGCAATTAAAACTCTTAAAGATGAATTATTAGTCGCAGCCTAAAGGCTTCCTCGATAAATACTCTCACCATCATAAAAATTGGCCCAGTTATTTTTTAGATTAGCGCATTCAAACGTACAAACTCTTCAGCTTTATAAGATTACTATAGATAACGAAATAGTATTAAGGATATACATATCAACAGCCGATGGAGCGCGGTCGAGTGTTACGCCGGCCCCACTTCTTGTCCAATGCCAACACCGCACTTCGCTTCTTGGCCGGCAAACGGATCAAGCTGGTCAACATCAACGCAGCTGATCTGGTAGACGGGAGGCCTGCCGTAGTCCTGGGACTGATTTGGACTATTATTCTTTACTTCCAGGTATGTTATTTGAGCTTAGTAACATTACAAAAGTTTAAATACAAAACATTAACGGTTTTAAACGCGATATATAGGTATATTAGTTAAACTTATTTAACTACGGTTATATAAGTTTAACTATATATCGCGTTTTTAAACCGTTAAAGTTTTTTATTTAAATGTGTACTACTCGCGTAAACTACATACAGTATTCAGTTACAGTAGTTATCAAATGTAGCCAGGGTTACTTTTTACAACAAAAAAAAGCTATATTGAAGCAGAACATGACAAGGTTAGGATTTTTGTTCAAAATGGCGAAAGTAACTGAGCAATTGAAAGTACTGTTAGTAATTTTGGGATTACAGTATAAATAGTTAAAATATACACAATGGAGGACGTGGCAATTATTAATTAATTTTATATCGATTAAAAAATGTAATAAAGAACGTCGTCTATTTGCAAAGGATATTGAAGTCTTGTAGCATAGCGTATTTTAGTCACAATAACTAGATTTTCACAATTCACACATAACGTAGTATTCAAGTTATCACTATAAATAGGCCTTTCGCACTACTTATCCTGTTAGGGTAGGTCGTGAGTCACGATTTAGAATAGACATTATAGAGAAAGTTAGTCTTTAGTTTTAGAAGTTGAATCAAAGACATTATCAAACAATATATGGTCAAAATAGGTCTATCTATGGGTATATTTTAATAAGTTATATGTAATGTTTACTTTTTAATATATATATTAATTATCGTTTCTCATTCTTACCCGAATGAGAAGCGATACTTTAGTTTTGAGAGTATTATTGAGAAGTTAAATTGCCTTTGTTTATTAAGTTGGTTAATAGAAGCTAGTATATTATTGATTAATACAATTTAAGCTGTGTTATTTTCGGTCCCTCATATTAAATAATTGTCCAATTCTTTGTGGGCATCTAAACATTTTTGTTTTGAATATAACTATATTTAATGACCTTTTATGAGCGATTAATGTTTTCTATTCACGATATCTATGTCAAATAGAGAACACAGTGTGATGCACATAACGGCCATTTAGTGAGAATAATTTTCCTATCTAAAATCTACATTATCCTTGCTATTGGAAAATATACTCTATTCTCATTTTAATTGGCTTGAATATGATTTGTTTGCGCAAGCTTCGCTCAGTATATTGGGCCCACAGGATAATGGACGAAAGGTGGGTACTTGCAAGCTTCTTAAAGAAACTGCACGTTTATTTTATTTATTTCAAATACAGTGACACCTGGTTAATTGGGATCTCGCGGGACCAAGACATATGTACTAATTACCAATATTTTATATAATTTTTCAATAACAGGTTTATAATTATATTTTCTTTTACAAAACCCCCTTTTTAAACAAACATGTCTAACGTTTGAAAACTTTAAATTTTTCACATGTTATTGCATATGTCGGCACTATATGAATTAAAAATCCAATATACATTGAAAAATTTGGTAAGAGCAACAGCACGCCGGACCAAGTCCTGCCAAAGGCAAAAATTTTACAATTTGTAATTGATTTTTAATTTATGTCATAACGTGTTAAAACCTGATTAATTTGTCTCACTTATTATTGAGCTACAGACTCTATATTATAGCGGTAAACGTTGAAGAAGTCGAAGAACCCAAATATTATTTTAGAGATAATTTAATAAAAAAGGGCCTCATTGCAACTCTCAATTACCCAGGTCCCACAAAATTTAGTCAGAATTTAGTTTGCATTCTAGTATTTTTATAAAAGTATAGTGTATAATCACCATGTATATTGTATTAGAGATAAATAACTTTTTTTCTTATAATTCTACCTTTATATAATTATCTTCTTTACGCCAAGATAAAGTTTATTAAGTATTCTTTAATATTAAATTCTTTTTATCTCAATTAATATTCTGTACGGGACGCTTCATAGTCTTTGTTACGTATGTATTATATTCATAATTTTTGTGTATTCAGTTTATCGCACAGTGTTTTTACGTAGTTTTTGAGTGGCACTTTTCACACTTCGTATATGTAATTGTTTTAGTAATGAAACAAAAGTCTAAAGATATCACCATAATGCTAGAAATGTTTATAGGTCTATTATAGATACCTGTGAGTTCCACTAGTAGTACTTACATAGTAAGCTATTTAATTCAACCATAAAAAATAGGCTAATAAGGAGAGATATCCTTGTGGCGTCTTCATTATGATCCCCTTGTATGTGGTGGACATTTTTTTCACTGTGAAAGAGCGAGTATGTTTGTGTGAGAGAGATAGTAGGTATATTGTAACTTCTAAGAAGGTAACTGACTAATGATTATAGATGCCCCACGTTACATTCTCTTTTGCTCTTTCACTGATGTATTATCAACACAGACATCTTTATGGCCGGTCCAAAATGAATCTATATATAGTTTGCTTGAAATTCGAACCCAGAACCGTCAAGTACCTGACGCTATACTAGGCAAAGCGTATAATCATTGGGTGGGGAGGTCACAATTAAGATGTTTATTTATTTAATCTACTCCTTTAGATCGAAGAAAACAGCCGAGCCCTAGAGTACTTGAGCGGGTCGCGGTGCGTGTCAGTGATGTCGCAGGAATCCGGAACTGCGACGCCCACGCACAGGGCAGAGGACAGGTGGAAGCAGGGAGCCAAAAAAACCCTGCTGCAGTGGGTGGCTAATGCCTTGCCGAAGTAAGTTATATGTTTATTACTACATAGTATGAAACAAAGTCGCTTTTGCTGCTCCTATGTACGCTTAAATCTTTAAATAGATAGAGTGATTTAAGAGGGAGGTTTTTATGTAGTGTGTTTAGTATTAGCATAAAAGGTATAGAGCCGAGGAATTTTCCATCATGTGAACCCCAGCTTGACTCTCCTGTTTGCCATAAAAGTTTTGCGTCCAAGTAAACAGTGGTTTTAAGTTCGTGAAGTTAAATCGTGATTCGGTTTTTGTCCGTGGATTTACAAATATCCAAGGCCAAAAAAGGTCGACAGCGCATCTTATTTAAATAGGCCTCTAGCCTTCGTGTTGAGATGTGTATGAGTATGGCCTTCCATCTAGTGAACCCTATGCTCGTCTGTCCCACTCTATCATAACTCCTATATTCACCTCTAAAGTGTTCTTAGACTATTGAATTTTATTTAAATCTGCCCATCTCTTACAGGGACTCAAATATCCAAGTAACAGACTTTGGACCATCATGGCGCGACGGTATCGCTTTCCTGGCAATCATCGACGCGATTAAAGCGAATCTCATTAACCTGGCCGAGATGAAGAGGAAGACGAACAGACAGAGGCTGGAACACGCCTTCGACGTGGCGGAGACGGAACTGGGTATCGCCAGACTTCTAGATGCTGAAGACGTGGACGTAGACAAGCCCGACGAGCGGTCAATTATGACTTATGTGGCACAGTTCCTACATAAATATCCAGAACCCAAGGTAAATTGCAGTTATCAAAAAAAAATCTTTTTTATTTTTCTATGTAAGTATAAAAAAATGTGCGTGAAATTGTTGTTAAATGTACTATGATTAAAACAAACTTCGCTTAACGGCAATAGTGCCATTTTATAAATATTGAATTGAATTGTGCCGTTTTAATCACAATTCAATTCAATATTTTATTTAATTACTTGTATTCAATAGACACGCCTTGTTTTATTTATTACCACGGTTTTACGTTTTCCTTCGATTGAACCCCTATGCTTGTCTAAGTCTTCCTTTATTATAAAATGATGAAGCAATAATATATTATATATTTAAGATTGAATTGCACACATTTGAATTCATAAGGTTAACAATATCATGAGATCATAGTAAACACACCACTGATATCTTGAATAATCTTAATGCAATTCATAATGTTTTATCACATGTATTTACGTAAATACATATATTAATGAAAGAGATCATTATAAGTAATATTGTATAAGGGCAAACCGTATGTATGTGAAATTATATAGTGATTTTCTTAGCAAAGTAATAAAATATTAGCGTTCTTTTATAAGTCTTTTTTTCTAGACAACGGGACCAGATGCTGTAGCCGCGGTCCAAGAAGAATACGAACTTTTACGTGCTTGGCTCACAGAACGTGTAACGTTACTTCAACGGCAGTACGACACGAGAACGTTATCCAGAAACTACAATGACTATCTTCTAGCAGAGAACGATAGGCTTGCTCGAGAACCACTATACAATAAACTGGAGAAACTTATGTATACACAGAGTCTGGTAGCGATCGCACCGAGCTCATGGCGAGAATTAGTAGCTCTATGGGTGGAATTAGAACGCATTCACAGAAGATGGCTTTGGCTTCTAGACTCAGAATTACCAGGAGACTTCCGTGTAGTAGGCGAGTGGTTAGCCCGAGCGGAATACCTACTATACTTCGATGAAATCCCGACTACCTTAGATGAGCGAACGGCTGCCATCATCAGCGAAAAACTCGAGGAGCACACCACGTTCTTCTTAGACCTCCCCGACGTCATTGACCGTTTCGAAGCCGCACTCAGATCTCCCGACGCATCCAAAATCCCCCCCGAAAGACTGCAGAACATGAAGGAGCGCCTACAGACAGTGAGTCGTAACGCTCCGCAAAGAAAAGCGAGGCTGAAGTACCTCGAACACAAGTGCTGTATCGTGGCTTTCACGGAATTAACGAAGGCTAAATTAGCCGCATGGACCGGTAAATACGGTCGAATCGATCACGTACGTGCCTTATTAGAAGACTATGATAATTTCGTCATTAAGAATAAGATATTCCAGGAGTTTGATAGAGCTTACGTTGATATTAAGCAAGTGGCTGAGGAGTATAAGAGAGTGTGTGAAATTGACAGAAGTGAAGCGAGAGAGATTGATGTGTTTCTGAGAGAAGTGTCCGAAACGTGGAGGCGAGTGGCGTCGGATGTTAGGTGCGCCAGGAGCGTGCTTGAAGAGGTGATCGCCCATTGGGAAAGGTGGACGATGCTGTCAGACCAATTTACCTCATGGCTAGACAAAGCACAGCACATGTTAAGAGTGTCCGAAGACGAGAGGTTGGAGTTCTTCCAAGATTTGACAGTGTGGAAGGAGAAACACCAGATGTTAGGTGATGCTGCTGGTTTCTTAGCGGCGACATGTACTGAGGAGCACAGTTCAGAGATCAAGAGGAAATATGTGGAAATCACAGAGAGATGGGAGCGTGTATGGGAAGAAGCAGAGAGGTAAATTGATTTTTATTATCTTATACGGAAGATATATTCGGCAAAAGAAAAAAGTTAAACAATTTTTACTTCGATTTTTACTATTATTGCTATTTAATAATTATTGTTAGTAATACTAATATATTACTTAAAAAATAATAATTGGCAGCCGGCTTAATAGTTAACCTCACCCAAACACACAAAAATTATATTTTATGTAAATATCACTTATTACCGACTAAAGACAACAATTAAAATTAATTCCTTTTATAATACCTAGTGTCATAAGTAGGTGCGGCGAGCCAATTTTTTTAACATGGCATAATATACCTACTTATTTAAGTTAGATAACAATTAATATTTTAACTTTACCTTATTTCTCCTTAGATACGTTCGAGGAGGAGATGCTCTCCGACACAGACGAGAATTGGCCAATGGAATTCAAACTTTGGACTCGTGGCTAACAGCAGCGGATAATTTGCTCTCTCGTCATCCTCGAGCCAACACTGCGGACATACAAGCATACATAGATCAACTATTGCAACTTAATTCAGAAATTGAACAACACGAAGAGTTATTCAAGACTATAAGCAGGTACATACATATTTTTTTAATATAACATTACGTCAACAATATTACAACATATTTTATTGTTTGGTTTTATCAATAATGTTGGCGCCATAAATTGACCTTATTTAGGTAGATTAAAAAAGTAATTAAATGTCTTGTGTCAAACATTAACAATTGACCTTTACAGACTATAACACTGACAATTAAAAATTCCTTTTGATAAAAAAAAAAAACACGAAGGGCGGGTCTTGAACCGGCATCTATGGTGATCCGTGCTGCTGCTCTAATTTTCATTATTTTATAATTAATTACTTTTACAGTAAAAAGATAGCAAATAATGTCTTTCATAATTGGTAGTTATTTAACTGTGTATATTAATTTAGGACATTCCAAAATGCTATCGCGGATCTCCCCCGTGATGAAGTTGAGGCGAATATGTCCAAGTTGAAGCAACAAAAAGAAGCTTTAGTCAGAGTTCGAGCCACGGTCCCTGTAAAGCTACACCAATATCGGCAATTGTTGGTTCAACATGACTCACTCGAAACTGGACAGAAAGAAATTGGACAATGGCTCGATAAAGCTGAAGAAGCTCTACATTCTACCACTGAAACTAGACGGTAAGATAAATTTCTATATTTGTCCATTGAAAATCCTGACTTTAGTGTTCTAATTTTGTCTATTCTTTTGTTTATCAAACACTTATACCGCCTATCCATATTTTAATCCTCCTGAATGATCGACGTTATCACATAAACATGGTGCTTTTTTCTACAGTGAGATAATAGAAGAAACATATGAAGTGCACAGAACATTTTTCTCTCGAACCACTTACTACAGATCAATGCTGGAGAGTAAAAACAAAGTTTTCCAGAATATTGTCAAGGCAGCAGATAATGATAAGAGTGCGGATGTCAGTGACCAGTTAACACTCATGAGAGATTTAAATGAGAGGTAACATTTTCTTCTGTTAATCAATTCTATAAGATTCAATTTGAAATGATCTGGTATGTGGACTCTGTAAACATGAAACCAATTCTTTTATAAATGAATTTATTAGAGTATCAACAATTAATCTAATGAGTTATGAAAGTGCAAAACTTAACATTTTATTCAGGTTTGCCCACATATCATCAGAAGCAACGCGAAGAGAAGCAGAACTTCAACGTTTGGTGCGTGCCTGGGAAGATTTTGAGAACAAAAAACGTATTGTCGAAGATTGGGCATGTAGAGCTGAAGCACTTTTGGCTGATAATAGGGTGGATAATAAACAGGCTCTCCATCTTCACGAGCGATTTTTCCATGGTGCCGATGAGAGAGCAGTATCTGAGCTCGTTCGTTCTGGACGTGAGCTTGTTGAGGTAAATAAATGTAGCAACTTTATAATATTAGCTGATAATTAAAAGTTATGTAAAATGACAAATTTTACTAAAATCATGAATCTGCCTTATTTTTGCACTAGTCTTTGAATGGATTTAAGAAATTACCACCTTACATTCTTAAATACAATCCAATATGCGATGTTCTATTTATTTGCCAATTATTTCAAATTGTCTAAAAGACTTGTATCCCGGCCATGGCAATAATTTTAAAATGTAAAAGATTTCGGCTTAAATTTAGCACTAAGTTTGCCTCCCAATTTTAATAAAATAAGGCGTTCTGTGGTTTGAGTTCTATGCAGCAATTTTTATATTTCTTAAACAAAAATGATCAGGAGACTTTTTACTTCTTTCTTTTTTACAATTTGAATAAGAATTCATCTTGTTGAAGTTGTACAACTCATGAAGTACTGTTTTATAATGTGTTATACAGTTGGTAAGAGAGGAAGACAGAGCAGATGTTGTGCGAACAGTGGAAAATCTACAAAGGCGATGGAAGGAACTTCTGGAGCATGCACCGCCGCACCTTATGAGACTGGAATTCAAACTGGATGAGACTGTTTTCCACCATTGCATCAAAGATATCGAGAAAGAAATTGTGTATGAAGAACAGGTCAGAATCCCTACCTTTATTGAAACACATAGCACTTGAAAATAGGTATTTTTACTATTGTACAATATTCATATGTGAAATAGGAGATGTGCACAATACTTTTATAATGAAAGTATAAAATAGTTCCATTTTATATTCCAAACAGAGAAATTTTAATTACAATAAAATCTATTTTTGTGCTTTAATCTTAGAAGATATGCCATTGTGTATTTTTTAGAACAATTAAAGAAGAAAAATAAATATTCTTTAATTACATACATATTTTATTACATACACAGTATATTTTTTCAGTATCTTTAATAATTTTTGCAGAGTATGCAATGAAAATTCCCAAAGATAATCTTCCCTGTTTTTTCTACTTTTTATAGCCTAAAACCTTTTTGATGTATCAGTAATTCCCAATATTAGTGTACTCAAATAAACAAACTCATCAGCTTTATGCTCGTCATATTTGCTTTCTGGGTATATTGTAGTCAATATCAATTAGTCATTAATTTATAATTTCATTAGGTTTTATATATGCATGTTACAAACAGAAAAATATATATTTTTTTATTATAATTGAATTAGTATCACACCAAGGTTAAATTTTTTTTGGATTCTTTGAGTGTAAAATAAAAAAAAACCTGTTAATTTTTAATATACGAAGCAATATTGCTTTATATATTTATTTTTCAGGCCTTCAATCAAAGTGATGATGCAGATGGCATCCTTATCCGAAATGAAGAATACTTCCGTAACCAGGGTAAGGTTATGCAGGTGGAACAATGCCTGCAAAACCTGAAGAAGATATCGAGTAGTTACACCCATCAAACTGGTGACAGAAGTCTCGAAGAGGAGTTGAGAAGGTAAGGTATAATTATTTTATCTAAGTGTGATATGTTGAAAGGTTTGACAAATTCCTATAATTTTTAAATTTATCCTTTGAATATTTTATATTACCTTTTCTCATTGTCTATTTTAGATGTGAACAACAATGGGAATCAACAGTACATAGAGTGGAGAACTTCAGACAACAATTGCAACAGATCCCTGCTAAGTGGGACGCATATAGAGACAGATTCCGAGAAATGGAGAGGTGGATGGATCATGTGGACAAGACAATGGACAGTATTGTCCGTGAGGTAGACTCTGCAGAGGCATTTGAGAAAGAAAAGACAATTTTTCAAGTTAGTAAATATTTTAATTATTTATTTTTTTATATGTTTCTTGGTTTTGCTCATGACTTAAAAACCTGCAATTGAGTCAACATTAAGGCTTCATTAAAATGGGATGCCGGTAGATACAATTTTTTATAGATTTTGTATCAATTCTGTACTTGTGAATTGTAAACCTACAATTTATATTTCTTATTTGAATTGCATAATATTTGGGGTTAAATAATTTAAGCACTACCTAAGAGCTGCCTCAAGATTCAGATCAATGAAAGCTTGTGAGTGGTAAACTCTACATAAGCCACAATCATTACGTAGATAGTATAACATAATGTATTTCATGTACATGTACATTAAATAAAACATTTATAATTTTGTGCTTCCTTTGGACCTCAGCTACGAGAGTTGATGGTAAATGTATTAATGATGTATGGTTATTTAGAATTTATTTCATATGTGTTAACCAAGTCATAATCACTTCCCTTTTTTATTTGTAGAACATATGTCGAGAGGCAGACCGCAAGCGTGAAGATATGAAATGGCTTGTACAAACCTTAGACATGCTTTCTAATCATTGTTCCGACAATGAAGCTCAAGAGGAACAAGTTCGACTAGAGAATCTCATCTCAAGATATAAGAATCTCATACCGACTATTGAAATAACTATGATAAAGACTGAGACATATACGAGGTGTTATACTTACAGACGTGAAGTACACGAAGTTATATGTATTTTAGAAAATGCGAAGAAACAAGCAATGGTTGAACCTGAGCCGCAATCATTACAACAAGTTGAGCAATTAGTACTTGAACAGCAGGCCACAGTTCAAAAACTTGACAGGCAGAGACCTTCAGTAATATCTATGTTACAACGTGGCAAGGATCTAATTAAAGACGCCAACGCACCAGCTTTCGTAAGAGAAGACGTAAGAAATCTAGAAACCGGTTGGAACGTTGCGTACGAATCTAACACAGATCGCCTTCATAAGCTTCGCGATACACAAAAAGTCTGGTCCAACTACGAATATCAAAAAGAAGAGTTGCTTTCTGATATTGATAAAATCGAGAGCTTTGTAGCTCATCCTGGCTTGGAACTTGGCGTATCTAGCATTCACAGAGAACTTCAAGAAACCCAAGCCGTTAATGCCGATATAGAGAAGGCTAAAGTTGAAAGATTACCCCAGTTGCAACAAGCATATGCAGAGTTAAAATCCCTCACAGCTAATAAACCGAAACCAGTTATAGAGAAGGATCTAGAAACAATAGAACGTAAAATAGACAGAGTACAAGACGATGTACAGACCAAAGTTGTTCATCTCGAGAAATTTAATGAGGAATGGACTAAAATTGAACGTAAACTTGACAGTGTACGTGAGTGGATTAAGAAGGAAAGTCCAGCTCTGATATCGCAAATACAGTCTGAAAACATAACACCTGAAGAACGCGTGGAAAAGTCACAAAGCTTACAAAAGGTCATTGGTGAGAAAATGGATATAATTAAAAATGTTGCTGACCAAGGAAACAAATTGGCTGTTGAACATCGGGTCCAAGATTCAAATAGACTTAAGGGTGAGGTTGCCTTACTAGAAAAAATGATGGCTGACTTACAAAGATCCACAGAACAACAGACCAAAGTAGTTGAACATGATCTGGTTAGCTGGCAAAAATATCAAAGAGGGGTTGCTGAAATAAAACCTTGGATAGAAGAAGCCGAAATAAAATTAGGTAGTTTACCCAAACCAACCACGTTGGTTGAAGCTCAGCAACTGCAGCAACAGTCGCGAGCACTGGTCACAGACTGTGATAAACAGCTTATGAATCTACAGATCTTATCTAGTGTAAGTCATCAATTATCTGGTAAAACTAGCGCCCCAGACGAAGTAGATGCTATTCAGTCGAGATGGGCTATTGTTCATGACTTAGCGGACCAATGGAATAATAAGCTAGAAAAATTAATTATTAATTGGGAACATTTCGAAAAGGATGCCGAGAAAATTGAATCGTGGATAGATGATGGGGAAAAATTACTGAACAGTCGTAATGTAAACGTTGATACGCCGCAAGTTGAAAAACTAGACCGGGAACTAAACAAATTAAAATCATTTGGTAACGAAATTTCACAACAACAAGCAAAAATCATTACCCTTTCTCAAACATGTGACAATATATGCCATAGTGTACAACCGGAAGGCGCTAATTTATTGAAAAACAAAGTTAACGATATTAAACAACGGACTAATAATCTTGCAGAGACCGTTCGATCTAGAATAAATGACTTGTCAGATAAAATTATAGTTAAGCAAGAATTTTTGAGTAAATTACATAACTTTGATAATTGGATAACCGATTTCAGAAGAAAAACTGAAAGTTATGATCAAATTGGTACTGACAAAGTAGAGCCAACGCTTCAGTCGATGCACGTGTTACTACAGGAGCATGCAGCAAAAGCACCTGAATTTACAGATATTTATAACGAGGTTAAAAACATGACTCTTGTGTCTCACCCCGAAGAAACTCGATCATTGAGTGATACTTATTCAAATATCGCGGATCATTACCAAATTATAGAAAGTAACATTCAACAGAACAAAACTATTCTACAGAAATGGTCCGAGTTAATAAATTGGTTTGATGATAATAAGCAGCAATTAACGCACATACAATACCAAGTTGATGGGCCAAAATTGACCGCAGAGAGTTATGACGTTTTAAGACAAGAACTAGTAAATATTATAACAAAAGTACCAGAATGGAAAGCTAATGTGGCTTTACTAGATGGTCCTTCAAAGATTAAAGTCACGGATCAACACACGGGAAGACTTATTTCACCAACGAGTTTAGTGAAAGAGATTGAAACAAAAGCAGAGACTTTGCTTAATCAAACCATTACAAAAAGAGACCTTGTGCAAAAAGTTGGCGCTCGCTGGGATAAGTTTAATATTCAGCATAAAGCCTTAGGTGAAATTTTACACAATATACAATCTTCTCTGAATGAAATGGCGCAAAAACCGGTACCGTTGACTGATACTACTATTCAAGAAATTACTGAACAACTTGATGGTTTAGATTCAGAGCTGAAAGAAAAACAAGTTGTGAGAAAAGAGTTGCGAGAGGAAGGCCTTCATTTAATGCGAGAAGATCAACAAAACATGGGTACAATTCAAAACGCTCTATCGGCTGCGGACAATAGCTGGGATCAAATAGTTAACGCCGTTCGTGATACTAAAAATAAATACATTTTACTTTCATCTACATTGCAAGAGCTGAATAACTTTAATGTTGCTTTCGATAGAGAAATGACTAGAGCAGAACAGTTGTATAACGAATGTAAGGATGCGCCAAGTGATTACATTCAGACCGCGCAATCATTAGAAAAGGGTAAAAAGTCTTATGAAGTTTTAAAACGATCTAAGGGATTATTAGATCAAATGGACGTAATTAAACAGTCTGTTTTGAAACAAGCTTCTACGCTGGGAGGTTTTGACACATCTCCATTAGAAGAGGCTTTCCTAAAGTCACAAACTCATTGGGAGAAGGTAAACGACGCCGTTATAAAAAGAATTCAAGACTTAGATTCCCAACTATTAGTTTGGCGACAAATCGATGATGTTAAAAACCAAGTTGTTCAATGGTTAAGTGAAACAGGACAAAACTTGGCCAACGCTTGCGACAATTTAGAAATAAGATTTGGCCAAAACCATCTCATGAAATACAAAGAAGAATTACCAATATATTTAGGCCTAAAGAACAGCATTATGGCTAAGTGTGAACAAATTACTAATTTAAATAAAAGTATACCTGTAAACCAAGTGTCATCAATCGTTGAATATTTGGATAATGAATTTGAAGCTCTTAAATCTTTAGCAGAGAATTTAGAGAGTGCTCTATCCTCCCTCGAATCTAAGGAAAACAAATTTAAAGATAGTATTAAACGCCTTTCAGATAAAGTAAGCAAAGTGCGCGACGATATCATAAAATGTGACGACATGTCCGGTGACAGTAATAAAATATTAGATCGTTTGAAAAAGTGTCAGTTATGTAAAGCCGAACTTCAAAATTTGAATGAGGAAATAGATAATTTATCACAAAATGTTTCAGAGATGAACGCAAACTATCCTGGATTTTACGAATCGCTAGTACCCAAAGAATTAAGTAATCTTCAAAAAAGATTTGAGAGCGTTTTGACACATGCAAATAAAACTGAAACAACACTTCTTACATTCTTACAGAAGTCATTCACAGACAAACTGAGTATGTTCAATAGAAATTTAAAGATATTAGATGACAAAACAAGGTGGTGTATGCCTGATGATAATAGTGATAAATATAATCTAGAGGTTAAAAGTGCCGCGTTGTCTGAGGTTGGATCCGGTATAGAAGAATGTCAAAAAAGAATGAAAGAGTTAAAAGAATCATGTGAAACATTACGTGTTGTAGCTGAACCTGCTAGTGCACAAGAAGCTGCTTTACAAACCGAAAAAGCTCAGAAGAACCTAGAAGTGCTTTCGTCAAATTACGATGAAATTAAAAATAGATTGCATGAAAATATTGATGCTTGGCAAGATTATGAGACGCTGTTAGAAACTGTTTCAGAATGGTTAAGGGAGAAAGAGAATAGAGTTCGCTTAGAGGCAGCTAACCTAAGCGATTTAACTGACATTGAGAACAAAATAAGCAATATTGAAGATTTACACCTCGAAATAAAAAAATTCGATAGTGAAGTAAATAGGTTGACTGAAATTGGAGAGAATGTTCTTACTAAAAACCCAGATTCTAGAGTTTCACAATACATAAGCCATCTGGTTAATAGATATCAAGCAGTTGATAAATTTGTAGATACTCATTTAAAACGTTTAAATGATTTGAAGAATAACAGGGAAAAGTACAATAAATGTACAGCAGATTTTAAAAATTGGTTACAAGAAGCTAACTCTAAAATAGCTGACTTGGCAGCTATGAGCAAACATTCTAAGCCTTCAGCTGCTGACTTGGCACAAATCAAAAAACTAAATGAGAACAAGGATTTAGGACAGCGTTTGCTGAACAGCACTATTGAATCAGGGGAATCCTTGTTTAGTGGAATAACGCCTGAAGGTCGTGAAAAGGTAAGAAACGAATTAAGAGCTTTAAGAGACTCTTTTGAAGATTCCGTTGATTCACTAAATAACGTTATTAAGGATATCGAAACAACTCTTAATAAAAGATCATCCTTTGATGACACGTTCAATCAAGTCCAGAAATGGATAACAGATAAAGAAAGTGAATTGGGAGAATTTAAGTTATCGCCGACATTACCGGATAAGAAGGCTCAATTGCATGCAAACAAAATATTACATCAAGAAGTTGATCTGCACCAGTCTATGCTTTCTCAACTAACAGAAAAGATCAAATTATTGCCAGATGAAGAAGCTGAAAAAAGTCTAGGTAAAGTTCTAGATAAATATTCCAATATGTCAAAAGAAATTCACAAGAGAATTGAAGCGTATGAAAATCACGTCACGGAACATGAAAAATATGTACAAATATTTGAAGAAATTCGCGATCGTATCAATCATATTGTTGCGGAAAATAGTATGATTTACTACAGTGCTGTCACCCAAAAAGATGAGATTGACAATAAAATTTCTGTTATTGAAAAAGTAACCTCTAAATCGCAAGATCTAGATAAATCTTTCAAGGATCTTAAAGTTCGGTTGCATAAAGTTTTGGAATCTACAAGTCCCAATGGCCACCCTATTTTAATAAGTGAATTCGAACAATTGAAAACAACGTGGGATCAATTTTCAAATCAATGCAGAGAACAAGATAAGAAGTTAAAAGAAACGTTGCAACAGTGGAATGAAAGTCACAAAACTCTTGATGACCTTGATGAATGGTTAAAGATAAAAGAAAATCAAATTAGAGACCAGAGTTTGAAAAGTACACTTGATGCAAAATTAGCACATTTGCAAAGACTAAAAGAAATTCAAAATGAACTTGCGTCTAAGCAACCAAGTTTCTCTGCATTATCGGAAACACAAAATTTAACTAGTGAACCAGAAATTACAGTTAAAACATCTAAGTTAGCTACCAGATTCCACACCTTAAACAATTTGGTTAATGAATTGATATCAAAATATGAAGTTTTTGTTTCTGAACACCAATCATTTGAAAATGAATATAAAGAGATGAAAAATTGGCTAGGAGGAATGCTAGGTGAACTACAGGATCTGAATGAAATTGTGGGAGATTACGCTGTGCTCCAAGAAAAACAAAATAAAGCAAAAGACTTGTACGAGACAAGGAATAAGAAAACGCCTGTTTTCGAAGAGTTTCTTAGTTTAGGCGAAAAACTTTATGCGCATACAAGCCCTGACGGTAGAGAAGTTATCAGACAGAAGATACGAAAGATTAGATCATTGTGGGACAGTTTCGGCGATAGTTTTCAAGAGACTGTCAACAAGCTGGATCAGTGTCTTCTACAATTTTCAGATTTTTCTTTGGCTCAAGAACAATTGACAAAATGGCTAAAAGATGTAGAGCGAGCTATGCAAAAGCACACTGAACTTAAGGCATCCTTAGAAGAAAAGAAGGCTCAATTACAAAATCATAAAATAATGCATCAAGAAATTATGACCCACCAGCAACTCGTCGAGTCAGTTTGTGATAAAGCTCAACAATTAGTTGACCAAACGCACGACGCTTCCCTTAATGTATATTTACAGTCCATTAAACAATTATTCCAAAACATAGTTACAAAATCTCAAAATCTGCAGGAGAACTTAGAAGATTGTGTTAAAAGACACGAAGATTTAAGTCGTTTGATTCAGAAATATAAGGAATGGATAAGCAGTCAATCGGAAAAGCTAATGGACATTGAAAATGCAACCGGAGAAAAGCCTGAAATCGTACGAAAACTACAGTCTGCAGTTGCCTTGAAAGATATAGAAAAAATTGGTTCCAGCAAACTAGATGAAATCCGATCTGTATTTTCTGTAGTCAGTAAGAGTACATCAGAAACTGGAAATAGTGCAATAAAAACAGAAATTGATAATCTTCAACAACAATTACTTAAAGCCGTTCAAAGCATTGATGTATCAGAACAAAAATTAAAGCAAACACTAAATGTATGGAATAATTTTGAGACAACAATAGAGAGTTTATCCGAATGGCTTAAAGATATGGAGTCAAAGTGCCGTGATCAGGCACTCTGCTCCACATTACAAGAAAAGGAAGCACAGTTACACCGGTACGTCGAATTGCGCAACGCCATACATGCTAAAGAAAAAGACGTCGACAACTTTGTTGATGAGTCACATAGCCTTATTCAGTTAAGTGGAGTCGAACGACTTAAACCGCTTGTAACACAAGTCAACAGTCGATACCAGCAATTGCATTTGATTTCGAAGGAAATAGTCACCCATTGGTCGGAATTAGTTGGGGACCATAAGAAATTTGAGCAATTGCAAAACGAATTCGATTTATGGCTAAAGCCGTTAGAAGAACAACTGTCGAAAATGATAGGCGATAAGCTTAGTATTGACAAGAAAGGAAATAAGTTACAAGTTTTCCTATTGGAAAAAGACAATGGTGAACATAAAATGGTTATATTAGTAGCAGCAGGTGACAAGGTATTGCCTGAAACTGCTGCTTCCGGGAGGGAGAATATTCGTAATGATATAAGAGCTTTAAGAGAAAGATGGGACAAATTTAATGATAATATCTTACAACAGCAAAGAGAGTACGAGTCCCAAACTTTGCAATGGTCGAGTTATCGAGATGTCTTGCAACAGACTTTGTCATGGTTAGATGAAAAAGAAAAGGTTGTGGAAAATGAGGAGAAAGCAAAACTTAATTCCGCGCAAGAAATTAAAAGTAAAATATTAAAAAATAAAACATTATTGCAAGAAATATACGCGCATAAAAGAGTAATAGAAACTGTCACAGATAAAGCCAAATCCGTAGCTACTAGCCTTCAATCAGGTACAGGTGAAACAGATGAAACTGCTTCTATTATCAAATCTATTTGGGACAGGTACAATGCGCTCACAAATAGACTGGCCGCCATTATCGATAAACATGAAAGTTCCTACGAGATATATCAACAATTCACTGACCAACAAAAATCACTACAGGATTACCAGAAGAATTTGTGGGATAGACTGCACCTCTTGTCAGATTTTACGGGCAACAAAGCTGCATTACAAAATAAATTGGCGAAAATTCAAGAACTTCTTGACGCTATACCATCGGGTAATAATAAACTTAAGATGTTGTCAGACTTAATCGAAAGTCATTCTGATAAGTTGTCACCTCGTGGGAAGGATGGTATGTTCCGCGAATTGGGCATACTTAAAGCTGATCTAGAGAAGTTTACAACGACTGTACACGACGTGAAGCGTGGTATTGAAGATAAAATCCAACAATGGATGGAGTTCGACAGTGCCAGTGACCGTTTGCAGCATTGGCTTAGCGACACTGAAATGAGTTTGAAAACCTACACACCTAAGGCTACGCTGGAAGAGAAGATCGACCAACTCAATAAATATCAGGTTAGTAGCGTCTATATTATTCCTAGTATCTACCTTAGTGAAATCAAAGATGTAGATTATTTAATATTGTAAAATTTCAAACAGGATTTGAGTAAAGCGATTGATAATCACGAATCTGATTTGAGTGCTGTCATTAGTTTGGGAGAAGCGTTGGAACAAGTAAGGGAATACAGACAAAATATTTATACAAAAGCACTGTAGGGTTCTAATTTTAATTTTCAGTAGTGTCTAATATCACAAATAATACAGTAATGTTAATTGTATATCTTGTAGAAGCTAACCTTGGGGAACTAATTATAATTATCTCTTGTATTCTTGGACTTGGTGTTATAATCTATATTATACGGTACTAAAATTGGTATTTTGGGATGAGGTCCTACATATTTCTTTAACTGTTACATAGTTAAAATACGTACTAATAATAATAATTACTGCGTAAGTGAATGTCCTTTCAGAGTATTGTATAATAATGTAATTTTTCATAGTGTGTGTATGTAAAGTTCCAATATATTTTTCAGGCCATTTCAGCTAACTTGAAAAAGGCAGAAAATGATGTAGACAAAGTCACAGATGAATTTAGCGATCTTATTGAAAATTGTCATGACACCAGAATTACAATGAACTTACAACAAATGACGTCCAGATTCCAGTCGGTTCATTCCACAGCTAAAGAGTTAGTTAAAAAATGCCAACAAACCGTTAACGACCACAACGCGTATCAGGAGAAGTATAAGCAATGTACAGATTGGATCACTGCAGCTCAACACCAGTTTGACGAATGTCAAAAAAATTTATCAAACACTCCTGAAGCTATTAGTGTAAAACGAGAAAGCTTAAATGAGTTATTGTCTCAAAGACGAAACGCTACTCTGCTTGTCAATAATACATTTGAATTAGGAGAGAAATTATATCCTTCCACTTCATTAGATGGCAAAGAGATTATTGAACAACAACTTCACGATATACAACAAGCTGTGGACAATCTATACGACAGTATTACTAAGGCGGAACGAAACTTAGACTCTGAATTAAACAAATGGTCGTCGTTTGAAGATAATCTAAAGACAGTCCAAGAATGGCTTGCGTTAGCGGAAAAAAATCTTCCGAAAGAGATCGAATTGAAGGCTACTTTGGATGAAAAGAGGAACCAATTGAATGTTTACAGAGATTATTTGCAAGATGCACTTTCTCACCAACAAGATATCGCTGAACTTGAAATGCGGGCTCAAAATCTGCCGGATATAACGGAAGACATTAAGAAGAATATCGCCCAGTTAAAACAAAGACAAGAAACTATTCTTAAACGAGCTAAATCATTCGTTGAACAATATGAAGCTATTGTCAACAATCATCAGCAATATACAAAAGCAGTTATGGAGTTGCAAGAGTGGGTGGAAGCCACTCACAATACTGCTCAACTGTGGGGAGATCTTAATCTGGAGAGAGTCGCCTTGAGCAGTAATTGCGAAAAATTAAAATCATTACAAATGAGTATGCCAGAAGAGAAAAGTCGTATTGATAAAATTCGAACAATCGGCGAAAAAGTATTACCTGGTACGATCAGTAGTGGACAAACCAATATTAGAAATCAAATTGATACATCTCACCAAGAGTGGGAAGGGCTAATATCATTTATAAATAAAACAATTCAATCCCTGGACAATAAGATTCAGCAATGGAATGAATACGAAAATATGAAAGATCAATGCTTGGCGTGGATAAGAAATACTGATAACCAAATTCATGGTGTCGACTTAAAGGCGACTTTACCAGAAAAACAGGAACAATATAATAGATTCCAAGAATTGCAAGGAGAGGTCCGGGCCAAGGAACTCGAAATTGACAATATTACGGAAAGAGCTCAACACCTGTACACGGGGATGTTAGGACCTCGTGGATCTCAAATATCCGATTTAACTGTCAAATATCAAACACTATGTCAAAGAGTTAAGGATTTGACCAATAGGTGGCAGCAATATGTAAAAACACATCAAGAATTTTCTAGTAACGTGACGGAATGTTCACAATGGATTGAAGAATTAAGGGATAAGCTTGACTTTTGCTCCGATCTCAGTTCTTGTTCTCAGGATGACCTAGAAACAAAACTGGTACTTATACAGAACTTGTTACTTACTAAAGATGAAGGATTCACGAAAGTACAGTCCTTAGTAGAACTTGCTCAGAATGTATTGGCTAATACAGCACCTGCCGGACACGACGCTATCAATAATGCGTTAGTAGCATTGCAAGAGCAATGGTCCGCCCTTTTGTCGCGAATGATTGATACCAAGAATATTCTAGATGATTCTGTTACGAAGTGGGCTGGATTCTTGGAACAGATACAATTAATCGAAAAAAGTAATACTTGGTTGGAAAACATGCTATCAGAATTAACACCGTTCTCAGGATCCATGACTGATAAAAGAGCGCAACTAGAAAAGCTAAAGGAAGTTGAAGAAAAGGCTCGGTGTGATCGCTTAGAGGTGGACAATTTAAAATCTAAAGCTTCTGAAATGCTAGCCAGCGGTCAACAGAATCAAGCAGCTTCTAAAGCACAGGAAACATTGAATAAATTTGACACATTATACGATAAAATTAAGAAGTTACTTTCTGACCGAGAAGAACAGTACAAGGATCATCGATTATACAAAGAAGCGCACGACGAGCTTATTCAATGGCTTGGAAGGGCGCGAGAAAAGGTTCCATCTTTAAAATCTAAACCACTCAGTGATAAACTTGCAATTGAAAATTCCGTTGCACCACTCGATGCTTTGATTAATAAGCAAGCTCAAGGTGAACTTCTTCTAGAACATCTACAACACACGGGTGAAGTAGTGCTAGCGAGCACATCGCCGGACGGACAAGTCGTTATCAAAAACGAAATGACTGCGCTAAAAGAAAGTTTCGATCAGCTCTTCAATGAAATTAAGCAGCAAAAGAGTCAGTTAGAAGATGTTGTCAATCAATGGCGAGAATACAAAGATGAATATGAGAGATTGTCTGATTGGTTACAGCAAAAAGAAATCCTTATTAAAAATCACAAAGTTGCCTTGTTGGGCACAGCGAAGGAAAAGGGAGGACAAGTCAATGAGGTTAAAGAAATCGTCGATCAATTGACCAAAGGGAAGGCCGATATCGAAAGCTTTAATGCCTCAGCTGCAGGGCTGCTCTCATCTCATTTAGACACTTACGTTAATAATCAGTTGCGTCATTTGAATTCGAGGTATCAAGTCCTGGTCAACATGGCTAATGATGTCTTGAAGAAAGTTGAAAACAACTACGAACAGCATCAGGCTTACGACGATAATTATGCCAAGACAAAGAAATGGATCGACGACGCTTGGGAAATCACGCGCAGTGGAAGCGAAGCAGGGAGCAATAGCAGCAAGGAGGCTTTACAAAAGCGCTTGGAACAAATAGAAGACTTACTCAAACGTCGCGAGGAAGGTCAGAATTTGGTACACGCTACAATTAACAGCGGAGAAAAAGTCTTGAGAAATACAAGATCGGACGGAAAAGATAAAATAAATACGGAAATCAAAGATTTGCAGAATGAATGGGATCGGCTCGTTAAGAAAATGACTACTGCTAAAGTACATCTCGAGACAGCTCTGTTGCAATGGGCCGACTACAGCTCGAGTTATTCCCAGTTGCAGCAATGGATATCGGACAGGGAAGCCAAATTGCAAGAAGTTTGCGAACAGAAAGTCGCCAAATCAAAGAAAGGACAAGATCGACTGGCCGGCCTCACAACAGGGTTGAGCCTCGGCGAGAGGAAAGCGACCCTACGACAAACCAATAATATTGTACAAGATATCGTTTCGTTTGAACCAATGATTCAGTCAGTTACATCTAAGGCTTCAGAGTTGATGCAACAAGCTCCTGCGTCGGAAATCACCAGCAAGTATGAAAATCTTTCGAAACAAGCCAAAGACCTGTATGAAAAGCAAAGAGAAACGGTGGAACAGCATCAAGCTTTCATCGACGCAGGGACAGATTTTGTTCAATGGATTAGAGCTGCTAAAGAGAGACTAGGGAAGTGCTCGGACGCTACTGGCGATAAGGAGTCTTTGAGCAGTAAGATTTCACAATTGAAGGTTCTAGAGAGCGAATTGCCTGATGGCCAAGCGAAACTTCAGAAAGCGTTAGAGCAGGGAGAAATATCTTGTGGACTGGCTGATGAAGAAGACAGAGAGGATATAGAAGAGGAAGTGGCTCTTATGCAAGAAGAATACGATACTTACGTGTAAGTTTTTTATCTTTCTTTGATTATGCATACAGTCAACAAAAATTCACTCTATTGTAGGTATTTTCTTTATTTAAAGTTAAAAAATATGTTGTAAACACATAAAATGTACACAGCGTTGAGCAAGGCTTGAATAATGTCTTTTTATTTAAGTGAGCAGCTGAACAATACAAAGGCACTCATAGAAGGCGGTATCGTGAAGTGGACGGAATACGAAGAACACTACAAAGAAGCCTTGGAATGGCTGTCTAAGACTGAGACACTGGTGCAATCCTTTAACAAACTTCAGAATAATCTAGAGCAGAAGAAAATTGTACTGGAAGAGTTCCAAGTGAGTTCAAAATCTATAACATGCCATATGTTTAAGAATTCCGTTATGTGTAAAAAATATTCTTATATCATGTAATATTAACTAAGGCATTTTATTTATTCTGTCGTCTGTCGCAGGGTCACTTACAAACACTATTTGATTGGCAAGCTGAGCTGGATAAATTGAACATGCGCGCACAAACATTACTAGAAACATGCGCAGACACAAGAATATCAAATGGAATCACCCAGCTCACCACCAAGTATAATGCGTTGCTGTCATTGGCTAAGGAAGTCATGAAACGCTTAGAACTACACTACCAGGTATTTTTGTCCCGTTCAACTCTTTATTGGTGCCTACCGATAGTGTGATACTATCCAGCCTGGTAGAAGGATTGACCTTAATGACAATGTTAAAAAAAATGTATGGTAGAAGGGCGATTTTAGAATTTCTATTTATATGCATAAATAGTAGAATCTGATAAATAAAATTTATGCAGAAAATCTCGGCTTTCTCGTTTTGTTTACCACCATATTTTTCTCTTGTTCTACAAGGCATTTATGTTTCTTTTGCATGCTGGAAATATAGACAAATAAGTATGTAATTTTTGTTGCATAATTCACTTGTCACCGTTTTGTGATTTGTACACTACTGTTGTTATGCTAGTCGTAGCTAGGCTGTCGATTTGTATATAATGAGTTATTTAATATTTGTAGGAACACCAACAACACAACGCCCTCTACGGGGAATGCCAGGACTGGCTCGACAGGACTCGGGAGAAACTGAACCAATGCGCCGATATCCCGAACACCCTCCAAGAAGTCAATCATAAACTCAACACTGTCAAGCTATTGCGCCAATCTCTAGAACAAGGCCAAAACAAGCTAAGATATCTGTTAGAATTGAAAGAGAAAGTTATAATGAACACGGAACAAACCGGTGCAGCAAAAATACAAGAAGACACGGATAACCTGAAACAAGAATTCGATAAGCTTATCGCTGACTTGCAAGACGTCCGTAATAAGCTCACTAACAGGGCGTCTCAATTTGACGACATCACTAAAGTAAGTTTTATCAAATATACTCTTATAACCTAGACTTAGACGTGTGTCGGATTTAAACCAATTGTATTTATGTCAAATATAAAATATCTTATTTAACCACTATAAAATAAATCGCCTCTGTAGCCAAATGGTTAAACGTATTGCCTAGCATTGCGTTAAGCGCGAGAGGTCCTGGGTTCGAATCCCAGGGAAATATAAAATTGTTTCGGTTGGGCAGGGCACAGAAATCTGTTCAATTACGTGCCCGCTAAAAGAACGGATCAATGAAACGGATACAGAAATGTGTTCGCCCCATGCCCCACGAGGGGGTAACGGGCCTTCACACATGAAATAAGTCAATAATCGAATAGACTCACCAACCATTTTCACTACCCTTACTCCATTATTGCCATTGCAGTATTTTTTTATGATATAGGTTTAGGCAAACGTAACGTAATAATTTAACGTAAATTAAAACGTAAACATAAAATAAACATAATGACGGGAAAATGCTTTAAATGTTTTGTTAAACTATTGTTTTTCTTCACAATTTAGGTACACAAAGGTCTAGTTGAATGGCTCGACGATATAGATCACAAAATTCAAGCTGATGATTCACTTCTCAATGATTTGTCAGAGAAGAAAGCTAAATTGGAGAAATTCAAGACCTTTAATAGGGATATTGATTCACATAAGGATTTGGTAAATAAGCTCAACGAGAAACTACAAGAAGACGCCTCACTGAAAACCAAAGATTTTGAGGACACTCTCCAAAGATATGACGACATCAAGAAAACTGTCAACGATATGATTAACGTGAGTATCCGTCTCTGTTACTTTTTATCTTTAGAAACACAAAAATGAGTAGATTTTATTTGTTTCAAGTAAATAATAAAAAGTGTATGCAAAATGTAATATATTTGTAACCATGATTCTGCAATATACAATTATTCCCTTTCAGAAACTGGAAGACTATGTGAACTCTCACATTCAGTACAAAGAATCATACGACACTTTCTATGACTGGATACGTAATTGCAAAATTGAAATACAACAATGTGCTGACTCCCACGGTGAAAAGGAGGAGGTGCAAAAGAAGTTGAAGAACGTCAACAAAATCATGAGTTCGCTACCTAAAGGTAAAGCTTTACTGGAGAAAGCCGTCACGCTCAGTGAGGCTGTCCTCGAAACCACGGGTAATGAAGGAAAGGACAATATAAACCAAGAGATAAAACAATTAAAGATTGAATGGGAGAACTTGCAGCAGATTTGTAAGGACACCAAGAAGCTTCTAGAACGATGCTTGTCCGCATGGGCCGACTTCACGGAGACTTCCGAGAAAATGACCAAATGGGTTAAGGAGTTCGACGGAAAATTGAACGATGTAAAAAAAGTCGACAAAATCACTCCGGAGTACCTAGAAAAGTGTCGCGTAAGTATTGTTTTTTGTTTTAGTACTCATTCCTATAGTTTTTTCGTTAATTTTTGCAAACAACCGTTTTTACAAGTTAAGATCAACCAGAAAACCAAGTCGAAGCAAAACAATATCCGTAAATTAGAATTAAAGAAAATTATATAATTATATATTAATAGGTTTTTTTCTTTCTAGGATCTCTTAGCGCAAGCTTTGGCAAATAAGCATGTGCTCGAAGAATTAAACGATAGGTGCGAAAACCTCATGGAGCAAAGCGCATGCGCCTGGGTTCGAGACAAAACGGTGAACCTTCAGACCGAGTACACTTCTTTACTTACAAAAATACAGAGCCTCGTCTCAAACGGAGAAAAGAACTTATCAGACCACACCGAGTTTATCAAAGCAAAGCAAGAACTTCAGCAATGGCTAGAGACGGCACACGGCACAGTACACGATTCTATAGGAGTCGGTGATATTGAAACAACTAAGGACAAGCTGGAAACCATTAAGCTGGTCACTAACAGAATGACTGAGGGACATCATTTGCTAGTCGTACTTCAAGAGGCGTTCAAAAAGGCGCTTAATACCACCCCTCCAGAAGAACAAGACGCGCTTAGAAACGACGTCAAAGTGCTACAGGAAAGCTGGGACCAGCTTAAAATAGACTTGAATTCCATAACAGCTCAACTTAAAGCGGCTATTGGCAAATGGGAGGACTTTGAAGAGTCAAAGAATAAATTGAACCAATGGATCAAGGATACGGAGCAAAACTTGGACAAAGTACCCCCAACTGGCGGCGAATTGGGTGAAATGAAGACGCTTCTTGAAAAATACAAACATATAGAGGAGGAGATAGACAACAAAATGCCGGAACTGCAGCGTATAAAGTGCGAAGGAAACGAACTAAGCAGCTGGGCAAGGAAACCGGCAGTAAAGGAGGCGGTCGTCGATGTCGAGAACAAATGCGACGCGCTGCGTGTCAAGTGTGCGGCGAAGAAGGCGGAACTAGAATCTGAAATCAAAGACTACAACTATTACCACCAGTCTCTCCAAGACACGGAAAAATGGCTGCTGCAAATTTCATTCCAACTCATGGCGCATAACTCCCTATACATTTCTAATAGGGAACAAACTGAGGAGCAGTTGGCCCAGCACGCGGTTCTTCTCGATGACATTCAGAAATACCAGTCGACTCTAGATGACCTGGAAGCTAAAGGTCGCGCTCAGATCGAGAGATACGAAGCGACGGCGCCATCCATTAGAGATACTGTTGGAAAACAATTGAAGAACGTCAACGACAGCCACAAAAGCCTACTAGCGACTGCGCTGCAAATTGAGAGGCGGTTGAGAGAGGGATTAGCCAAGTTCAAGGAGTACGAAGACACGCTTGAGAGCATATTGAACAATCTGGACGAATGCGAACCGGCCATCACTGAGCTGGACGTGCCCGTCGATGGATTAGCACACGGCAGGGATTTGCTTGAGAAGGCCAGGGTAAGCGACTTAGAATTTTTTTTAGGAAAATGAGTAATTAGGGGTTGCAGTGGTTCTATTATAAACTCAACGTTAAATTGCGTTAGTTTGGATTCAGGATCATAAATTGTTTCGGGAAATGGTACATTATTTTTATTTAAGACGTGTGCTTTATTTTTATTAATACCTTAGCTTACTTGCCCAAGTTATTTGTTCTTAGGGAAAACGAAAAAGTTACATCTATCACTAAATTAATTCATAATCTTAGGGCCTCCACAACCGTCTTCAAACGGAGAAAAGTAGACTCTCAGCTGCCGTAGCGGCATGTTCTGCTGCAGCAGCATCAGTGTCGCGACCTTCCTCGCCAGCTGACAGCGCCCCACTGCCCATTCCACCTCGGGAGTTACACGTTCGTGCCAGACTAGAAGATCTCATTGACCAGGTAATAAGGGCCACAGCAAACGTACTGGCTGCGGATTTATTGTCTGTGCCTTGATTGGTTGTGAATGTAATTAAAAAATATGTAATATAGTCTGTCGAATGTATTAGAAAAATAATGTTGTACTACTCATTTAAAATATAAAAAAATATTAATTTGATTTATGTTTTTAAAATAGTGATATTTGACATGCTGTATTGAGTTAATCTGACAAATAACCTTTTAAAAATATCAAATGAATAAAAATAAACTGCTTCTTTAGTATTAAACTTAATTAAGGTTTGAGATTGCCAGGTACAAAGAACAAAACCAACGAGTTGTTTTGTATCATTCCAAGTAAGAAATTGTACATAGTAAAATTGTTAACCAAGGTAGATAGTTAATCGTAGTTAGGATGAGCAAGGCTTTTCGTTGGCAGTGTATTTTGGCACCTGGTAAAGCGGACATGTTATCTATCGTCCCACAAATATCTAAGTTTATCAATGAATATTTCTATTGTTTCTTTTTCTCTTAGCCAGATAAGGTGTTCGCTTTTTCTGTTAAAAGAATTAAGTCTTGTTAATGCAATTGCATTGATGTTAATGCAATTTAATTAAAAACACCAGCACAGTTTTTGATGTTGTAAAACACTTGTGCACTTACTGTCTGAAATCATACCTTCTAAAATTCAATTTTGTAGGTACTATGCAAAAAGCTTGAAACCTTAAAAGTAGGTATGGTTTTAAATGAGTACAATCACTAACTAGCACTGTTTGTTGTGACGCATGGTTTGTCTTTAGAAACATGTAAGCGAAGTCGGTACCACCCGCGTCGATGTTTTGCTTAAGAATGTGGAAGCACCTGAGTTCAACATGAAATTAGACGAATACGAAAGGAGGGTAAGGCTTTTTTTGTTTGCTTCAGAACCCACTTATTATAGTATGCGTTTCTAACACGTTCATCTCAATGATGGTTATCTGCCGACAATAACCTATTTCTACTCTGAGTTTTGTTTGTTATATTGATTAGTTTGGATAAATTATTTTGTCGTAGAAATAAAAATTATCTGTCATAATATTAATGTTGGCGACACAAATATTGCACAAACTGACATAGTATTTGTGTTGTGTTTGGTCATTAAGCAAACTCTCTTATAAAGGCTACAGAACAAACTTATTAAATTTATTTATTATGGGACAGGTTCAAAGTCATCTAGATACTCTCAGGGATGCAGTGCAAGGTATGGAAGAAGCTATGAAGCAAGTGCTGGAAATTCAAGATTGGATAAATGTCCACAAAGCTTTGGCTAATGATTGGCTCTCGAACCCGTCTAAGCTCCGACCAGACGCTGCTAAACAAGATATGGCCGCTATGAATGACGCTTTAGGCTCACTGGCCGAAAAGAGAAACAGATTATTTACGGAAATACCTACTGAAGGTAACATTTTTTATTTTGTGTGTATTTTTTAATTTACCTTTCCATTCAAAGACTAACGAAAGGGCAGGGTTATCTGGGAAATCATGACAATATTTAATGTTTTCAGGTCTCGAAGATGAAATTAACCTTGAAGCAGAGCTAACAGAATTAGAACAAACCATCCTTAAAGCTATAGATAGAGAAAGGGGTAACCAGGGCATCATAGATGACTTCCGCCACAAATGTCAAGAAATACACGACTGGTTTGACGCAGTCCTCAAAAAAATGTGTTTGGCTGATAAAGGATCGGGCCTACCTTGTCCACAGAAACTAAACGCGTTGAGAGAACTTTCGTCTGAATTCGACCAAGCTGGCAAAGATAAAGTAGATAACATAAAGACTATCGGTTCAAAAGTAATCAATATTGTGAGCAACTTGGAATCACAACAAGTCGAAGAACAGGTAAATGTCTAAATCCACCATGTTATATTTTCTGTAAAACGCTTAAAATGTATTTTAATATGCCATATAACAAATGTTCTTTTGTTATTTCATAGATGAAATCAGTCGAGAGAAGATACAATGACATCGGTAAACGCATTCAACGAAAATTACAAATGCTCGAAATCACGTACAAAGCTATCGACGGAACTAAAAACGAAGTCGCTGCTCAAAACGAATGGCTTCAAAACCAAATTGACAGTATTCAGCATCCTGAACCCTTAGGCTTTGAAAGTAAGTCTGTAAAAGAACGTCAAAAGAAGATGGCCAATCTTCTTAAGGAAACAGACAGCAAAAAGACAGTTATAGATTCCCTTGAGAAGAAAGTTAGCAACATTCAATCTGAGTTGGAACCGTCAGAGCAAATGCAATTGGAATCTGAACTTAATGAGCTGGCCTCCAAGCAGAAACAACTATCGTCTCTTATCAAACAAGAAATTGAAAGATTAGGCAGCTGCCATGAAGTCAGGAAGAGATTGGAAAATGATATGGAGAAAGCTAAAAATTGGCTCAAAGCTAAACTGGCTGAAATCAAGAAACTGGGTGGAGCAGTACCTCTAGAAGCGGCAAAAATTGAAAAGGAAGCTGTGGTTCATAAGAATCACCAGACAGAACTGGCTGCTTTCCAAAACGATACTCTTAATGAAGTTTTACGACAAGGTAATGCTGTTTCTAAGGACTGCTCTACCGAGAACCGAGCTAAACTTCAAGCTATGTTAGAAGACCTTAACAAAATGTACACAACTGCCAAAGTAGACATCGATGACAAATTAACAGCATTAAACAAGTTGCTACATATTAGAAATGAATTTGAGGCTGATGTAGCGAAGATTCAGAGCTGGTTAAATGAAGCTGAAGTAGCAGCTACACCCGAACTGAGAACAACAAGTCTGCAATTATTAGAGGAACAATTAGTCAAATTCGAGAAGCTCAGCAAAGAAGCAGAACAAGTAGAGAAGAACATAAATAAAATCAAAGATAAATCTAAAGACATAATGGATTCCTTATCTGATTCCAACAAGTTGCAACTTAAGGAACAAGTCAATATCCTGTCTGATAGATTTGCGAGACTTAATGCTATTATTCACGATAAGAAAAATATTCTATTGAAACACATAAAAGAGTACAAGGATGCTGCTGCCAAGATTGCTGCAGCCCTCGATTTCCTCAATGAGATTCAGAATAAATTGAAAGCTTTGAACAAACCAATCGGCAGTAAGGTTGAGGACGTCTTACCCGTCATACAAGCATACGAATCTATTCTAGAAGACTTGAAAAAGAACAAAGCCATGCTTAATGAATTGCAAGGCGGTAACCTGCACGATTTACAGGATATTTTAACGAAACAAGACGATTTAATGAGTACCATTGAAGACCAAATATCAAAACTGAAGCAGCTGTTATTGTTGCGTGAACAGTTCTTTGCACTCGTCAAAGAGATTGAAGAATTTATCACAAAGTATACTGAGTTGACATCAGAAATCGAAAGATCTAACGATTCTCTTGATGATAAAATAAAACGATACGACGATATCATAGTTAAAATACAGGGATGTGAAGCATTATTGGCAACAGCTACTGACAAAGGTCAGCAAATTGCCGCTGAAGGTACTGTTATCGACAGGAATAATATAACAGAACTGCTACAATCTTTGAAACAGCAATTGCTAACTTTACGGCGTACAGTTGAATCCAAGAGACAGGAACATGAACGAGCAGCCGCCGAACACAAGAAATTGACTGCTGATTTATCTGAAATATTGCAATGGCTACATGACAATGAAGCCGTAGTCCACTCTAGACCACTTCTAAACCGAGACGTTGCTAGTGTAGATAAGAAACTAGTGGAACACGCGACGTTGGTTAAAAACGTTCAATCTTACCTGGACAAACTGACAATCATCACGGATGCCATTAAAAACGACGACGGAGTACCTGGGTCGCTACTAGAAATGGTTTCAGATGGGAACTCACTCAAAACATCGTTACCAGCGGAATTAGCTAACAGAGAAAAACACTTACAAGATAACAAAAAGTACAGACAACAATACTTGCAAATGGTTGAAAAACTGAACATTTGGATGAACGAAGCAAATATACGGCTTGATATGGGAAAGAACGGAACGGACTTTGAGAATATAGAAGCCGATTTGGAAGAACATAAGACTTTCTTCAGTGCATCGGAACCGGAGATGAAGGATTTAGTCGGGAAGCGAATGCAAGATATAGTGGATAAAATATGGTCTTCGCTGACGCCGTCGGAGCAAGAGGAGTTGTCGAAAGAACACCAGAAAAACACGCAGCTGTTAAAGAACACCTTGAACTCGGCTAAGTCGCGGCAAGCACAGCTGGAGCAAGATCTAGAAATCTGGAAGGACTTCTGTCAACTGGTAGAGAAAATAAAGGCCATTTTGGATAAGAACGAGATTGTTGAAGAACCTGTGACCAGCGTTGATGCTCTTCGATTGCACTTGGAGAAACTTAATCACGCCAAGAACGATTTAGAGGTGAGTGGTTTCTAAACTTACTATTATAGTATAAGTTTCTGGGGTATTCGAACAAAACAACTGCAACAGATTAAAATAGTATAGTTATAGTACGAATATGTCCCTTATTTTAGACGTCATTTAAAGTTTTTTTTTTATGAGCTTTTAGTAGTTTAGATAATTTGATAATTTAACTTTAAACTTAATAATTTTTACATTTTACTATAATAATAACATATTCAGCGTAAAAATGATTTTAAAATTAATCTTTGTTTGATTTCTTTCAATGAACTTTTTTTAACTTAACTTGAACATAAAGACAACAAACACACAGTAAAGTAGAGGCAGAAGTTTTTACTGCGGCTTACTCACGAATGAATAATTCGAGATATCTTTTTTTATAGTTGAAAAAAAAATATTCATATGGATAAGAAGGGATTTTCAGTAGCCTGCTTTTACTATCTTAGGTGTTCTCTGGATGGTGAATTACCCCAGCCATCTGAACAAGATGTGACATCGATCTATATTGACTTTGAAACAGTTTCTTTATTTGTTCATACAAACCTAATTTTTAATTGCTTACGCCGTTATACATAGTAAATTGTTCACTCTTTTAAGTTAAATTGGTACCTAGAAATTATATCACTACCAACGAACAAACGTTCCCTTCTTACATCAGGTTAGGCTAGTCCGAGTCGTCATTATATAGTTTCATTTTTCAAGCCGTATTGTCATTTGAGTTGAATGCACTCGCTCGTCCATTGTCATATAACTGAAACCTATATGGGCATTTTGTTACATAAATATACATTATCTGCCGGCCACACACAATTCAATGACTCATACAGTATGACAGTACATAAGAAGAAGAATTTAACTTCCTATTTTTTAAACATTGAAACAAGGAAACGGGGTTGTCCATTGCAGTCTTAGAGCACATAATTTCATTTGAGAAAGAATATTTTTCTTTAGAAATTTTCCATTATCCAACAAATTTGTTTTTTTTTTTGGATATGCATGTCCGTTTAAAATCTGAGATAATATAACGATAAACGGTTCCGACATCTGGTTAAAAAATAAGAAAATTGTTTGCCTTGAAAAGCTTTTTATCAATATTTATTACTAATATATATTTTTTAAATATTTCAACTCGATTCGTACAGTAAGTTACATAAGTTCGGTAAAAAACACATTTAAGCTGTGTTAATTCTTTTTTATTTTTTACTCATTAATTCGTAATCGTGTATTCATATATTTACATTCTTGTTTATTTTGAACTTTCAACAATGCAGACGATATCTTAAATGTATCTTTATCTCGTCACGTCTGGTTCAGTAAGTAATACTGAATACAGACAATTCATTGGAACCGAGTCATGTCGCTCGCCAAATTGGCTTGACAACTTAAATTGAATTCACAGCACGACCCTTGGTCACTGTTAAGGGGAGGGCGTAACGAATATAAAAATACTTAATTATTTTCAAATAATATTTAGCCTCTTTCTACATATTCAATCTTAACATCTTTGACGAATTAATTGTTCATTAAGAATGTCAACATTCATTCTATTTATAAATAACTAGCTGTGTCGGTGACTTTGTCCGCGCAGAATATTTATTTTGGACATCAAAATTTGTTTTTGCAAATCTGTTCAACTCTTTAAATTTAAGCTGACACTCACGATGTCGACAGTGTCCCGTCCTCTTGCATGTTAGTTTTTAAAGATATCGTCTCACGTGTTTTTTAAATATTTCAACTCGATTCGAGTAAGTTACATAAGTTCGGTAAAAAACACATTTAAGCTGTGTTAATTCTTTTTTTATTTTTTACTCATTAATTCGTAATCGTGTATTCATATATTTACATTCTTGTTTATTTTGAACTTTCAACAATGCAGACGATATCTTAAATGTATCTTTATCTCGTCACGTCTGGTTCAGTAAGTAATACTGAATACAGACAATTCATTGGAACCGAGTCATGTCGCTCGCCAAATTGGCTTGACAACTTAAATTGAATTCACAGCACGACCCTTGGTCACTGTTAAGGGGAGGGCGTAACGAATATAAAAATACTTAATTATTTTCAAATAATATTTAGCCTCTTTCTACATATTCAATCTTAACATCTTTGACGAATTAATTGTTCATTAAGAATGTCAACATTCATTCTATTTATAAATAACTAGCTGTGTCGGTGACTTTGTCCGCGCAGAATATTTATTTTGGACATCAAAATTTGTTTTTGCAAATCTGTTCAACTCTTTAAATTTAAGCTGACACTCACGATGTCGACAGTGTCCCGTCCTCTTGCATGTTAGTTTTTAAAGATATCGTCTCACGTGTTTTTTATTCATTTAAAGAGGAATCATTCTTCTATACATACTTTTTAGGTATCTTGAATCGTTTTCGCAGCGCACGCAATTGCCCTCAAATATGAATCATTTTCCCTATTTTTTCCACATTTCCCACTGTTTCTTCGCTCTTATTAGTCGCAACATGATGTTTTATCTTTACTCGAAAATACTCTAATCATCACCAAATAATTTTTCAACTCAAACCAGTAGTTCCTGAGATTAGCGCGTTCGAACAAACAAACTCTTTATATATTAGTGTAGATTTTATATCCAGAGTTAAACAATATTATATACATAATAAATACATTCATAGAAGTGAAACAATTAGTACTTTCTTGTCAAGTCTAATTACCAGCGAATGCACACCAAAAGAGGAAATGGTTAATGCGATGCAAAAGTATTGGTTGATAACGCGAAGTCACTGGTTCGGATCTAACCACATTCGCTATAAATAGTTACTGTAGCATGATACGGGCGTCGCTTATCCGTGAAATCGAATGGAGAAAACAGGCCGCGCTGTTTTGTGGTATCACATTAACATACACACAAATTAGGCAATTTTATATGCACAATGAAATACATAAAAGACTTGGTTAGTTTGATTTTTAATCCAATGACTGTAGTAGTATTGTGTAGAATGATAGAAATTAAAATAATTTGTATTTTTAATTTAAAAAAAGGCAAATTGAACACCTTATGATATATGAGTTCGGTTTTTAAATGGTATAGTTATAAACTAAAAAAATATAACTTTTAAATAAAACACTTTACTAATTTGAAAATAACCGAATGGGCCGAAGTTATAAAAAAATTTCAAATAAGTTTAACTAATAAATCGCGTTTTAAACTGTTAAAGCGTTTTATTTAAATGTGTACTACTCGCGTAAACTATAGATATTTTACTTTTGTTAAACTAAACTGCTTCTACAAGTCTAAATACCAACACTCACTTATAAATATTTAGTTTAAAGAATTTGTTTTTTCTGGAATTAGCATAGATTAATGATAACGATTCAAAAGTGCCACATACTCTGTTATATTGCTTTTCAGAAATCGTAAAGATAAAATTGTAATGAATATTATTCTGACATTGGTGCAATAATAAATGTTCTTCTATTGCGCAATATTTTGATAATTAACTAAGGTCTGATTTTATTTAGAAAAGGCATAAATTCTAATTAAAATAAACTTCTCTTGACAATGATGTTCGTTTGTATGGCGCCACCATCTCTTGATTATTGACACCCGGTCTTACTCCTTTATTTAGAAAAAAAAGGACACACTTTTATCTTATCTCATTTCCGGTTTTCTTTAATAGATTTATTAATCATAGGTAAAAATAAATGCCTTATGTCCTTATTCTATAATTAATATGAACATCGAAACGTAATGGCACGACGAAGCAAACTTTATTTTTTACTACAATTAATCTCCTGGTCACTTCCTGGACTTTTTATTCCTTTTCAATGAAAATCTTTTCAGATCCTTTTCAATCGCATGCCAATGTGACTCATACACATTCGCATGTAGAATTTTCCAGAAAGCACCACCATGTGCGAATCAATATAAAGGGGAATTCCGTAATGATGTTGCCTTTCGTGGGATTACATTTTTTATGTGATTTAATGTTGTCCGTTTAGGATTACCTTTGGTTAGCGGTTGCAATCGAAACGGCCACTGTATTGCGCTCTGTGGCAATATTTTCTCCTCTTAAATTACGCTAGAAAAGCTATAATTTAAAGTATAAAAATAGTTTTAACGGCTTGTTTTAAATTATTTAGTTGATCTAATAGTTTTTGATGATTTTTACCATCCGTTATTGACAATTTGGTTGGTAGGTAGCTATTAGACTAATTATGTGTTAATCCATAACCCGGACATAAAAATATGTCTGCCCCAATCTCGATTAGATTCATCATTCGTTGCTTTGCACGTATGTGCTACTACTGTCTTTCTATCCCAAGATTGCCACCCCAATCGAAATGCACCCCTTTCTACACACCAGCTGTGTACCTGCCGCTAGACCCCACTCATCGCAATGATTGTACAATTAGCGAAACGTTACCTTAACAACGGCTGATGTCATACTGTCAAGGCCTCCGCCGTCAACAGTCATCGTCCGTACACGCAGCAATGAGAACGCCGACACCACAATATTTCACAGCGTTTTCATTGACCAAGTGCATTTACGTGATTACTTAGATCGTATATTTTTATTTTAATCGTAAGTTCAGTGACAAAAATTCCACGCAAAAGGAAGGTGAGTGAGCGCGGTAGTTGGCGGTTCATGACTTAAAAAACGGATTAAAACGTGTTTCTTTACAGTGCCATTTTCGGGGGTTACTAACGTCATATATCGTGTTTTATTTCATGTTGTTAATTTTTTTGTTACTCGCGTACACAATATGCTCCGGTAAAATTTTTGATAATAAAGATAATTGTAATAAATTGCAAAGACCGGACGTTAAAGTTCATTTCCGGTTAGGTATTCTCCAACCGGCGCCGGCGCAAAGGGGACTCAACTGTTTGAAGCTGATTGTGCCATTATTTGTTATTAAGAAGTAATTATGGTTTTATAATATTCTAATTATTAAATAATTATGGTTTTATAATTGTTAACATAGTAGTGTAATTCAGGTTGGATTCACAAAAAAAACAACAAGCTTATGTTTCAAAGTTGACCGTAATGCTCTCGTAAATATTTGTGTATATTGTCGTATATCGTGTTCTGAACTTTCTTGTCTGCCCCTTTTAACGTTCTCTCGGGTGGAACTAGTGCATTGTATCCTGATTTAATATCTAGGTTGTATGAAACCGGTCCCGACATGTGTACGTGCATTAAATTGCAAGTGCATGACGCCATATTCGTATTATTTTAACTAAATTATAAGCTAAACATATTCGAGATTGAATCGAGATAACCTATACTAATATTATAAAGCTGAAGAGTTCGTTTGACGCGCTTATCTCAGGAACTATTAGGCCGAATTGAAAAATTATTTTCTTGTTAGATACACGATTTATCGAGGTAATATACTTTATAAAGATGAGAAGTTTGCAAGATTTTTTAAAAGAAAATAACTATTTTATGCGAAGTTGTATAATTAGTTTTCAAATAACTTCTGGACTTAACAGTTTAAAACGTCGAGTCATATTTATTCTTTAATAAACTTAAATATCAATAAATAATCTAAAATAAATACTTAAATATCATTATATTATATATACAGAATAATGGTCCAAAGACAATATCGCTTTATGAACTTATTCTTATGTTTTCCACGTTGTTTTCCACCTATCTAACTTAGTTTTTATAGGTATACTGGATTCAAAGCGCAAGAAAATCTATACAATAAGCCAACCTCTCTACTTTTTGCAATATTTGTATATGAAAAATGCTTAAACCCATACATCATGTTATAGATGCATCAAATGTTACTTGTAGGTATATTTTTCCAATATTTATTGTTTTTTATAAGTTTAACGCATTTCAATGAAAATTTTAGAGCCGTTAAAACATGAAGTTATATTATGTTGTCAAATAGTATATGACAACATGTTGATATATATGTACATATATTTCGCGTTTAAAACTGTTGACGTGTTTTATCTAAATATGTACTACTTGTATAAAATAAAAATAAAATATTTTTAGGGAATGTATAACCGATTTGACAGCGCACGCAACGCAAATTCTTGAAGATTAAAAATTTTTTCCCCGTATTTTTTACATTTCGCTCTTATTAGTCGTACCACGATGTTTATAGCTTAAAGCCTTTCTTGATAAAATAATTTTTCAATTCGAACCTGTATTTCCTGAGATTAAAAAATATGTTGACGTATACATTTCGCGTTTTAAACGTCTAAAGTAACAATCGGCGTGGAGTAGGTGCATTTCTCATTAAGCGTGCATATAATCTCGTTAGCCCGTAATCAGATATCTGCGATCGTCATGCTATTATTGTACACCGTTAAGTGCGGTTTACAGTATTAAGTAAATACATTTAACTTATATGATAGGTTTGAAGTCGGGTCTATTTATACGTATGTGGCGTGTTCTCGTCGAGCCTTGGAAAGGTATAGGTTCGGTTTGACGAATATAAATGAACTAGCCTTTGCCTGCGACTTCGCGTGGGTTAATTATATTGAACCGTTTTCGCAGCGCACGCAACAGAAGATAATTCCCTTGTTATCCACATTTCTCTCTCTCTCACATCGCTCCTATTGGTGGCTTGATGTTGTATACCCTAAAGTCTTCCTTGATAAATGCTCCAAACAACGCATATTTTCAATTCAAACCAGTAGTTTCTGAGATTACCGCGTTCAAACAAAAGACTTCTTCAGCTTTATAATATTAGTATACCTAGATAGTATACATTCCTAGGGGTTGACCGTTAATCAAACGATTATAAAGATAGAGTATGATGGAAAAGTTGAAGAGAGAATGAAGTCTAAAAAGTATTGTCTAAGCGTGTGGCCCGCATTAAATCTAACTTTTCAACGGTTCAAAACGAGAAATATATGCCAATCGGCTTTTAACTCTTGTAACCCCGGTTTAAAATCGTTAAACGTTTTAACTGTTGTGTACCACTCGTATAAGCTACAATCTTCTAATATGTGTTGTTATTTTTCCCTTTCGTTTTGCAAAATTCTAATTCGCACAGTTTGGCCATCTGTGGCGTCACTAAAAATAACTATTACGAGATAAGCGCACGAGCAAGGTCACGGTCGAAGGCGCCGAGTTTCCTTCTAACGTTTCGGTGTTTAGTTTAACTTAACTTTATTTAGTTTTAAGTTATTTCACAGGCCAATGATTTAAAAGGAAATACTTGTTCCAATCCAATGGATTGATATGGAACCTAAATGTGTATTCCGTTGGACTGTAATATCTAGCGAGTTCCTAAATTGGTTTATATTTTATTAACCGCTCGCATGTGGTACATAACTGAAATTTAAATTATTTCGTTAATAACAAATATGCACACTTACAAGCGTTTATTAATTACCTGCACAAATTAAACGTATAGCCAAGTCAAGCATAAGAAAACAAATTTTAATGAATTTTAATAATACAATTTTATTTCACATTATATATATAAGTATACTTTACATTAAAAATAATTAAAAACACTACTTAAAAACGTCACGGATTTAAACGCGAAGCAAAAAGTAATAATTTTTCACAACCATATTGTAATAATGCTTTACAGTAACCGTGGTCACAGGGTATTTTTCGAATTTTAAATCGTTAAATGTGTTTTAATTTTAAAACTATACAATTTCGTAAAAGTTATATACATTTTTCTAATCTATTACGCAAGATCACAGCTACCTGCAAATTACCAAAATTCTTATTGATCGATTTACTTATTAGTGTTCGGACAAGGTCACGGCGTTAGATAAAGAATGCATTTACAACATGCGAATTTTCTCACTCGCCGCTTATCGCGTTATCAGTGATAACATTGTAAATAAACGATACGCAAAGTAACGACCGCATAAGCCCACTTTCGCCAGTTATGCGATGAATTTCGATAAAGTCTACGTTCTGTTACGGGGTTTTGAATTGTGTGGTGCAATAGTTCGTTTTTAAATAAAATTTGCTATTTAAAAGGTTTTTATTATGTGATTATCTTATTTCATTACCTTAATAATCTGTCTTTGTTCCGACTGCAGTTTCACGCCACTTCTCTTTCACCTACTGTTAAAAACAACAAAGGTCAAATCATTTTAATGCCTTTTTTCTACACTATGAAAATAGTGTCGAAAATACGTTGTCAAATGTAAACTTTAGGATGCTATTAATTTCGGATATAAATATTACACGTTTACAAAGAAACTGATATCAGTAACAATAATTCTTGAAACTCCGAATTTTCAATATTCAATGCGGCGTAAGATGAGTCAGCAATTATTATTTCACTACATTTCAATAACTAAATAATAGAATGCGTCTTAATTCATGCAATTTGTTTTGTTTTATAGAGGAATACTCGCGTAAGCTTTATTAAAGTCGTTGTCTATTAAACTAATTTATTTAATTTTTTTCTTAGAACCAGCAGCCGCTTCTCGACGTTGTTCGGGAGCGTGCTCGCGAACTATCAAGTGGCGCAGACGCAGCGAGCGGTGAACGCGTCGAGCATCGAACCCGGGAGCTCGCTGAACGTTGGAACATCGCTTGTGAAGGTAGGTTTAGGTTTAGTCTATTTTTTGTATTCTCTATTTAGTCTCAAAACTTATGCACAATCTTTTGTAAATAAAAGCATCATACAATTAACATGCACATTTGGACATTTAACAAAATTTATATTCAATGTACTATTTTCAGTATTGACAAAAAGCCTAACTTACTCAAAATTAACCTAATAAGCCTTGAAGAATTGATTCAGCCATTTATGTCAAGCATTATATTGTAATTTGTCTTCCTTAGGGCTAGCCAAACGTGCCGCAACAACTGATTCCCAGCTCCACCGCTGGACCCAGCTCCTCGATTCGCAGAGGAGCCTAGCCTCCTCCATCACAGCAGCATCAGACAGGCTTCGGCAACTAGACGCCAACCCGAGCACCAGGAGGCGCGCGGTCGACACCCGTCATGCACTGCAGGTCAGTTTATTTCATCTTTTTAATCTCGCACGAATTGTAACGATGGGCTCGTTCAGCTTTATATATTATAATAGATGTTATTATTTTTTGTGCGTCTGTGCGCTACTTGCAAAAAACAGCTCAAAATATTTTTTCCTCGTCAGGAGCTCCAAGCCGAAGTATCCAGCCTGGAAGAGAGCAGAGACGACTTGTTAGAGCACGCGGATTTCGTCGTCTCCCTTCTGACACCGCATTCGCAACAACTCGCACAAGACACGAGAACCGGAGTGCAGGAGCTAGTGGAGGCCTATGAGAAGTAAGTTGTGTGAGCTTTATAACCATTTATTAGATATAACAGAAAAATAAATAGTTGAGCTACAAATGTATAAACATTTATGATCTCAAAGGCAATAAGTATTTGTATGTTCACACAGTAACAGCACTCTTATTATAGCGATAACATGGGGGTAAATAAGTTAAGAAAAAAGAAAGATGTCCTTCAAAGTCAAGTTTTAGAAATAACTTCTTTATTTCATAAATAGATATTATTTAAACTTTCAATATACTTACATAATAAGTGACTTTTAATTTGAAATAGTAGATTCTGAATAGAGGTAAGTTATAGTTTGTCCATGTAAGATATTTTCAAAACTTAAATAAACAATGAAAGTCCTTAAATAAATGATCAAATGTATAATCTCAAAAAACTATTAATTGCATATAGTTCTGAAGAAAAAGAATTTTACAAATACATGTGTACAATACACACATTTTTCAATAATTTACGATAAAAATATTACAGAATATGAAATACTAGTTAGTTTTTGGCCTGGAATAAACATTTCTCACTGACATGCTTAAATAACTGTCGCCGTGTATTCGTTTTGTATTGGAGATGCTCTTCAAGTGTGACTGAGCGCTATAAGCTGTGTTCTTGGGTTAATTGGCTTTGAAATAACTAGCTTATTAGCTGTCCACTACGCTAGTAACTGTTTTACATATGTAAACATGCCTTCATTAGTTATATTTCAAGTTTTGAGGCTCGTTAGTCTAATGGTAGCAATGGATAGCAAATAAACAACGGGTCGTGGATTCGATTCCCACCGGGTCCAATATATTTCTAACCAAGTTATAATTTTTCTGAAACATGTTGAACTTCTGAATCTGAACATTGATTTGGTGGTACCGAAATGCCACCCGGGTCACGAACCACCGACCACAGATAAAAAACCGTGATAGTCAAAATCAAAATAGGTCGACTTGTTTAGATGTTATATGTGTTGAGTATTTCACCTACCAACAAGCGTACCACATGCTTGTCTGTCATCTTTTATAATAAAAAAAGGAAATATTATTCACCTACGCTACTACTCCCTACTTGTGATAACTATAGTGGTTACAGTAATTCCAATTTTAAAAGTTACCTTGAAATAAAACAATTCAATTGAGGTATATCTTATTCTACGAGGACAAATGATCGTATTAAATTTATTTCTAAATAAGCGTTTTTTTTACAAATAAGGCCCCAACCGAATATTTGCGTTTATTAAGGCATGTATGAGAGCCGTTTGTCTAGTGGTATTCTCTTCCGAATGTTCGTGAGGTCGGGAGTTCGTTATAATTTTGTACCTTTGTATACATCTCGCTATATCTTTTGGGTATGAAGATAGTGTAAGGAAACCTGTATGGCCTAGAACCCTAAATTTGCGCGTCAGTGACCAGCTTGGTAAAGGCGTGATAAGACAATCTTGATATACAATAGTCCTTATATGTTATAATTAATTCTCTTGAGCTGATCATGATGTCGCGACTGTTCGACTCACTGTTAATTTTTTGCTTTTTCGCACGACTTTGTAGATTTACCGGATGTTTTTCATAGTTTTTGTAGTCAGCGTCTGAAACCTTTTCGAAAATGGTTCGGTCGAAAGCGTATTAATATTTTAAACGTGATTAACGTAAGGGGTTGTCCATTAATCACGTGACCTTTTTTTAGAATGTTTTAAGCCTCCCTCCCATTAATGGACAATCCCTACGTATAGGTTGAGTACTTGCCCCTCTTCTCAACATTTTGTGTCATGTGTAGAACCTAAAAAATGTTAAAATTTTTAATTGAATTGAATTGTTCTAATTAATATAAATAGGTATAAACTAAATTTTTTTTATTCGAAATTAAGACCATAATAAAAATATCTAACCATTTGTTTAAAAGTTATCTCGCGTTTGACGAAACAATAACTACTAGAGATATCTTGGCCTACACAAATTATGTCACACAGGACTGATTTTAGCTCTTAAGTCAGAGGACTGTTATCCAGCGTGATACATAATTTCTGGTTATGTTTTCTACAAATGTCGGAAGTTGTCAGCGCTTGGCAATTCCCCAATTGTTTGACAGCTGGTTAGTTCCCTATATTGTTGCAGCAAACAAATATTTTTTTCCAAGACCGTTCTGTCGTGTGTGTAATCGTCTCGTATCGTATGAATTTTTATTACACACATTTTTAAGACTTATTCCATTCGATAAAATTGACAGGAAAAGTTATTGTTTACTTTAGAAAATTACCAAGAAATTAATAAAAAATAAGAGAGATTTACTTTAAAATAAATTACATAAAAACACATTTATTGGAACAGGTTTTGAAGTGTTTTGTTTATTACACACCTTCTGCTTTCTGTGTGGTCAAGCTAAGTTAGGTCATTTTGTGAATTAGGGGTTTAACTTTAGCATACTAGTCGAAATGTTCGTTTCGCTTCTCTATTTTCACAGTCGGTGGTAAAGGTAAAGATTGTAATAATAATTGAATTACTCAACCTAACTACTGTAACATAATACTGTACCGTAATAATTAGCGGTTGTCTTATCATCGTACATTTAAGGATAAACTGTTCGGAGTCTGGTTTTGTAAATGCCTCGCCAATTTGGGATTCCAATGCCACATGATATCATTTTATTTATTTTCGAGATTTCAAATTGAAAATATGTTTTTTATGTTATATTAAGCTCTTTTTAAAGAAGTTGCTTTGATCGTGCAAAGGAATGAAACAAACTCAAAGTTAAACGTTTGTATAACAATAGTATTTGTGTTTCCGAGTATATGCCCGGCTCAAGGATAGCAATAACATTACGTTTGAAAGGTATTCGTAAAAAGTGATTAATTTTATGTTTGTTGGCAACCCACATTGCTTCGTTTAGGTGTTCGAATTAAATTATTGACGTGAATTCCTCCAGGCTCCTACCGCGAACATTTTTATATAATACGACGATAAGTAACTCAGTAGTACATACATACAAGACACGTTCGAAACAGTCGTAGTTGTAGTTTTGAAACCGTTTAAATTTTAATTAAAAAATGTTTATTGCCATTTTTATTTAATTTTACGATGTACATATAACTACTAAATGAGGAATATTGTATTCTTCAAAACTTAATTAATAAATTATACTCAATAGTAATCTTGTCTTCAGACCGGCCGGAGTTTATTTTCTCTGAAAGCTTTAGAAAATGCAGAATAATTTTAGTTCCAGGTTTCAATTCGTTAACCCTTTTAATAGGAAGTAGTAATAATTTAAATAAAACGGCCGCAACGTCGGGCCAGTGTAACATAAATTGTAATTAAGTTAACTAAAACATATGTTTTAAATCTTTAAAAGTGTCTTATTTAGATCTGTACTATTCACGTAAACTACGGACAATGCTTAGTAGCAATTTGTTAAAGTAACTCGTACACAAACACTACTACTAATTATTTAATTGGACTCGTATGTAATCGGTTAGTAGATTATTAAGATAGTTTTAACGGCTTTTCACCAAGGTCCTTCTATACTTGTCGATGATATTAAAGATAAGCTGACGTCATAGTTTTTACAAAGACAATATTGGAATGATTAAGTGAGCGACGAATAACTCTTCAAGATAATTTTGTCCCGCCGATGATGTAATTGTGCCTTGAGAATATTCAACGCGATTTTGATTTGAAAAACTTAAAATACACGAGGACTCATGGAAGTAGTTGGATTCGGTTGGGGCGCTGGGGCTTATTATTAGCTTATTGCTACGCGGATGGTACAGTCATGGCCGCGGTATGCTGTGCTGTTTTACTTAGAATAGGATAGTAACTTTATATTTTGTATTTATTTTGTACAAAACGCTAGTTAACAGTGTTACATAGCCTTTTATGCCAATGGTTTAACAGTTTGAAAAAGCTTTGCAAAATGGCCGTGACTGCCTTACATAATTTGTAGGTGTGTTTACTAAGTATTACATTGGCGCGTGTTGTGATATTCTATTCAAAGATACATCAACAGATCAGAAAATGCATCACGTATAACATATATTTTTATTTCAATAAAACACTTTAACGGTTTAAAACGCGATATATATTAGTTATATTATATTATATATTAGTTAAACTACGGCCCGACGTTTAACGGCGAGTGTTTTATTTAAAAAGTATACTACTACTCGCGCTAACAACAGACAATATTTACATGTTATTAGTACGTTCTTTCTAAGTTAGATCCAAAAGTTACTTAAAAATGTATTGTGAAACTCATTTTATTACCTTTTAGTCCATCGGCATGTAAATCTAAGTAAGTGAAATGGTATTCAATGAAAATAAAATTTGAGCTTTGAATAGAAGTGAAGTTTAATCGCTTATTGGGCTGTTGGATGGTGTCAAGTAGATAGCAAGTGTTATTTATTCCTTTGTTATGTTACGCAGAATACGACAAGTGAAACGCTCGTATATTGCGAATATATATATTTTAAACTATTTTAGTTCGAAACTGGCGCGAAGCGAGTGATTATTTGTTATTATGAATGAGGGCTCAGTGAAAAGCAGAAAACATTTTCATAGCATCGCATAAAGGCGCCCGGCGATGCTAGAGATGCTCGAATAAAATATAATATAACCCCTGTCTCGTAGGGTTGATTTTGAATCGATCGCGTTTCCAGACGGCGGTCGGGGGTGTAATCGTTACGTATTCAAACCGCTAGACTATTTCGGATCGGACCGCGCATGCGCTCTTCGCGTTTAATGGGTCAGGGCCTACCAGTGTGGACTGGAGCCGACTCAGTGCTATACATAGAACATTCGCTATTACTCAGCGCAGCTTTTACATCGCACGTGCAATGCGGGCGAACCGTTTCACCCTTCCTCGAGTAAATCCCACAGCCTACGACTCGATGCAGACGCATTGCCGGCATAACCTAGCGAACCCTCTGCCCTCGTAAGGGTTTCCGGAGTCTATTTTTGCGTTCGGTGAGTTCATCCGACTGTATAGAGCGTTTGTGGTGGCATAAGCGCCAGGAACGGCGGTTTTGGCAGGCGCTAAACAAATGTTTACCTCGCCCACACGATGCGGCGCCGCGGCCGGCCGGTTAGGGGTACGATAAGCGCATGTCCCTCCGTTGCGCATTTCGTCCACTCGCGAAGACTGCGCAAGGTCGCCCAGTCACGTCATCCCGCGCCCATCAACATATGCCGGCGAAACGTAAACATCAGTGCAGCGAAATGTTAATCTGATGTCATCGGGCCGCGTAAATAAAATTAGCCGCGGCGCTCGAGCGTACGGCTCGGCCCATTGAACGACGGGCGAGCACAGCGAGCGGAGCGCCGCCGGCCGCTGCCACAAACGAAAAGGTACCCGTGCGACCTTGCGCCGAACTACACGTCACGCGACGGATTATTTTCGTCGCGCTCTGGCACCTCTTCCCCGTTCGTCGGAGACGCCGCGAACTCTTTATACGTGCATAACGTGCCTGTCTTTCTTTTGCAGATTGCGACAGACGCTTGCGGCGAGACTCGAGGAGATCGACAAAATCGTTTCCGAGTTCGATCGAGTATCGGAGAACATCGAAAAGCTCCGGCAACAGATCGAGGTCTACATCGCCAAAGTCGGGACCTTCTACGTCTACGGAGACGACGACGCGGAGGCGGTACGCGCTCTAGCGAAACAGGTCACAGATCTAGTCGATAAGACGAAGAACTTCACCGAGGATAGCAGAAAACGATACGGCGGCGCGGCGCCCGCGGACGTCGCGCAGGAGTTATCGGCCTTAGAATTATCGGCGGAAGCTTTAGCCGCAGCGATGGAGGAGAAGGAGAGGGAGTGGAAGAGAGCGAGGACGGCGCGAACGGAATACGCCGCGGACGTCGAAGGCGTCCAAACGTGGGTCCGCTCCGCCGAGCTCACCGCTAGGGAGAGGACTCTCCCCCCGGAAGCGTACAAAGAACGTTTGGTGTCGACTAGGTCAGAAATTCCAAGCGTCGCTGACCGTGTGGAAAGACTGACGCGCAACGCACGCGCGATCGTAGAGGGAAGCAGGGACGCCGGTGAACGGCAATTAATCCAATCTACAGTTACCGCGCTGGCGGAACAATTTAGCGCGGTCTGCAGTGAACTGGAAACGCGACAGGCGGCCGTCGAGGACGCCTGCGATGCCGTTGCCAGGTTCCTGGCTCTATTGGAGAAGGTCCTGCTTTGGGTGGAAACGCAGCGTGCTTTCCTTGCGCGGCCACTTCCGTTGGCCGACTTGCAGGAGGCCCAACAGAAACAGACTGAATACGGGGTGCATTTTTTTCCAGTTTCTTATGTTGTCTATGTATATTAGGGTCTAAAATATTTAAAAAAATATTTGTTTTTACAGAACGCTCTCAAGAGTTGTAAGCAGCAAGGTAAAAATTTAGCGGACATGTCTAAAGAAATCGAAGCGATCGAACGTGTCACGAGTCCGGGAGATCTACCTTCGAGATTAGAGGCGGCTGAAAATGCGACCGTAGATGTTGAAAAGAAATTAGCTAAAACTGTTCGTAATCGATGCACTTGGCAGGATCATTGCTATGTCTGACGATGTTATTTATACTTTATACTGTCTCTTTGATTTTACAGAACGGTTTGTTACAAGAGTTGGCGGAAGAATGGGAGAGATGTGAGAAGAAATTGAAAGACGTCGGACACTGGATTGAAGCCACGTCCAGAACCCTCGATGCTCCGCAGAGTGCGAAAAAGCCTCTCAGAGATAGACTGGCATTAAGAGAAAAACTTATCAATGATATTTCAACACAGAAAACAAAAATATCGTACGCGGTCGAGAAACTCAACGTGAGTTTGAGCAATCCATTGATTAGGTTGTGGTCCTTTTGCTTTTTGTGGTGTCGGGTTCTTTTTAGCTTTCGTCGTTTTAAAAGGTCTACTCATATTTTATACTTAAGCCCTGGCTTAAATAACATGTTTATATACAGGTTCACTTCGGGCCTGAAGGTGTAGCGTCACAAAATCAGTTCCCTGAAGGTGTGCAAATAGCTGCGCGGGAGTTGTGCGAGTCTTTGGATTCGCTCAACGCTAGAACATCAGCTCAAGCGCAACAATTTGCGGCAGCGTTAGCACAAGTAGAGGCTTACTGCGCCGACATCGTGCGCCTGCGGACTCAATTGCTCGACGCCGAGCAACGTCTGAGGCACGCCGCTCAGCCTAACTACAGTCCTCGGGATCCAGACACGAAACTCAAGCACCAACAGGTAAGAACTGATATATATATCTAGCTCATCACGCACTGATTTCCAGTAGGTGGCTAGCGATTTTTCTAGTTTTGTTTATCGAGTCGCGAGGCTCTATCGTCTGAGGACGCTACGGCACAATATCTCCACCTGTATATTATCACCGATCACGCGATTCATGTTTTTTTTTGTTGTTTCTTCCTCCCTTGATCCATACTAACTGTTCGAACGGTCCTCTGATAGGAATGTCGAGATAGAGTCAAGTCACTTCAGAGTAAGATTCAAGCGCGAAACGAACGCATCAAGCTGATAGTACAGCGCGGCGGTCCGGACGCCGATCCGCTCAGGGACGCTTAGATGCGTCAATAAATATTTACTTTTAATATTTAAGTTGGTTTCTAGTAACATATTCCTATATTTATTATAAATTGAGAAAGCGAAATAAAAAAGAACTATATCGCAGCCACCCTCGTTTTTTTTCAACACACCATCGCTCATCGAACCCGTTAAATTATGTATGTCCGTACTTACGTATCAGGAAGTCACCCGGCGTATCGAAGAGCTGACTCGGAGCATCTTCGAGTTGGACCCATTCTACGTGATGGAAGACGACCCGGCGGTGACTCTTGCGATGCTCGTGTCCACTGCTGACAGAGCGCGCCTGAACCGCCGCCCGCGCTCTCCTGAGCGACGCGAAACCGCCCTCCGCGCGCGAAGCCCTGCTACCCCTGCCTGGCTTCAACCCGGCACCACTTACGCCGAGATAGTGAAGGGTCAAAACTCGCGCTCTAGTTCTATTAACTCTAGACACCACAGTGCGCAGAGACTCACGCACAGAGTGCATACTCCAGATCATATAGAGAGTGAAATCATAGAACCGGTAATCAAGGAAATTACCGTTGAAAGCGTAAGCCCCGAAATCACATATCATAGTGATAGTGTACTCAGACAATCTTCACCTAATATCAGTGACAGAATGGATTACAGTGAAACCGTACAGTGTCATAGTAGTGAAAGTGATATGTATAGTGATAATGTCCGCTATGAATCGGTTCTAGACACGCAAAATTACTTATCTTCTGAATATCAGAGTTTGGACACTGTGTCTTCCAATTTGATCTTAACAGAAGGAACGAGTATTCCTCCCCAAGCTCGTGCCATAAATGAGCTACAGCCCCCTGACGATAGGGCTAGATCTCTTAGTCCAGCGACAAAATATAGATCACAGGACCTATCGTATGCTGAAATACTAGCGCTTGGACTTAAAAAGCAGCCAAAGACCCACATAATCATGAGCTTGCCTAAACCACAAGTTGCACATGTAGAGATGGTTAAGGAAATTACCGTTGAAGTTGAGAAAGCTCCACAACCGATTGAACAAAAGACGCCACCACCAAAATACAGAACTGAGCGACCAGAAAGGCCTCAGCGAAGCCGTTCAAGGGACATGCCTCGTCAACGACGAGCTCCAGAAAAACGTGCAACAAGGGCACATGACACACAAACTTTCAAAAAGAAGAGAATAGCTAAGAAAGTAATGGAGGTTAAGGAGTTTGATGATGCCCCTGAAATAATATCTGATGAAGTATCTCCATATGTTGAAAAGCGCAACGATGCGAAACGAGATACAAATGAGATTGAAACTATTCCAGTTAAAAATCCTGAAATAATAAGTTGCCTTCCAGAATCAAAAAATTCAAGTGACATCGACGAGAAGTCTGATGAAATAATTGGCGATGTTGCTGCTAAAAAGCAGAAAAAGAGGCAAAAACAAAGACGTATTAAACCGAATGAGGATGAAATTGAAAAAGCATTGAAAGAAATCGAACAAACCACTAAGCAAAAGAAAAAGAAATCAAAGGGACTTCATGAAAAAGCAAAAGGAAATGTTGACATTACAAATATAACTGAGTCTCCTGTTAGTCGTTTGGAAACAAGCCCACATGCGGATTACCCTCTTAAGATAACTGACTCAAAAATGAAATGTGAAAACATACATTCTGTAAAAGAAAAGGACGAAAAAGTTCACTCCAGTTTTACTAAAAACATTTTAGAATTAAATGTATCTAATGTGAGTAACATTGAAAGTAAGAAATCTATTGAACAAGCTTCTGTAACAAATTCAAAAATGAATAAAACGGATAATAATAACGAAGATACAAAATCCAAAAAGAAAAAGAAGTCCAAAAAAAATAAAACTATCCCTGACACTCAGTCTGAAGTACAGACTAAAATAAAACCATGTCGTGAAACAGATAAAAAACCTGAAATAGATTCGCTATTGCGGCAACATATGGATGAAAGCAACATCAATGCAAAAACTGACGCAAAAGAGAGTATAATAACTTTAGACTGGAATACACTCATGGAAGAAGAGAAAAATATTGCGGAATCACCAGTTTCTTTTGGCATCGAACATATTTCTATCAATAATATACCAACACAAGTGGCTACCGAAGTGGATATTCTTCCAGAAAGAAATGAAAATATCACAGATTCAAAGAAGATCAAACCGGAAAATATATTAGAACCTGTGTCTTCTACAACGTTGGTGGAAGAAACCAGGGAAGTTTCGCAGACAACTACAGCTGAAACTCTAAAAGAGGTTCAGGAAGAAAAAAATCAACCCTCAGGACAAAATGATTTTGAAATCAAGCAAGGTGATTTGATTAACTTCGATTATAGTCAAATAGAAGAAATACAGAAAACTGCATCAGAAGTGCACATATTGCAAGAACGTAATAACACCAAATCTTTATCTCAAACTCAAGATTATTCATTAGGTGGTGGTAAAACCAACAATAACTTTTCTATTTCAAAGAAAGCCGACCAAAACGTTCAGAATATCGACAGTAACATAGATGATACCATAGTGGTATCAACTGTTGAAAGTGAGCAAAATAATAACTATAAGTTGTCATCACCTCAGACATCTAAAGAAGTAATTGATGTTGTTCAAGAGGTTCAAACTTATGAACCCAAGGAAGTAGATACTCATACTATTTATCTTATAACTCACGAAGAGAAAAAGTTACCCCCAATAAGGACGGTAAAGGTTTTCACTAGTAAAGAAGGAACTTCTAATAAAGCGACTATAATGTTGGATGGTACTCAAGACAAGATGGAATCCTGTCAAAACGAAGATAATGCTCAAATAAATGTTGAGGAACAAAAAGCTTTAGATCAAAATATATCGAAAGCATTCAATTTAAACGAAATCATAAAAATTGATGATGCAACGAATACGAAGTCAAAGGATACTACACTCAATGAAATAAAAACGGAAGTTGCACTCGTTAAAAAAGCTGAGTGTGGGATAGATTTGCCAGAAAAACAAGTAGATCAATCTGATAATTTTGAATTAGAAGAAGTAATATTTGGTTCGGTGCAAGACAGAAAAAAACCTTTGTCTGAGATGTTCGAATCTTCCATTCCTTATCAAGCACTAAGAGATGAAGTGAAAACATATTCTATGGACTTAGATTTTAATACATTAGAATATAATTTCTACAAACAAATTATTAAAACAAAAACCGAGGACAAAACGATTGAAGCAAGTCCAAGTAATATATTAATATCTCAATCGAACTTCAAGCCGATCGACGATGAAAGGACATGTAAAGAGATCGATTTTTGTCAGCTAAATACTATTGTAAAGGAAAATAGTGGAGTAATCAATGATGGCGTTGGTACATCGACGAATTCGAAGAACTGTGTCACTATGTACGATAAATCTTACAATTATCAAGATATTGACGATTCTGAATCATTATTAGCGACGTTGGCAACTCAGAAGCTAGAGAAACAAGACGTAATGTCTAATACAGACGAACCTTCAAATCGAGGCAATTTGACGTCCTGTATTTCATACGGTTCGTCTGATGATAATAAATCAAGCATAAATACAGAGAATGGAAAGGATTCGCAACGCCACTTAGTGGGTAATCTTCTTCAGTGTGAGATACCAAAGCAATGCTATTATGATATGCAAGATGCAGAAAAACTATTAGCTTTCGCCATAGAAAAATCCCTGATCGATGGAAAAAATAAAAAGCAAGATAATGTGCATATAAATGAATCGAAACGTGCTCATATTAGTCCTTTAAAAAGTTTCGAAAAGCCACAAAATTCTGATGAAAAACAAAATAAAGAAGAATATTCATTTGAACAAGCAACTTACGATCGGTACGAAATTAACCAAGCTGAAAAACAACTCGCTATCCTAAAGACACAAAACCTAAATACAGAACTCGACAATATTAACATGAATACAATTGAGAATACTGACAAACCTAAAGATATGAATAAAAATATTCAAAAAGACGATTTTGACGTGTTATATTATTCCTATTCTGACTTATCAGACGCTGAAAAACTATTGGGTAAAATTTCTTTAAATGCCCCCCGTGAAGCTGTAGATAATAGTGCCGTTGCTAATGAATGCAAGGCGAAATTAAATAATACAATCCAGACCGTTACCGCTGAACCAGAAAAAATAAACAACTGCGAAATATTAATGTTTGATTTATCGCCTTATAGTTATTATGACATAATGGATGCTGAAATGCGATTGGCCAAACTTCTTACTCAAAAACAAAATGATCAATGCATTTCTGAAACAACGCCATCACCTTCCGCTGCAGATAGGAAAACGAATCCGAATAAGGTTGTGAAAGATGAAGTGATTACTGAAACTGAATTGTGTAACGATGATATAGAAAATGATATAGCAATGCCCGTAATTGAGACAGATTTTGAACCAACAAAAGAATCAAAGACAGATTTTTCTGAAATGATACTGGAGCAAGAAATCTATGTAAATAAAGGTGCAATATGTGATGGAAAAGATTTTAAAGATAAACATGATAAAGCAGAACTAAATGATGTGTCTAGTATAGATAGAATGGAAACTTCGTTAGTTAATATGGTTTTTGGTAACATCGAGAATATGCACGTACCTCTTACTAAGCCCACGGACCAAGCGGATACAGAAATGTCTTCAAAAGAAGTCGATGAATTTTTATTTGTTGACATCATAAAAGACAATAACGAAGATGTGGTTGATTTTAAAGTATGCGTATCCTTGCAGGATTCTAGTGACTTAATGAAATTCGATAATAATAAAGCTAAACATATTCCTATTAAGGAAAGTTCTTTAGATATAGTTGAAAACACTATAAAAGTAATACACAACACTATTCAAGAAAATAGTTTGCAAGCTTCACTTCAACTACCCGCAGAAGAGTGTAAAGAAATTACTACTTCCAAAAAACCTATTACATTGAGTACAACGGAATCAACAGATTCAACAAACACAAGTGTAGTCGATCGGTCTTTGATTACTGAGATTGTTTCAAAAATGGACTATGATAAAATACCTTCCGACGTAGATGAAGATTTCGAAATAATATCTACACAGCTTAGTGAACTCCAAGAACCTGAAATTATTGATTTTAACAAACCCCACCCTATCTCGGCGGAGCTGGAATTTAAGCCCCAGATTATTTCAATTGATGCCCATCAGCTTCTACAATCTGATACGTCTGGTAGCATGGATACGGAACAATGTACGGATTTAGATAAATTAAATATGGAGTATGAAATTATAAGCCCGCATTCCGCTACAGATTCAACGCGCGTTGAAAAGTCACCTATCCATAGCTTGCATGATCTTTTGCCCGAGATAGATTCTATACCAGAGTTCAAACCTTCTTATCCGAATCCCATCCCTTTCTTTTCTAAATTATCTGCTGATGCACCAGAATTTACCCCTTCCTATATGTATAAAAGTATTCAACCCGAACTAGTACCTGAGACTATAGTAGAAAGCAAAGAGCAATGTTCCAATTTATCATTTAAAAATATTGACTGCACGGTAGCGAAAGATGAAGGAGAAACATGTTCGATGCTTCTCAAAGGTAAGAAAGAAGACCTTCCAGATGAAGATTTCAAAGGATATATAACTGATTCTGTGCCTACAAAACGGATTGAAATAAAACGAGATTCAAAACAAAATCAAGAAATCGTACTTACAGAGAAATTAGAACCAACATGCGATTTCGAAAAAACAAAGGATGATATTTTGACATCGTTAAGTAGTACTGAAAATGCATATCCATTAATTATAGATGATAACAAGTCTTATGCAGATGTCGTAGCCGATAGTTTGTTGCCTGAAGCAAAGAATACGGAATATCCTGATAGTTTTGAAAGTATTGCAATCCACCAGTCTAAGAGTTGTGAAGAAGTATTTGAAAAGCACCCTAACGTCATTCTTGCCAAGGAAGAGGCGAATAACTCATGGGCAAAAATAGCAGCAACAAAATGTCCTTCAAATGTTCATGCTGAAAAAATTGAGCAACAATCTCCCCCAAGAGCTAGTCAAATTGCGCATAAAGCTCCGGTTATTTTGGTCGATGAGGCTGGTGCAGAATATCACAAAGTCCAAAAAGAAGTCGATGCTGAAGGGTTTATCACAGTTGAAAGAAGTAGGCGTTCACGGTCAAAGTCGAGAGATGTGCGTTCGACGTCTGTTCCTAAAATGCAGCAAAATGTTACAACTCGTGATAAATCTGAGAACAGGTTTGATGCTTTATGTGGTACTCTTAAAGCAGATGATGTAGATTCGAATCCAAGTGTACACTCGGAAGAAGAACAACAAGGATCTAAACCAAAACAACGCAAGAGTAGATCGTCAAAATCTAAAGACAAATCTGTACAGGTAACTAAAGTTGTCGAAACAAAGAAGAAGGAAGATAAATCTAAGGAGTGTACGATTTTGTCCTCAGAATATGAAAGTGCAAACCTTTCAGTAACAATATCACAGCCGGAAAAAGAAAGCAAAAAGAAACCAAAGAAAAAGAAGAAAAATAAAAAATCGGCCAACAAGGAAGAAGATATTACCTGTGATGAATCTCCTGTCGTTGAAGTAATGCCAGATTCACTCATAGAATCACAGATTGATGATACAACTATTTCCTCAAGTGACTTAATTAAAACGTCTGTTTCTACTCCAGACTCTATGCACACTCCAGTAAAAGATCGATTTTATTCAGATGCACAATTTTGGAAAGTAGATGCTACTCAAGTGACCGATATAGATAACCTGTCTGAAACTTTAATGATAGAATTAGATGTAGAACAAAAAAGTCATTGCGCTACGAATGCAGAAAAACAGATTACGCCAACAGAACCGATTACAGTAAAAGAAGAAAAATCTGAAGTCTCTTCTCAACAAGAACAAGCACCAAAAGAATTTAATATATCAGAAGAACTATCTCTGGAGTGTAAAATGGCAGATTTACAACGCGAGATTGAGGAAATGTTACTTCCAGAAAACGATAACTCTGTCATAAGTGATATAACACCAAAGGAATTAATAGACTCAAATGCATCGCTGGACGAACAAGATGAAATTTCAGATAATATGTCTCCTTCACTTGCGTCGCCAGAACCTGACGATTATCAGCAACTACCAACGATGCACTTGGAAAGTAAACCTATTATTGAAACTACATCTTCAAAACCAATAGAAGAACTACTCCTAGAAAACCCGGAGATCAATGATTCCCTGTCTATAAACAACCTTTTAAATACTAACACCCTAAATCATTTGAAAACTGATACATTCTGGATCGAAAAATCGGTTATTGATGACGCGGAAACTCGTATGATAAAGCAAATACTTATAACAAAAGATAAATCTAATAGTGACTTAATCGTAAACGAAACTGATACGGTTAAATTAGAACAAAATCTCATGAATGACTCTTCATTTTGGCCTGAAAAATATTTATATCACGATGCTGAATGTCATTATTTCCAACAGAAGCAAATAAAATTAGAACCTCTGCCTATAACCGACATGCTATTGACTAAAGACGACAACGACAAGGACCGCGACCCCGGTAGTGGTTCCGGTCACTCCTCTGACGTAGAGGAGAAGGATCCTCTCGGGTCTTGCGGTTCGCCGTTCGATTCTAACTATATGTCGATGGACCTACCCGGTGGCATCTGTAGTTGGAAAGATCAAACTTCCTATCTCAGCGTCGAAACGCCTACCGATTCTCTGCTAGAATCGGTGAGCGAAGACTTGTCTCGTATAGGGTTCGATATCTCAGAGGATTCACTAACCACCCCCACCCTAGAACCTGTCGCCTCACCCCGCCCCCCACAGGAGCAGTCGACCGAAGCGGGCCCCCGGACAACCAAGGTGACTGACCTGCAGTCGTATTGTACAATTTTCAATTTTATCTTTTATGTTTGGCATGATTTCACTACAAAGATATTAATTTCACGTTTAGCAAAGAACTTGTATAATTTGTCACCCGCCGATCGTCTTGTAGAGCCAAACGTTGGCGAACGTCGTTAGCTTATCTAGTCTACGCATTTAAGTTTCTCATTTCATTGTGTGCTATTAATCTAGTCATGTCTAGTCGATTTACGAACTTATTATATTGTCGAATCAATAAATAAAGTAAACGTGTTTAATATTGTTTTATTTTCTTCTCGAAATCCTTGAAATGATAAAGTTTGCTTCCAAATTGGTTTTACAAGACGAACGCTGTGCTTTTTTAGATGCTTTAGTTTGGGCTTAAAATTATAAATATTGTGAAACTCTGGAAAGGAATAGGTCTTATTGGATAACGCAGCAAGTTTCAGTTACTGTCTAATTGACGTTTTAACTGAATTATCGTTATGACTGCCACGTAGTCAAGGTATTTTCTGATGTTAGTAATTTTTTAATAGGATGCGGAATGTTTTGAATGAGAGTACTGTTTTTCGTATTAAGTGTACAGTATCGTCGGTGCTTTAGCCCACACTGCACACTAACTAGATTACCATTAGTCTTTCGATGTCTAAATTAAAATGCTTTCCTATGCGTCGTAGACATACTCGTAGCAGATAAATGCTCTGCGCTGAATCGATACTGTACATTTGGGGGTTTTAAGCCTAAATTTTGATGTGTAACGGAATGAGTTTAGCGTGTCATGCCAATAATAAAACTGTCTGTCTTCCTACAATGAAATATGTATTATTTTTATATAAAAAAATACGTCCACAGTTATATTTAAGGTTGAAGCTTATATACAAACTATAAAATATATTTCATTGTAGTAAAGACATCTTTAATTTTGATGTTGTACTGTGTTGTTAACTAAAACTGGTGTCGTTTAATATCCATTGTGTTGTCTCGTTGTATAAAAACAACATGGATAATATTTAAATAAAACACTTTAACGGTTTAAAACGCGATATACGCGTGGTCACGGGGAGACTGGTGCTGCAACGGCTGCTGCAAAGCATCCGAAACTTCGGGCCGTAGTTAAAACTCATTTTTCAAATAAGTTTAACTAATACATCGCGCTAATTTTTAAACTGTTAAAGTGTTTTATTTAAATGTGTACTACTCGCCTAAACTATAGACAGTATTTAACATGGATAATAATTGACATCAGTTTCAATCATTAGAATGCTTTGTTTTTGACGAGGATTAAACATCGCCAAAATCGCCAAAGATCAACGCATGAAAATTGATTATACAATTCATTACTTTGTTCAACCATCTAATAACAGATGATTTAGGCGTTAAATAAACGCACCGTCTAGTAACTGCCAATATATTTTTGTATTGAAAACGACCCTTGTAAATCTTTTGAGTCCATACTAAGTAAGAGTTAAGCAGTATGAATGGTATGACGGAATTTATTAAATTTTATCTGAATGGATGCATCCATACCACATTGTTTTTTTTTCGCACAATTTTATTTGGCATCAGTTTTGGCATGCGCTAATCCTACGTCAGAGATCCACTGCATCGCGTGTGCTAATGTAGACTGTGTTCTCAGGATGAGTTGTCTAACGATATTGAGTCGTTACTCGAGGACGTGAAGATAGTTCAGGCGAACCTAACGGATCTGCCGAATGAAAGCCTCGAAGCCATGGAGCAAGGGCTGAAGGTAAGTCGCGGTCCGTCCGTTCTCAACTTTGACGTAACTTCTTCTAAATAGATTCGAAGCTCGACTCTCGCTAGCTAGCTATTTTGGTCCTAACAAATGTTGCTTTCAATTCGGTATTAACTAGACCTATGATGTCATAATGTGGTATTTTGGCGTTTTAAGTAGGTCACTGTTTATTTTTATTCTGTGGACCAATATGTTTATTTATTTAATAAACGTTTCTATGGGGCGTAGGCGATTTTCATCCTAGATAGTAATTTAAAGTTCAAACTTTGCACGATGTTGAAAAGAAATGCCTGCTTTAAAAAAAGTTTTTTTTTGTGAAGAATCCAATCTAATTTAATGTATTCTCAAAAAATGGTCTGTAACATAACTTTTATGTTGAAAGTATAAGTTTTACTTATTAATGCAAATTCCATGAATTTGCGGCTGATCATCGGTATCGACTGAGTTCTGGCCCGGCTATAGTAATAGTTTACTATATTTCATTCAAGATTTTCTTGATTTCAGCACCATTTCACCACTCAATCTAAAACCATTTGTCTTATATCGTTGTATAAATATCGCACAATTATAGTTAATGCGTTTTTCAACCTGTAATGCTTGTTGAACGCCTTCTTAATAACGTAACACATTTGCGTGGTATTCCGTTAAGTGCAAGAGGGCGTGGGTTCGAATCCACTATTTACAAATAAAAATACGAATATCGACACGGACACAGAAAGTAGTCTGCCCCCAAGCGGTAAAACGGGATTCCACGACTGCTCATATCATTATATCTTTATCCTCTCGTCAATTTGTCGATGTGTACTCACGTTTAACATTCATAATAATCTTTATTACCATAAGCAATTGCTTCGAAACGCAACAAAACGCCGTTTGGGCCGGCCAATTTTAGCTTAAAAGACATTCGTACTTTTGTAAATACCATCGCATTTGACACAATCTCGCGGAGCCTCAATGTAAACAAAACTAGAATCCGTGATTGTTGCGTCATGGACGTAAATAACGTGATACATCACTGCCCGTTTGGAATCGTAACGTAATCGATTTGTATGAATTACGTATTTAAGATCGTTGCTTTAATTACAATATGATATATGAAATAAAAGCTTCGCACAATGATACCATAGTTGCAAAACATATGTATGATACAGGGGTTGTAATGATCTGAAAATAATAATAAAAACGTAATAGATCTTCGTCGTAGATATTATTTTTAGATCTTTTGTACCAATGTTACCATTTGTTTAATGAGTCAACAAAGGTTGATAAGTATTTAACCACCTTAGGTCATCAATTGTAGTAAAGTAGCATTGCAGGTTTGCATTTCCCGCGATAGCTGATGTCATTCGCACACATAACAATTACGACACCGCGTTAAAATTATGCGACTGTTTGGCACTGTAGCATTTGTTCGCGAAACTCCACGAGATGCGATTCATTTGAACGAAATCGAAAATCGATACGAAGCAAATTTAATCGACGCGTTTGTTAGCGGTATAGCGAGTGAGTGACCGAGAGTGATCGAAAGATAGAATAGAAGTGCGATATACATAATTGAATATTGATTAAAATTAAAAATACGCGGGGTAAAATATTTACTATACAGTCTATCTAATTGCTTCCACCGATTCTATTAACCTTATTCATAATTTTGATGAATCGGAAGTCCAATTCTTGTTGTAGAAGTCTCTTCTTGTTGAAAAGAATGTAAAGATATTAAATTAACACTATTTATAAATTTACTTTGCTCTTATGTATGATTGGTAATTGAAGTGTCTTATAACAACACTTCTATAATTATATTTACATGTCTAAATGCGAATGCATTTTAAATCAGTTGCTTATTGTTGTCAAATATAATTTCAGGAGGGTATATCAATTCTAGTCAAGTGTGAAGAAGCAGCCGCGATTTTGGAGCAAAAAGTCATGGAGTACCGCCACGAGCAGGATGTGCAAAATCTGTTAAAGGATCTCGTTGTTATGAAAGCTAGGATTGCCAAGTTATTGATTCAAGCCCGACAGGGACTGATCACCATCCAGGTAAGCAAGGTAACATTTATTTTCTACCACTTTTTGAGCAAACGTGTCTTATTAGTACCCTGAAAACATTTTAAACATGGCACTATTATTTTTCAGGACGCTAAAAAGGAAATCGCAGAGCAGAATATGATAATAGAAGAACAAAAGCAAAAAATAACCAAACTAGACAGATGGCTCGAAACTATTAATAACGAACTAAAGGAATCAACTCAGCAGTCTGAAGTTCTCAACGAAGACAATATTTTAAGATACATTGAGATATACGAACGTTACATTAGAGAGTATGAGGAATATAAAATTATTTTGAAATCTATTTCTTTGGCAATAACTGAAGATTCTAGTCATGTTAAGGAAAAAATTAATATTACTAAAAAGACCTTAGAAGAAACAAAAAATCTAGTCATTAATGAAATTGAGAGGTTAAGAGAAATATTAATGCAATTGAGGAGTGCACCAGAAGTAATCGAGGAGGATATATCTCAAACTGATAGGACCATAGATTCGACATCTATGCCAGAAGAAATAGTTACACCACGAGACACAAACGCAGAAGCAAAATCAGACAAGAAAGTCATAATAGAAGAACCCTTCTTACAAGACAATACAGTTACTCAGGTTCAGACTGAGCTACAAGAACCTGAAGCTAAAATAAAAACATCTGCTACGATTGAAACGCAAACTGGTCAGAGTCTCATGTCAGATAAACTGTCAGTCTCAGACAAATCTGTTATTTGCCAACCCGACCCTATATCTACCCATGATGTATCTATAACATGTGCACCACCAAAAGACATTGACGTCCAAACAAGTGAACCTGTTTCGCAAGATAAAGAGATTCTAGAAAATATTCTAATTAAGAAGACTATTTCAGATGGCCATGAGACTATTGAAATTGAAAGTAAACCAGTTATCAGAGCATTTAAAGCCGACGAGAAGTCTTTGGTTGTTGGAGCTGACTATGAAGATACTAATGTACAACGTGATTCTACTCTTAATATAATTCATAGCCTTCCGCAGTCATTTGAAACTGTCATGGTAGAGCCAGATGAAACTACAACAGAAGTTGTTGTTGATGCCGATGGAACTAAACGAATAATTGTGAAAAAAGTACGTAAAACACTCGTAACAAGACAAAAAATAATTCATTCGCAACAACGAAACACGGAAATTCTATCGACTGAGGAGATTCCGCAAGAACAAACGTTTAGCCAAATAACTCTGACAGGAGACAAAGGATTGTCTACTTCAATCTTAGACGAGGGAGTTACGCAAAATGTGCAATACCAGTTGTATGGTGGCGAAGTTCTGTCACAACTTCCTAGTGGAGAAGTGACTATTCAAGAGTTTACGTCTAAGCCAGATATGATAATTTCACTAGAAAAAGGTATGAAACCGGATGATATACTGCAACTGGCAGAAGGTGAAATCAAGCCACACATAGAAACATCTTCCTCGAGTATCACTGCGGTGGTACAACAAGTGACTAAAAGGATAATCAGAACAAGGCGCCGCATTATTAGAAAAGTGGTCATAATCGATGGCAAGGAACATGTAACTGAAGAAGTTATAGATGAACCTGAAAATATTGAGGTTTCTGAAGAACAGATTCCTAGAGTTTCTATAAATGTACGCGATGATGGTTATATTGTTGGTACTTCAGAACCTGGTGATGATAATGATAAAGATAATGATACTCATTCGTTTTCCGGTGATCAGAAGAAGCCTCCTGGTTTAACTGAACAACATATAGATACTTCCATAAAAACAACTGAGACTGTACCAGAAACAAACTATAGTGCTATAGATAATGACGATTCAAAAAAAACTAGTAATCAATTAGACAATATCAATATCGTCCAAGAATCTATACAAAATGAAAACCTACTCCATGACCAGAAATTACGTGATACGGACAGTAAGCTGGATTCTGTTGATGTTTTGGATTCCAATAAAACTAATTTAGTTCAGATAGAGGAAGAATTATTGCCAGGACTTGAACATTCGGCTATGGAGATGTCATTCATGAACACGTCTTCTGTAATGAAACAGGTTACTCGAAGAATAACAAAATCAAGGAAACGTATTATAAAACATATTACTATAATAAATGGTAAAGAACATGTAACAGAAGAAGTCATTGAGGAGCCCGATGATGTTGAAACTATTGAAGAAGAGCCCACAATATCGTACAGTTTAAAAGAACAAGGTTCAAAACGCGTGAGAAGTATAAAACGTGTAAAAGTCATTGACGGTAAGGAACATGTTACTGAGGAAATAATCGAAGACTCCGGTGATGAAAATGAACCGACTACGGTGATTACACCGGAATTTGATAATGATGACAAGTCCGGACAAATAGATATTCCAGATATTAGTGAAGGTATTGTTTCTCATCCTGCCGATGACTTTGACAGTGAAATTCAAAAGGAATCTTCTGAAGCAGCAATAAGTATGTTTGACCATAAAAGAGACATTACACAAAACGTAGGTGATATAGCTTTGAATCTCGATTCACATGAAATGCAGTCGGATACATATTTGCAGGCTGGCCATATAACCGAACAAAATATTGCAAATTACAAACAAAACATTCCTATTGAATCTCAGCATCTATTAAAATCAGAAAAAGAAGCAACGCAGAAATTGTCTCCTAATGACGAAAGTAAAATCACGATCAATAAGGAACTCTCTAAGGAATCTTTTTCGGAACAAGAAACAAATATTTGTAAAACAACTGAAAATTTGGAAATCGAAGGAAAAAATAGTCATATTCAAATTCCAGTGCTACAAACAAAAATGCTTGAAGAACAATTAATAAAAAGGGGCAATTTGGATAAACATATCTCTGAAGTAACGAAAAGTTTATTAGAAAGCGAGATTGACCACGGCACTCTTAGTTACTCTTCGAAATCTCATATTCCTCAGGTTGAAGAAATTGACACACATGTGGCTGAAACAGAAAGTTCTGCTAAAATAATAGAGGATGCAATTGTGAGTCAACCCAAACCAGAAGAAATGAAAGTAGCAAACCTAGAAAAAGTTAATTTCGAAGAACACAAAGATTTGTTACCTAGTACGGGAAAGGAGCACAAGGACTCTGAAATAGCTAAAGAACCATGTACAGAAAACATTACTGCAGACGATGAAAATTATATTAAGTCTCAAATAATAAGAAAAAGGAGAAAAGTCATAAAACGTACTCAAATCGTAGATGGTAGAGAACATGTAACAGAAGAAGTCATAGAAGAACCGGATGACGTTATTACAATTGATGAAATTCCTGAGACCGCTCATGTTCTACAAGAAGAAGGTTTAAGGACTAAACGCATTAAAGTAATCCGTCAAGTGCAAGTTGTCGATGGTAAGCAACATGTTACTGAACAAGTAATAGAAGAGCCAACTGATGACTATACCTCAGATAGTACTGTGACTGCTGATATTAACTTGACGTTATCAAAACCAGCTTTTGGGGTAACTGTAGATTGGGAACCATTCAGTAAGATAGCAGAACAACAGAGCGTTCCGATTGAGACTAAAGATGCAGACCATTTAAAAAATGAATCTAAAATTGTACAAGTTGCAGAAGAAACTGACACGGACTTCAAGAATCGTACTGACACTTTAAGTTCAACTAAAACAAATTTGTCCGGTTATGAATTAAAAATAAAATCAGAAGTTAATGTATCTCAAGCAGATGAAGTTGTGTCCACTGTTGAAGACTCTAATAAAGCTAACATTGGTCCTGTAGGGCATAGGGAAAAAGAAATTGTATTTTCTGACAGTGCTTCAAAACAAGGCAAAGATGTCAAAACTTTTGTCGATCAGCTCTTAATTGATGAACATCAAACACCGAACGTTGAAAGCTTGGAAACGAAGACTACTGCAAGTCAGAACACTAATCAAGATCTTGAAAACATCATAAAAGCCAACACATTAACAGACAACGTATCAATCAAGGAGAAAGTTGAACAATATTTACCAGGCGAAACTAGTATTAAAGATGCACCCTTCGATAAAAAGCGACCAGACCAACTAGAATATATAGAGGCTTATTCTAATTTACAAATTAGATCAATAGACGATGCTGTGATACCAAAAACTATTGACACTATGCCAGAAAAGATCATTTCTCAGGACGAAACAGACAAAATAACAAGCTTGTTAGATCCATGCCAAGCTTCTGTAGACAAGCCTAGAGTGGAATCTATTCTATCATTTACGGACAGGAATACTCCAAAAAATTCTGAGGCATCAAATATCTTACGATTGGAGTCACAGGATGAAAATGCTTGTTATCTTGAATATACTTCACCTTCATCACAAGGCTTCATAGACAGTACACATGTGTTTTTACAATCCGAACGAATGAAAAATTATGACGATTCTAAGAATTATAACCAAGAAAAATTAACGCAAACTGAGACCCATGACGCGAAACCTATAAAGACTTCTGAAAAAGTAGATATTACTATGAGTATTACTAAACCATTTGAACAAGCAGATACAAGGCCTATGATGGCAATTAACATGGCTGTTGAGAAATATGATTCACAAGAACCGTTTTTGGTTAAAAAAGACATTGATGTACAGCTACCGAGTGATGTAAAGATTTCTCACGAAACAAGTACAGCGCAAGATCACACAGTAAAAGAAAATGTTGAGGAAAATAAACAAAAGAAAAAGAAGACCAAGCGTAAAGCAAGAGACAGTCCTAGTGAAGCGTTGGATTCAGAGTCCAACTTGGAATCGGATAAAAGTGTCTTGAATACCGAAAGTTCTTCTCTGGGTCATTACGTGGAACTACCACCTTCAACTCCTGTAGAGTCTCCTAAACCAACTTTACAGGATGATCAACCTACTCAACTAGAATCTTCTTTGGACAGTGAAAACGTGAAATCAGAAAGCCTTGGGTATAAAGCAGAAAATGCATCAATGGAACCTTCAACAAGTCCCGAGAAGAAGAAAAAACACAAAAAACGTAAGTCTCATAGAATGAGTGAAGATACATTGTATCCTATTGAAACGCCTCCAGAAGATGATATAGTTGTATCGTCTTCACCAGCAATTAGTGAGGAGCCGGCAAAAGACAAGAAAATTAAGGGGAAGAAAAGCAAAAAGAAAATCGAAACACTTACCGATACTGACACTATCAAAACACCCTCCGCCTCCGGTCAGGAAGTGACAATAACCTCTCCAAAAGAAGAGTCGTATCATACTCTAAGTGAAACTTCAGATATTAGCACTGTTAAAGTTATTGAAGAGTGTGTCGGAAGCAGTCCTGATTCAATAAAAGAGGTTATTACAACAACAGTAACGTACCCCGTTCCTGTTGTAGAAGAAATTCCAACCCAGGAATATTCAGTCCAAACTTCGCCAGATTTAAGCGAAGTGAAACCTACTTTAGAATCGCCCGATAAAGTGGATACTATTGATGTCGTTTTACAAACCTCACCGACACCCGTGTCTGAAATAATTGTGCAAACAACACCAATAGAAGACAGAGATGTCGATACTCAAACTAATGATGATGTTAAATGCGTTGACAAAGTGGAAGTACTTGATTTGCAAGTTCAAACAAGTAGAACTGCAAGTCCTGAGGAAAAAACTAACTTGGAAGCTACAACACAAGTTGTGCCTACAGATATATCTTTACCCGATGAAAAATCCTCCCAAACAACACCATCAATTGAACAAGTCAGCGTCGTTGTTTTAGAAACAGACTCCAAGGAAATACAAACATCGCCTATTCTAAAAGCAAGTGTGGATGAAAAATCTACCGAAATCATTATGGAAGTGACTGACTCCAACGTGCAAACTATAGCACAAGAAAATACAGATCAAGAAACAAATACGTCACCCGTGCAAGAAATACAGAGCTCAGATATGAGTATTCAGACTCTTGAGATTCCTGCAGTAAATAAGTTTACTCAATCAGAAGAAGAATATTCAATAGAAGAGAAAAAACCTATTACTGTAGAAGAAAAAGCGACTGCTTCTGAAGTGATAAACACTACGGATACTTCACAACAAACATCTCCTAGAATAGTTGAAGAAGAAGCAGCACGTATTAAAACGCCTGCAAAGAAAATAACTGTTGTAGACACTATGCAACAGACAACACCACGAGAGGAAATAAATGAAGAAACAGACATTAGGCCACAAGCACCTGTTGAAATCAAAAATATTACAGTAGAGACAGCTCAACAAACTACGCCAAGGGAACTGCTTCATGAAAAGACCCCTTTAAATCCAATTCAATTAGAAACACGTGTTGACACAGTTGATATCTTTCAACAAACGTCTCCAAGAAGCCATACGGACGATTCAATTTCCACATCTACTGATGAGCCGTTTGAAGTCCATCTCAGGGCTCAAATTTCTATTCCTCGGGCAACTAACGATTTCCTCGAAAATGAACGTCAAACAACTAACAGTCCACTAACGTTAGCCTCTGATAAACAAAAGCTAAGGAAAAGAAAAAGGAGAAAACCAGAATCGCCTCTTAAGTCGCCTGAAAGTTTATCAGACCCTATCAATGCTGAGCTATCTTTATCAGTGACTCCAACCAGCGATGACTTATCTAGTAAAGATAGTTATTCGATCGACGAAGGCATTTCTCAATATCCCACTTTTACATCAGCAACGAGCCGGGAACCGATAGCCACACAAGCTAGGCCTACTTATTCAGATGTTGTCCAAAGATCTAAATCTAAATCTCCTTCTCCCAACAAAATTGTTCTGGCGCCAAAGACGGACAGGGCTAGGTTATTAAACAGTCTTGAAAAACGTACACTAGCAACATATGCACCACAAAAAGATTCAGAAGATGCGATGACAGTGGCTTTAGTAGAACCTGCTGTCGAAAAGTCTTATGATGTTTTTGTTAGGAATAAGTTAGCGGACGTTAAGACGGCTGTTCAAAGCAAAGATCCTCAAATAATTGAAAAGACTGTTATTATCGTGATCGAAACCATTTCCATTTGGCTCGAAGAAATGAAATATAAAATTCATAACGCCATTTCTACAGGTGTTACAGTACCTGAAGAGGCTAACCGAATTAAGGACTTAGAACGTCATATCGAGCATCTGAGAGAAATCATTTATGTAACTGAAGTCCACGAGGAAATTGTTACTTTAATAGAAACATTAACTCGCCAAATGAATGCAGTTAGTCATTTAGGCAATGAAAGTATATCGAAAGTTCGAGAAAGCGAAGAAGATTGGCGTAAATTCTTAAATGAAATTGAGAGTTTGAGTAAGTCAGTTGATAAGATTAAAACAAGGTTGGAGGATCTTATTTTACTAGAATCACCCACATCACAAGAGCTGGAGGAACTGGATAAAATTGAAAATGATAATAACGACAACTTAAAACATCTCACGAAAATGTTTAAAGTATATCGTAGTTTGGCCGAAGCTAATCCGAAAAGGGAATGCCCTACTAAATTGTACCTTTGCGATGATGACACAAGACAAATTGAAAATGCCATAAATGTCGAACGTGATCGCCTTTTACAACTGGGGTCGTTAGCTGAAGAATATGAACAGACCCTTCAAGATTTCGGGCAAATAACTGAAGTGGCAGAAGCTTTACTTGACGGGAAAATCATAGTGTCAAACTTAGACCACCTACATGAGGAAATACAGAAACATAGGAAATTCTTTGTAAATTTAAGTCATTGTCGTGCTATACTTGAGTCCTTGGAAGACAACTTGGATAACGAAACGAGAGCAAAATACGCGTCATTGCACCATTCACTGCACGATAGGGCCACTGCTATCATCGACAGAGCGGCGGGTCGCGCCCAGCAAATGACGTTGGCCGCTTCAAGGTGGAGTATGCTCGACCAAGGTATGAAAGAAGAATTACAATGGCTTAGAGTAGCTGAACAACGAATTCCTGACCTCACCAACGTCACATCTATGGATCACGAACAGTATATAAACCTCTACCAGTCCCTGAGCCTCGATGTCTCCCATCATTATGCTAAAATGTTGCGCTTGTTATCTATAACCGAAGGGCTACAAAATCTTATCGTATGTCCGGGATTGGATTCTGAATGCTCGGTGGCTCTAGAGACGTTATTGAAGCACCAAGAAAATATCGACGTGTCCTTGATAAGACTAACCGATTTCAAAGAAAACTGGTTTACGTACGATCACCTCGTCAATAGAATTGAAGGCTGGATCAAACTGGCCAATCGAGAAATAGAACAAATCACACCAGAAAACATCACGACTACGAGTAACCTGCGACGTTTCTGGGAGTTGAAGGCGCAACACGAAGTGCATAATAATTTGAAGAACGAGTGCAGCGTCCAATTCGAGAAGGCCCTTGAAATTCTACCGATATCTGATGAAATGGTACAAAGACAGTTCTTTTGTAAAATCGAAGATAAGTGGCGGGATCTTTCTGGTAAAATCGGTAGCCTTCACGCGTCGGCTATCCAGAGTATTTCAGACCGCGACGTAACATCTACTGAAAAACTTAACTTACTAGAAGACGAGCTCAGAGAATTGCGCGGGGCTCTAGAAGGGTTAAAAGGTGTAATCAAAAGTGAGGATGAACTTAACCTATATATAGAGAGGTTGCAAGTGATGACGAGTCGCATCGATCGAATACAGAACGAGCTCGGAAGACTTAGTTTACTTCCAACAGCTGAATCTGAACGTCTCGGTGCTCTTTTGTCCCAGTCTGGAATACTGGACGACCAAATAGCGGAAGAATTGGAAAGGAGCATGTTGCTCAAGGAGAAGATTGTCCAAGTTCAAGCGGGTATCGGGCGAGTGCAAAAAAGCCAACGGCGTGCCCGGCTGACTCTTGAGGAGTGCGGGGCTGCAGAACGTTTGGGCAGCGACGTGGTAGAGAGAGCGTCGCAGAACTGCGAGAAACTCTTGGAAGATCTCGCATCCCAGTGGAAGGATATCCTCGCTCTAAGACAAGCATTACACACGTTGCCCATAAGTCTGCGCGTCTGCGTCTCTCCCACCAGTATAGAGAGAGAAATATCTGCTTTGCAGGTACGTGTGAAATTAATTATTTTTTTAAAGTATAATAGTATTCAGACTACAAAAAATTCAGTCACACCGTTTAGTAAAATGTATGGAATAGAGTTAATTTATGTTTTATATATCAACAAATGTATATAAATCGTTATTCTTTCTGTTGTCTTCACCGAAGCCAATTCATAACCTCAATTTAATTGTTAATGTCAACTATAAAACCCTTCGTAGGAAACGCACGCGGAATTAGAAGCCGCTTGCAACGATTTGAGTGTGCGTCTCAGAAGCAAGCTGCAACTGTGGAGGCGCTTCGAAAGACAGCTGGAGTTAGTCCAGGGTGCTGTCCGAGAGGCTGACTACATGGTCGAGCTGTTGACAGTTCAAGGGCAGGTCGATTATGACCGTTTGCTTAAGGCCACCGAGAGATTGGAGGTGAGTTTATTAAAACGAACATTATGTTAGTTCGAAACGTTTCCTTCTTAACTACGTCACTACAGAAATATTGATAAGATAAAAAAAAATAGGTAATTTTTTATTTCCTCATTTGGTTTCGGCATGTAACCAATTACTCAAAAAATGTTCAACTTTCACAAATTGTTATGAGACTAAAAAAATTATATAAAGGATAAGTTTTAATAAAAAGTTATTTTATTTAAGCAATTACCATATTTGCAGTTTTATGTAAAAGAATCAGGACTTTACTATTTGATTAATTATCTTCTATTTCAGACACTCAGCGAGTCACTGTCCCGTCGCAGCGGCGAGTTAGTTGGCGAGCTGCGGGAAACCGCTACTCCGCTAGAAGCCAGCACTGAGCCCAGCGTTGCTGCTAAGCTCAAGCGGCAGCTGGACGATGCAGCCGCAGCGTACGAGCACACGTGCGCCAATCTCACCCAACTATGCGACAAGTAATTAGCTTTAATGTGCTTTAATCTTACTTTAAATATCCAAAATACTATACTATAGTTCTTGTTAGTAGATATATGATATACAAGCTCCCTGATCCAATGGTAGAATTGTTGGCTAACAATCAACGGGTAGTGGGTTTGTTGCTGGCTCCAATTTGTTTCTCAAAATCAAATTATATTTATCTTAAAAAAATGTATTAGACTTCGAAAATTTGGTTATAAAGGGTGGTAACAATAACCACAACAACAATGCCCGATTTGGACGGAAATGTTTTATTTTAACATGGTGGATTCTGTGGGAATCGAACTCCTCGAACGATTTATTATTGCTACCATAGCCCACGACTACGTCAATAATGATATCGCTGGAGTCTTTTACCTTTCATAAGTTTTCTCTTTCTTGGTTTTACCATTGTCTGAGTTCATAATTATAATAACTTCCCTTGAACAGATACCACAAAGCAGTGGACCTATGGAGCAGATACAGGGACGCGGCCGCTGCTGTGCGTGCCTTCACAGAATCACAGGAGGGAAGGCTGCACGCTCTCCGCCCTGATGATGCACCGGCCACGGCTCATGTGAGTGCATTATAGTGACTACTATGTTGTTTTGTTGGACATTTCATAAAATGACTGTTATGGTTTATTCTTTCAATAAAAACTGAACGAAAAAAGAAAATAATGTTAAAAAGCAAACATATTTCGATATGTTTGCTATCCAAAGCAAAAATAGGCACCGCATAGTTGTTATATGCTGTGGTTCACCTACCATCAAGTGAACCCCCATGCTTGTCGTGTCCTTCGTTATATTAAAAAAATAAACAAAAAGTCGAGTTGTAGTGAAATAAATAATACATTTCTTGTTTTAAACCGTTAAAAGTTTCATTTAGAATACACTATATACATATTTGATTTCTTTTGTTTAGTAAAGAATAGCTATGTTTATTATGTATAGATGTGTTATGCACACATAAGTCCAAACCGCAGAGGTACCGTAAGCCGGCAACTTTATGGCTCGCTCGCCAAATACGACGCGTATAATGTGCTATAATCGAACGCTGATGTCATCGGTTGCAAACTGCTATCGTTTCAAACCAAGTATAGGCTCTGAAATTGATATTTAAGTAATAATTCAACACAAAATGTACATTGATTGCTTGTCTTTAGAAGAGTAGAAAAAAATCATTATTATTAATTATGGCCGTCCTATATTATAATATACGGTTTTTTATTCCGTTAAAATTCGTCAGCTTGAGTCGAACATTTAGCTTAAACTCAGCGCCAGAGCAAATTCAGTTATTTCAACAACAAAAATAGGCTAAAACCTAAGGCAACAAATTTGGTTCTATAACAGATTAAATACAAAAGTAATAAAAGGCATAAAAGTAAAATTTTGGTATTTTACAAATTTTTTCCCGCTTTGTAAATATCATGTTATGCTTCAGGTGAGATTATTCACACGACGTGTCTTGTTTACACAAAGAGGTTAATCGAATGCGCTACGGTCCGCAAACCTGTAAACAGTCTCTTTCCATTGTGCTGAGTACTTTACGGAATCGGTACATAAAAAAATATATTATTAGCTGCCAGAATTTACTTCTAAATGCGAAAAAAAAATTCTATATAAAAAACAATGTATATTGCTGTAGTGCTGAAAACCCCATGACCCCATGGTACTTGAACATTTTTGTTTCGTTTCTGGATTCAAATGCAAGACTTCTCGTTTAACCGTACGAGGGCATTTTATACGCATAATTGCAGCTGTAAGAACTCGCTGACCTATTTCTCCTGAAGCCATATTGGCTTCTGATCTTCTACGAAGGCCGGTGGAGATTTTCTTAGCTATAATATGAAGACATTTAGATGTTTTAAATACTTAAAGTTATTATAGGGTGACTGCAAGTAGCAAAACTTTACATTAAATTATAAAATAAAAAAAATAAATTAGTTCCTTTCTTTTTTTGTAAATATTTCTGAAAGTATGAAGTTTAGAAAATTGCAAGCAACGCGCCTGAAATTGCTTCTTATCTACACACATTCGGTGAAAATGACAAACGAAATGAACAACGAAAAAGAAACGCGAATAATTAACGATAAGAGACTGATAACGGAACAATTGGCCAACCAAACGTCAGTAGCTGAACAGATGTCCCGACGCGCGGACGTCTGTCACGCGAAATACGAACGAAAGCCGAAGTGCAAACGAACCCGCGCGCTTAACAAGGTCAACACATGACAATGTCGGAATGCAGCGTTGTATGCATAATTGTTGATTTTAGTGATGAAGATTAATCGATTTAGCTCACAAAAATAATCTAAGGCTCGCAGATCAAAAAGTAGTGATGTTTTAAATCGTGTGTCAAATAATATCTGAACGGAAATATACAACTGTTATCAGTTCGAGTCATGCCTCCGGATAAACCGCAAAACGTAATTCTTGCATAAGTAATTCGTAATTAATCGGTTTGCACTTTTAAAAGTAAAAAAGAATAATAAATTAGAAACGTTATCAAAAAAAAAGTGGGTTGGCTTTTTTTATATCAAAAAAACAGACAATTTCACTAAAGTACCTAGTTTTTTTTTTAAATTTTGTGATAAGGTATTTTTATTATTGATTGTCTGATGTTTACAATGACGATATATCTGACGAGCGTCCTTGCATCTGGCCATGACTTGCCATTCCAAATTTGAAAACAATTGAACTTGGAATTCGGCGGTTCAGTTGAAAACCTGAAGGGTTAGCGTGCAGACGTGCATACTCTCCGTGCCATAGATAACGAATAAATATTATTAATGTGTTCAAAGTGCGGTGATAGTGATACGAGTCTTATTGGATCCGATAGGGAATGTGTGTCATTTGTTTTGATTTAGTGGATAATGTCGTTACAAGAGGTGAGAATAAGATTATTTGTCTAAGAAATAACATGTAGGTAAATGTTTGCGAGTAATATTGATAGAAATTGTTATGTTAACTGTTGATATAAATATTATTATAGTAATAAATAAATGACAATTTTACGTGTTACTATTTTATTTATAGATTAAATTTACGCGATTTGTTATCTAACGCAAGACTATAATCTTATCGTTTACGTGTATTTTACGTAATATTAGTATTTTCTCACTAATTCATGAATAAAACGTGAGGATCTGTCTTCATTAATCGGTATCTATAGAATATAATAGATAAAGGTAATTAGAAAACGAGTTTGTCAGAAAGCACAGCTGTAAACAATTATATTGTTTTCTACCCTCGTTTACATTAAAAAGCCATCTTTTAATAAAATCACAGATCACACAATCATCAAATTCACAGTCTACATTTTCTCAAAATTGATTGAGCCAATTGCCGTGGAAGAGTAACAAACGTTCGTAAAATGTGCGTAGAATTGTTGCAACACGAAGTTCGCGTAAAAGCGCTAATTATGGGAACTGAGAATCGCAGAAATTCAAGCAATTAGCAAACTACCGACTTTCCAAGGACTTTCTTCCTAATCGATGTAGCACTATGAACTGGTAGACAGCGAGCCCTTTTTTAATAGTTTTTATCGCTTATAGTAAAAAAAATATATATTCTCAATAACAACAACATACCAATAATTTAAGATGTGAAACCTCCATTGTAAAGCAAGTGATTATTTCGCTTTATAACCATTTAAATTCATGTAATTTACCAAAAACAAACTCTAGCTATTTGAGCTCACACATTTGCATATAATGTATTAAATAAATATGTATGTTTTTGTCATACAACGAGAGGATTGACCTTCATTGACCTACTTCGTATATATATATATTTCTAAATAGTAACCGTATTAAAGACGGGCAAAAAATACATAATGTATAATTTTATTTTCAAAACATTTTGTCTCATCGTTTATTAAGGGCTTTGAATACGTCTCACTGAATTTTCTTTATCGATTATGACTTTGATTATCCGATATTGACTATTGTTATAACGAATACAGACATACATAATAAACAAGTAAGATTTTTTACGAAGACTTTATGTTGGTTTTTTTTTTTTTTAATTGTAGGTATGGTAATATATAAATAAATTGTATTTTTAATTATCAGAGGTCCAGCATACAGATTAGGCTGTGTTAAAAGGTTATCGTCACTTAGGTTACTGAACTTGATTTATGCTAAAACGGTTCTTTTAGCACTCATTCAATGTACTCAACATTATGCGAATTTTGTAACGTTGATTTTAAATATAAGTTGTCTTTGGGGCTCCATCAATTGTCCACAAAATGTGAAAGTATTACTTTATATCATTTGCGATTTTTCATGCCCATAAGTAGGGTTACCTTTTGTTTAGTTACCTATATAGCTATATTATTTATGTTTAAACACTTACTACTTAGTAGTTAATAATTTATTTTTAACATACGATCCAGTTGTATAAATGCCTGTAAGCTTATCAAGATATAAGATTAAACATACAATTTTTAACAATAAGATTCACAATCATAAACTATACAAACACTTCCACTATGAAACGTCTAAACTTACTTAAGTCTACATTACACTAGAGTCTTAATGGCGTGGCGCGCCCAAACCGTTCAGCAGACGCCCTTAATCAATAGATACCTGGGCGTGGAAATGTGGTTTTAACATTTGGAAATCAAACATATAGAAAGTGTTTAAAAGATTAGCCTTAGACAGGCGGCTCACTGTATATTGTAGACATAGCTCGGGTAGCGACAATTGTCGTCACCTAATAATTATATAGGATATAAAACACTAACAAAGTCTTGGGGACGATTCCCATCGAGTGTTTCATGTTTTTTTTTTGGATTTTTCTAAATATAAAATTCTTTCTCTATTTAGAAAATATCTTGACGCTAGGTCAAGAAAATAGACACATCAAATATGTATTAGAATTATCGAAATTAAGCTCGCTAACCGCTTGTTTGTTATAGACATGGTCAATGCGACAATTTTGTCTGTTACCTACAAGCTAAATCAATATAGCTTGTCCACAAAATCTTGGACAAAATATTGTTAATGAAACATTTTCTGAAGACCTATTTTTAGCAGATTCATTGCGCTGACGCATTGATCGAAAATCGAAAACTTGCATTATTTTTAACTATGACAAGGCCGACATGTTAGATAAACTATTAAATTATGCTTTTCCGACAAAAATAGCCTGCAACACTGACGTGCAGAGGTGCCGTGTGGCATATTTATGTTAGTGATGTATAATATTTATTTCTGTATCAAAGTTTTTTGATTTGGGTGTTGTAGACTTCAAACTTGAGTATATATTTTCGGTTACTGTCGTATATTGCAGCCGATTTCAAGGTATCGTGCAGCAAAGTATCTCTTGAGTTTATTTCGAAACAAACAATTTTATTTGAAACTTTAAAATTACAATAGTATTTTAACATATAAAGTTCTGTTGCTATACTTTTAATTAACCCTTTTTACATATTTTACACTACAGTAGGTAGGTATCAATTATGTAGTATAAATATAAAAGCAATTGTAGAATTGTTTTTTTTTGTCCAACATGCTAAGTAGGACATTTTAAAGTACATTTTTAATTGAAAATGGTTGATGAACGGAAAAATTATTACAAAATTTTCTAAACCAAAATTCGACGGCGAATTTTAACCAGATATGAGATGGCAGAGGCGTTTTCCTTCCATTCAGTGAATCACTAGCACGTCTCTCCTCTGTGATAAAATATGGGAGTGGTTACGCACAAACTGCTTAGTAATTGCTCTTTTATATATTAATTGTTTAACCAAAGGCATAGTGGACCAAATCAACCCGACTAATAAAATCAATTGTTCCACTTATGGTCTGTATTTATACTTTCACTGTACATTTCGTATGAGTGAGATTCGAAAGTCCTTGCAATCTTTACTGGTCTTTAACCACTGTACAAAAGAAGAACAAATAGTACGTACAGGCAAATAAGATTGATATGAAATCTTCTTATACGGTCTTAACATTCTAAATCGTTCTCATTTTAACTCTTTTGGGGGAGTAATTTTTCCCCCAAAAAAAAAAGGGGGAAAAAAAAATATTTTTTTTTTTATACGGCTACTTAGGGTTTGGCGCTGAGGCGGCTAAGACGATACTTTGTCTACACAAATGGTAGATTGCATCTATATATATTTCAGTTTCTAACAATAGTGTCTCCAATGCCGGTCTGTTGTTTTTGTAAGAAAAGAAATCAGTCAAATTGCATGGCAAGACAATTTTCCGTTATTATAGTTTTCATAACTATTGGAATATTGGAATTTCAACGCGGCGATTCGAGAGAGCAAGATTCACTATCTCAAATCGACGAAAATACATTAAGGGAATCGCATACAGCTTCTGGTTTATCTCACGCTGTAAAAGCATGTAGATTTATTGACTGGCATTCATATGTACATCAATCCTTCTAATATTTAATTTAATTATTAATGTGAGAAGAGATGGTTAAATAAAAAATATTGTTCTGTCGTGTAATACGACTGAATTAATTCTGATGAAATTAACATAGTTACCAACCTCGTATACCGACCATTGATCATGATTATTTTAATATGGGTAAATATTAAACTTATTAGTTCTGTCAAATCGTCTATTAAAACGTTTTAATTACAGGAAAAACACGTATCAAATAAATAACGCTAGTCCTAATGAGGAAGGAAAACCGGTGTTATTTAATAGTATTAAGATAAACAACGTTGATAAGAATGTTTGAAGCCCTTGGAACGGTTTCAAGGTTCCGATAAAACTTACAAACGATCCACTAACCTAAATTCGTGTTAAATCTTTGCCTCTATGCGTCTAAGGACTTGATTGTTAATTTTTGTGTTTAAACATAGGTTGCCAAAATGACAGAAAACATGAAATCAATCCAGGTGGATTGTATTTTCTTTCATTTTGATGGAGTCCATAAGTATGCATGGACCTCGGCTGCGGTGAAGTTTATTACAGAAATCTATAGTTCTATACTAATATAAAAAGCTGAAGTTTGTTTTTTTGTATGTTTGAACGCGCTAATCTCAGGAACTAGTGGTTCGAATTGAAAAGTGTGTGTCGGTTAGAGCATTTATCGAGGAAAGATAGGCTATTAAACATCGTGCTGTGACTAATAGGAGCGAAGAAACAGCGGGAAATTACGAAGTCTTGGGTAAAAGCTTAAATTTATTGAGTTGAACACAAGGGTAGCAAAAACAAACTTGATGCCCAAAATAACTATTCTACGCGGACGAAGGTGTTGACTCAGCTTGTATACTTATATAGAGACCGAGTTACTACAAGTGTAAACTAAACTAGGGTCCTGAAAATCAGTGTAGCGTAGTTTTGCCATCTGAAACCTACTGGACTATTTATATACATACTATGAAGTATGGTGAATTGTACGGCTATTAGTAAAAAAAATTGTAATAACTAATAAATATTGTTTTCTTTATTTCTTCTTTCAAATATTCGATAGTTACAGCTTTACTATAAATACGAAAACTATTTAAACATCTACATTTAATCAAAGAGAATCGATGTGTTGCCTTATACAAAAAGTATTTCCAGTTGAATTTCAAATGTCATTCGCGAATTGTATAATTTGATAGAAAGTGTTGCTGTAACAAAGCATGATCGGCTTTTTTTCACTTTCCACCATTACAATTATTATAAAAGCCTTTGACGTAACACTAAATTACGGTGTAACTAATAATACACTTTGATGAGCGCTGTTTTCTCACGGCGCTTACTTTTCTTTCACTGAAAGTGGATAGGCATGACGATAATTGGCCATACTGCTGCTGACGACGTGCTGTAAGTATACGTAGCAAACATTCGTAACAGGTTGTATCGGAAACCTTCTATCAAGAGAACGCCATTTTTGTCTATCGTTCTTTGACATGAAAATATATTGTATTAATATAATATAAGTGAAATATAAATAGTAACAATATCAATTAATATCATTGGGCTGATCAATGCAATTTATTACTTTTTTAACGGTTTAAAACACGGTATATATTAGTGCTCGTATAAATTTCAGACAGGTTACAGTTATTACTGCTGTCATATGTTAAATTTTTCAGTATTAGTGCTACATTTAAGGAAAACTTATATATAAATTATTGAGACTTACACTTTCAGACACACAAATCGAACCGAATTACCGGTTCGATTTCTGTTCTAATACATGTTTTTAAATACTAAAATTAACAATGCTATGCATTTCAGTGTTTGGTCCTTCTCAAATTTTGATTTAATATGATAGTTTAGTTAATAAAAAAGTAATAGGCAACACCGTACTGTTACAATTATGATTGTATTAGTGCTTAGATATGTAAAGGTATAAGTTTCGTAGTTTACCATTTCAAACCTCTGCTCTCTTATTTCTAGGCATGTTTAGAACAAGAAGCGCGTGTAGCTGAACTCAGGTCACTAGCGGCGCGTGTGGCAGCGGAGACAGGTTCCAGAGCTCTGCAAGCTGATGCTGACGCGTTAGCCAAGAGACTGCAGCTGGTCGCCGGCGCTGTTCAGGCGCTCGCAGACCTGGGAGAGGCCAGGCAAAGCGCCAGAGCCAAAGCACAACATGCCAAAGAGATGTTTTGTGACATGAGACAGGTATATATTTTTTTATTTATTGACTTTAAAACTGTACGTTATGAATTCAACTTACTGCTGTTTCTTTGATAAGATCATAACTTAATAACAGGCAAATATGCTAATTTTTATAGAAATATTTAGAAGCCTCTTATAACCTAACCTAAGCAATAAGCCTTTGAAAATTGTTATGGAAAGACACAAAAGCATACTATGTATTATTTTGATTTTATTTCTTAATTCGGGTGTGATAGTCTTTTATTATAAACTAAACAACCAAAAACGTTGTGCTAATTAAACTAAAATACTGAGACTTCAAGTCAACGTCTTTTCACTCTGTAGGGCTATTCATTAAGCCATTGAAAGTCTGTTGGCATAGAAGCACGTAACTGTACCAAATTGGCCACTCTTACGTGACCAGTTGTCAGGGGATACGACCCACCTTATTAGGTCAGTGTCGACTTATGGGATTACGACTTCCTAAATAGCCTCGTGCGATTGTCTGTACAGTTTTATAATTCCATATTCTTAATATTGTCATATTATCATGACTTTAGCTGTAGTTAAAGCAACAATTATATTTTTGTATTGTTTTATAGGATTTAACTCCAGTCCATGAAGATGGTGAAATCGTGGAAGACAAACTTATAGCTTTAAGGGACAATTTGATCGCACTTGGAAAGAGCGAAGCGGATATTGCGCCAGCCAAAGCAGAGTTGCCGGACATCGACCGCGACGTATCGGACGAACATTCCATCGTTAGAATACTGGAGCTATGGCAGGCAATGTTCAGAGACACCTTCCTTCACTACCACAGATTATCCACAGCTCTGGTCAGGTCCGGAGACGCCGCCACAGCCTTTAAATTATGGCACGAATACCTCCTGGATCTGCAATCGTTCCTCTCCGGTTCGGTTCCCGCCGATTACGAAAATCTAACGGAGCACCGCCGATTATGTCGCGTTCATCGAAACTTACTGGCGTCACAGAGATCCGTTCTAATTAACGAAAACAGAGACACTAATAACCGTGACTTGGCGGATAAATTCGATACGCTCACAAACCTTCACAATGAAACTCTCGCGAAAATTGTCGAAAGGCACGACGAGGTTAGCGCTAGGATCGCAGCGTGGGACGATTATAGAGAAATTTACACGGAATTGCTCAGGTGGCTCAAGGAACTTGAGAGGGAAAAGGAAAAACTCCAACTCAGATACGTGCATATAAAGAGAATAAATAAAACGTTGACGCAGGTGCAGAATCTCTCCGATAGGCTTCCGGAAGGCCGAAAGTTTTCAGAAAAGTTATTTAGCAATCTCAAAAAAGTTTTAGTGTTCACAGAAGATACGTACGGTGCGTCAGTAAGAATGGAGTACGCCGGAATCGTAAAGAGAGTGGACAACCTCCAAGCCAGTCTCGACACGTGGCGCGACTTCCTCACTAGAATATTAGGCTTAATTGGCGAATACGAATCGTTGACCGGCGATTTACAAAAGCTTTATTCCAAAACACAAAACGAAGTTATGTCATATTCAGACGAAGAGCGTCTTTCCAGACCGCAGTTGAAAAAGGCCATAGATAGATTCACCGATTTAAGAACTAAGATCGATAGGACTGAAACTCAAATCGAAGCGCTTAGCGTTATTCAAGAACAATTAAAAGAATGCCTCAGTCCCCAAGACATAAGGATAGTCAACCAAAAAGTCTGGCAGCTGCGACAACAGCGCGCCGACTTAGAACACCAGCTATCAATCATCATTCACAGACTACAAGAGAGGATAGAAATATATACCATGTTTGATTCTAGGCTTTCGCGCTTCTCTGAATGGTTAAAGATGGTCGAGTCCAGATTCGAATCTACGACATCTTGTGAATCAGTCGCTTTAGATCCCCACGACCTTATAAAGAGAATCAACTCTGATATTCAAGCTGACTCAGCAATGAAAGAACGTGAATTTGAATGGCTCACGGAAACCGGTATGACTTTAGTCGAGTTATCGAAGAAAGATGAAAAATCTTTCAGCAAGAACACTTGTAAACAATTGAAAGATATCCAAGACCGCTGGCACACGTTGCAAGAGTCCAGAAGAAATAAAATCGCTGTGATCAGTGATCTACTGAAGACAATATCGCAATTGGAAGAGCGTCTCACGGAAATCAGAACAAAATTGCACGGCATCGAATCGAAACTGTCAGCACCCGTTATACTCGAAGAGTTAACGATAAAAGCCGTCGACTCCCAGTACCATAGTCGCGACGACATACATAAGGAGATCGAAAAGGAGAGCGAGGAAGTTGGTAACACGCTGAACCTCTGTGAATTTGTCACGAACGACCCTCACATGTTAAAAGACAACGTGGACTTGCGAAACTTACGAACCGGAGTTGATATAGTGGAGAAGAAATGGAAGAACATTTGCGAAATGTCGGAGCAGCGCAAAAGCGCACTGACGGAGATCAGAAAGTCCGCTGAACTAGCCAATTCGCTGCTTCCCAAAGTTGAAAAGAAACTCGACGCTTTAGAGAAACGAGTAGAGAAGATCGAAGCGAGAAAGCACCGTGGTGAAAGTGAAGACGAGGCTGTGTCCAAAGCGATCATCGAGGACCTGGATAATTTAAAGAAAGACATAAACAGGCTTAAAGATGCGTATAGCCGCATCGTGTCGGCTAGAGGTATCGAAGTGCGTGGAAATGGCGCTGATGATGCGGCCAGGTTAAGAGCGGCTGTGAGGCGTTGGCAGCAGTTGAGAGTGAGAGTGGATGCCGCAGGAGCGGATGCCCACAGGCAGTTTGTGGCAGCGCACGGCAAAGCTGTAGTCGCTCTGGCTGAAGCTGACGTAAGACTGACGAGAGCCCTTCACCTCTCACCTACACCGACTGATAAGGAAGCCATACTACGAGAGCTTGAGGTGAGTACAGTGATTCCTAAATTTATCAACACATGTTTATAACTTGCAAAATAAAGTTAAAAATACAAGACAACAAATCATGTAATATAAACTTTTCGTGAAATGTACTGGCCATATATGGATTTATATACGCGCATAATATGCTCCAATGAATTATTTATGTTGCGAAAATAAGTACAATTTCATATATCACTATGTATAAGCGTATTATATAAGAAAATAAGTGATAACCTCCGTTGCGAATGACCGATTGCATAAGGCAAGGTCAAAAACGCTTTCACTTGTAATTGAATAAATTTGTAGGATTCAAAATATGGCTTCATTTAATTAGCAAAGTTATATACCAATGACGCTTATACTTATATATGTATAACCATAAAAGCTGATGGTTTCATTCGTGAAATTAAATAAGAATTGTCTATTTTCTTATTAATCACATAGTGTTATTAGTTTTCTTCGAATTCTCAGTATTTAACTAAAAAGTAATATTGCCAATACTTACGAGCAACAAAAATACAGTAAAAGTCAAGTATTTTTACTATACTCTTTTGAATATGGCCGTTGCACGTTCAACAATTTTTTTATCATTTACTTAAAAACGCGATATAATATGTAGTTAACTTTTTAAATTTTATTTTCACTACGACACGATGTTTCGTATGCTTTGCATCTAAGATAAAAAAAGTCCCTAATTTAAAAGTCAAATCTGCTACGCTAGCACCATCTGAGTTTTATTTTAAATATGTAAACTACAATGATTTAATTTGTTTCGCGCCAGGACGTGGAACGTGAGGTCCAAGAATGCGAATGCAACGTCAAAGATGCCGACAGACTTGCAACAGCAGTTATGAGCGTTCCAGGAGTACCCGATATGGTTGCAGAATATCGCGCCCTGTACACCGATGTTCGGATGCGGCTTGACATCGCCAGAGCTGAGGTTGTTGGCGACGTGGACACTGCTGTGCAGGTTAGTTCTTCTGAAGGTTATCTAACAACATCGTTTTGCGAGTTAATTTTAATAGATGGACATATTATACTGTTGACATTTTTTCAGATTATTTAAAGAGAAATCATTATTTCATACTTATTATTGGGAATTTTTAGGTGGACACCCTGAGATGGGAAACCGATGCAGCTCTCCAAGTAGATACTCTAACCTCCAAGGAAACTTACCGAGTCGAACTAGCATCAGCTGTGAAGGAGGCTTCAGAAGCCCTAGAGTCACTACGGACAGCTCTTCTCCATGAAGTAAGAGAGAATGCGCCAAGCGAAGAACTGGCGAACGCGGCGAAAGAAATCGCAAAAGCCGGAACTAAACCGTCGCAGACGCTAGAACTGGCGAAACATTTATCCGAACTACTCCTTACCGAATGCGACGCGACAGAGAACGAAGCGATGTTAAAAGAAGTAGAATCCCTCTCGCTGAGATACGAAGACCTCCTGAACCAGGCGAAGAAGAGAGAACTCCAGATTAACAATTTGAGGTAACTACGAATTCTATATGGGCAAATCGTTAGATACTTTTAAAATCTTCAATGTTTTACTGGCTTATGAAAGTTGATTAGTTTTGAAATATCCACTAACTAAAAATCTTAGAATTGTTTGTTGGTTAAAAGTAATCTAACGATTTTGGGCACTGCACTGGCACTATAGAAATCGGTGGCGGGCTTTTCAGTAAACCTAGCACTAAACTTGAGCAGTTTTTTTCAGCACTTAACAAATAACAAGCGGACGCTTCTGACCATTGACTTTGAAATTTAAATGTAGGCGTGAAATTTTTTAATCAGACAGATCTTCGTAAATTCCAATTTATTTATTTTAAATTTATAAAATGTATTTCAATTTGTTATAGTAGTAATGTACAATTGGTGGTAACATTTACAGTGTGAATAAATGACTTTGTATAGGGTCTAAAATAGTGTTGCCTGTTAATAGCATGCGTGAAATAAAGTCGTTTTCTCGTCCTAGGTTGCCGCACTCCGCGTCCTACGCTCTCACTTGTGAGCAGTGAGTATCGCTTTCTAATTTTATTAATACACCTTCACACATGGCAATACCACACCGTTTTTATTATCTGTCCTCTTTCTACTTAGTACCGCACACTTTTATATGTTCTGTTTGCAAAAGGATATTGACAGATAATAACAAACCACGTGTTTGAGCTTAACCTGTAGTATGTACGCATGTTTGTTCGTAGTTGTTGTTTCGTAGATTCACTAATTTGTTTTTTTTTACAATGTATATATTTTTTACGTAATTGATATTTAGAGAATTTAGTATATATATCCGTTATACTAGTATTAGTGGTGATTATTAATAACTAGATTAACTTTTAAGAAAATTTACTTTCATTTTTATATAAAATTTTGTATATATAGGTATGTTAATATTGTATATATAGGCCTGTTAAATGCTTTATTCATTCATTGAAGTATTTACCTACTAAAGTTTTTGGAATTTAGTCAGATATTGGCGACTGACAAGTGGTATTTGGAGTTCTATTAACTTTTTTACATAATTTATTTTGCGTTTTAAGCCGTTTCAATTGTTTTATTTAAATAGTAAGGACACTTAAATAATATTATGGTGACTATAGGTTCATTCATTATTTCATTACTTTTACTGTTACAGAGTTCTATTTTGCATTATACGTTGTTAGTTCATTATGAAAACTCATAACGAAAATACGTTTACAGTGAATCCGGTCGTCTGACGTGTCCACTTTGTTCGGATCGCAATTGGAAGCAGCTAGACAACGACCTCTGGCGGCTGGAGCAGTGGCTGCAGTTTGCTGAAGCCACCCACGAGGCTAGAAACGAACCTCCTGAACAATACGATGTTTTGGAGGACACTATACAGGTGAGTTGTCTCTGAATTATGTAACGTTTTTATGTATTATCATAAGGAAGCGTCAAACAATCTAATGAAGACTAATCTGGCTGTTACGTGTTCCGGCAATCATCGCCTTTATTTGTCAACTAGCTTCAGTAACTAGTATCAGTTACCAATTTCTTTCCAATAATTTGTAAGAAACCTTTAATTTTGCCTTTTAACTAGAAACCTTAAACTGTGCATAATATAATTCCAATTAGAAATTTAAAAAGCTACAATACTACAGGACCATCGCGAGTTTCTACTCGACCTGGACTCTCACAAGGCTCTCGTGGTGTCGTTGAACGTAGTCGGATCCCACGTGGCTAGACACGCCCGCGACACCCAAGCCGCCGACAGAGTGCGCGAGCGTCTCGCGGATGCGAACAGACGGTGGGATGAGGCATGCGCCCGCGCAGCCGATTGGCAGACTAAACTGCAACGCGCGCTCGTACACAATAGGGAGTTTCATGATATTGGTGAGTTATTTGACATAGTTGTCAGCCAGTCAATTTCATACACCATGGACATGTCTAGTCAACTTCCCCAGCTTAGAGACTTTCCTTAAAATGAGTGTCTTTTTTACCCTATATGCTTTATCTGCCGAGATACACAGGTCGATAGCGCATCTTATGTAGATGTTATATGGCTGGGGTGTTTTATGCTTCCATCAAGTGAAGCTCGTGCTTTGTCCTCCTCCTTCATTTAACAAAAATCTCCTGTCTATGTAACATAGACAAAGCACATACTTATTATTTAAATGGTATCTGTAGTTACACTAGAAACATGATCTAAAACTTGGTTCATTTACTTAACAAACAGGACGCGAAACATTTGAAAATTATTACAATTAAAAATGTTTTTATCTTCTTCTAGTCGTCGAGTTAGTCAGTCAACTGGGTAACGCCGAGCGTCTTGTGCGGTCCCGCGAGCCTCTCCGTCTGTCTCGGCCGGCGAACGAGCTCCGTTCCGAGTTCAGACGGTTTAGCGAGCTTCGCGACGAACTCAGCCGCGCCGAACCGCGCGTGCTCGCACTGAGGGACGCCGCGCAACTACTTCAAGGAAATGATGCGCAGGATGTGTGTAGACGGTGAGCGATTTATTATTTAATAACTGTGATGAGAGATCAAGCATCACACACACGCACAACTGTGAAAGTCGAAACAGAAACTCAAAATATACATTTACTACCATTTCTCAAATTAAGAGCGTAGAACGAACGAGAAGAACTGGCAAAAATCTCGCCACACCATATTACACGCTAGTCACACATGGTCATGGGGAGACTGTCTCTCCGTGGCCATGGCTGCTGGTGGGGCAATCGTTAAAATATTTTTTTAATAAGTATAACTTATATATTTCGCGTTTTAAACAGGTAAAGTGTTTTATATAAATGTGTACTTCAATCTTCGCATAAACTAAAAACAGTATTCAAAAATGATGCTGTAACAACTCTATATGATTCCAGTTTGGGTGAACTACGACTTCGTTTGCAATCACTGCGCAAGCTCTCCGCAGTGTACGCGCTCAAATTGGGCGCCGCATTAGCAAACCAACCGTCTGCCACCGGATCTGCGCTGGCCGCTGCCGCCGCCACTCTTGCGCCGCAGGTAAACATACATACAAACACATAATTTGTAAATATACGCTAATTTAAACATTTTCATTTATAGCTACGAAGGAACCATAAAATTGCTGACTTTAACACTAAAGTCCACCATCTTTTTGCGGTTCTTAAGTTTTTTTTTCATAGAAAGCTATATATTAAACGTACCGACACCATAGTTCAATTACATCATTAATTTTTAAAAGCAAATTTAATTTCGGCGTCCGCTTATCACAGCTTCAATGCGGCTTAACTCACCAGGATTAATTCTAGAATTCAAAACATGCACTGCATAGATAGGCAATAAAAGTTACAATAATTTAGAACTAAATAAAATACATAAAATCATATTTATCATGAATAGGCTTTTAAAACATTTTGTAGTTATACAAATATCAAATCCAACAAGCACTATTTTTTAAATAACTTTTTTAAGTTTTAATTCTTTATTTAAAATTGTGTCTACATGAAAAATAATGCTTGTATCACAAGTAGAAGCTTGGCACAGTATTTTGACGTATTGTTGTCTCCCTAGCTGATGCAGGAGGAAGAGGAACCGAGCTTCACGTTACCACCTCTCACCGATGACGAGTAAGTATTGCACCATATTTATTCTTTAGCTGATGAAATATACCAATGTTACTTAAAAAAATATCACTTTTTTGTAGTTTACGAAAATAGCAAAAGTTTTTGTATTCATACATCCAACTTACATACAACTATAATAGTGTACTATCTGGTTCTATTATACAAACACTTTTAATGGTTTTAAACTCGAAATATTCTGGTTAACTTATTTTAAATATCTCTCTTTACCTCTGTGTTCACGGGTTGACTAACTTAACTTGCACTAAATTAAAAATGAGTTTACTTTTATATTTTGTATTTTAAGCCATTAAAAATGTTTTGTAAAATTTAACCATATAATACACTTAAGTCTTGTTTCATTATGTAAAAGTTGTTTCATGTCAATCTTAACTTATTGTTAATTTAAGAACGGTATATTTCACAAGCTTTATATTGCTCTAGTTACACAAATCTACATTGGAGTGATAGCTAGTTCACTAAGTTCAAGTAACCGATGCACCTATTCTCAGTATTTAGTATCTATCTATAAGCAAAACTTTGAACTTTCCACTTCTCTTTTATGTTTCACACTATCTGATACTTGTTTGAATGGAATCTTTAAATATCCAGTTTAAAGGCAAGAGATTTTGAAAATGGTTTCAATGTCCGACGTATATGGAATATTTTTCCCAACGTTCTCACAACGACTCAAGAGGTTTAAAGTTATAATGTCCAATTTTACAGCGTGCCAGCGAGCGATGAAACAGAAGAACGCTCTCTGAGCGGCGTGCAGCGAGGGCTGCGTTTCGTGTGCCGAGTCGCACGCGCCTCCCTTCCCTTCCAAGCGCTGCTACTGTTGCTGCTAGGCGCCGCTGCACTCGCCCCCCACACACAAACGGATTGTCGCGCTACACCTAGCTTACAACCCGTTTTGAGATACCCGGACGGTCCACCACCCATATAGGACTTCAATTAATCGGCAGACGTATATCTGTCCTTTTTTCTCATATTCTAAATGCGAAATGTTGTGACAAACCAGACTTGACATTAATTAAGATCTTATCTCGACTTATCAAATTTTTAGCTTACGCTCCGACTCGGGAGCCCTTGAACGGAAACGATATGCCCGAAATCAACCCATCGGAAGCTGAATTCTCGAAGGCCAAATCATCTTCTCCATCTCTGTCTCTCTGAGACGCCATATTCATATAGTAGCGTTGTAATCGAGAAACTTTTGTATATTTCTAAGATATTCCCGAACAGTGTTGCCAGTTAAGTTTAGCACGAGCGGATGAAGAAGCCTTTGACTTTCGGCGTGCGCGTTCGGCACTGCTTTTTCCGAAAACGCGGTGTTCGAGCGCGCGGAATGACATTCCATATTCAAGTGGTGCTAGTGTTGCCAGCTAGCCCGATCCCGTATGTATATAAAAACGTTTTTGTATATTTGTAACGTTTGTTAAAAAAAGACAACCCTGCGGGCCCGGGCTCGCGGCACGACGCGCCGGTTCGAACGAAATATTTATATATAAAAAAATATATTTATTATTTATATAATCTGTATTTAAAGATGGCGCCGCACAAATGATTTGAGGCGACGGCTTATCGCATTCACGCATTGTTACTTAATTATTAGATTGTAAGGACTGTTTATAAAGTCAATAAAGCCTTGCATTGATTTTGATGAGTTTCATTTGATTAATTTACCGAAATAATTTTAACAACGAGGAGTTAATATAGCGATCTCTACATACATACAAATTTAAATTATTTCAGTTATGTTAAAATAAAATCCAATACCATGGTTACTAGTATAATTACAACTTAAACTACGAGAGATATGGGTAGCTGAGTCTACTTCGAAGTCTGCGCACGCGCCGGCGTCGTTGGACTGAGCTGCGAGCGACGTACACCTCCGACTCTACCACCTGACGACAAACACGGCACTTATAATATTTTTTTTGTATAATACACCAACCGTTTATTAGAAAAAATAGGCTGTAATACGCCATAATTTCTCCGATCTCCTTTTAGGGATAGCTTCATACTTTTTTACCAACCTAACCTGTAATGGCTAAAGAAAGTAAAGTTTAAAAAACGGTTTAAAATGCAAACGTTTTAAAAGCCGTTCTGTTATTAAATGTGTACGACCCGCGTAAACTACAGACTAATTAAGTTAAACTATACTCAGATTTACTGTTTATTTTATAACTGAATACCAACCGTATCGTCCGAATGCAGAGTAGCCGAGAAGAAAGCAGCCCTTCCCTCCCCCCGAGACATCGCCTCGTAGAACCGCGTCTCTTGCGCTGCACAATATCAGCTGATTGATGCACGCTATCACAACCTGCAGTATTTTATACAATGAGGAATCAACTCTCTCATCGGAAATATATTATCAAGATCTCATATACGGAATAACCCCAATAAAGGAATCATCGGCTCGTTGGTCGGGCCGGGCCAAAATGGTTCAAAATTTTTTTTAACATTGATTTCTTATGGTAAATCTGGACCTTGAAAGAGTGACATGAATACTGATATTTCATGCTATCACGATCCACTGTCGCCCTGAAGAATCTACGTTTCAATTTGTGGCTGTCCACTGTCTAGAGACAAATAGATTGACTGCGCATCTTGTCCGTCATGCATCCTGTATGTTATAAAAACCACAATTAGCGATAAGGCACCTGTATCAGTATAGAGAGTAGATTAAACAGCTGCAACGCCAGCGTGGCTCTAGTCAACGGAGCTCTGACGGCTTCAACACATCCGCGAGCGTGTAATGATGCGCCAACCAATGGGGATTGAGAAGACCACGCGCCGCGCCACTCCCACTGAAAGTTACCAAATTGTTAAATGACATTGTTTTATAGGCCAAATCATAAATCTACCAAGACTAGTTAAACTTGAATTATTTTTTAATCCTATTTTTTATTGATTTATATCTCAAGAACGTAAGAAAGAATAAATAGAAATAAAGTTTATTCATGTGACGCTAACGAGTTTCAAAAAGTTTTTCCTTCTCTCTTATTTATTTTCCAAAAATTGTAAAATTCAACTTCACTTATATTTTCAAAAGTAGCTTATCTTTCTTAACTCTTAACCTTCAAATAACAATAGTACTTTCCAGTAATCTTTTTAAAATATCTTTTTACTTAAACTTATGATTATTAAATTTCAGATATTATTTTTAAAATTTTAATCGCTTTGTCACTACAACCGCTAATGAGGTTAAATCGTTTCTTATCGCACATTTATTGCGTCGCTATTTATAGTTTTGTTAAGATTTTATTATAAACTACCCCTATGAATAGTTATAATGTATATATTTTATTAATAAGTTTCTATATAGTGATTCTTGTAATCTTAGTGGGAAATAAATGTCTTTAAACCGAAAACACTAGAGTGTCAACACTTAAAAAATACCTGCTGTAGCGGATCGTGGTAGCAGGCAGCTAATACTCTCGGAGTGCAGCAGGAATAAGGAGTTACAGGTGGAAGGACCTTGCCATCAGTTCTTGATAGCCTGGAACGTGTAAAATTACACAAATGACATCGTACAATTGAAAACGCCAAACGCAACGAAGTAGATATAAAATGCAATCCTTACTTCATAACTAGATCCGAATCCTCGTTGAGAAAGTCGACATTGATCCATGGTATGTCGTACCAATCGCTCGGCTGCTCCGCGCCACAACAATTCAACTCGACCTATAAAGAAATATCATAGTGTAAAAGCACTTGCCCTGCAACTGTAAAAACCGTTTCAAAAATCCAAATATTTTCCATTTTGACAAGATTGCATTAAAAGATTGCGTAAATGGTATGTATTAAATCCACAAATAAAGTAATAAATTACCTAGCACTACTTAGAAATATCGACACTTCCTATTTTATTTACATTAAATTACCTGCATGGTATCCAATAAAGTTTTCCATGAGGGCTCTGTGAGATATTGAGTGATTCCTATCCTTAGCGAAGACGACAGCTCTTTTAAAAGTGCCTTAAGAAAAATACAATTAATGATGTAAATTAAAGCTTTTACGATAGATGTCACCCCTATTCGTACCGATTAATACATTCATTAGAACACACACACACTTTTTTTCATACATATTTTTGGTTACCTTGAACCATTTTCGCAGCATGCGCATTCAGAAACCCACAGAGAGAGAGTAGTTTTCCTCGTTTTTTTTCATATAGCCCGCTGTTTCCTCGGTCATATAAGTCAATATTAGTCACAGCGTAATATAATTTTTTTCAACCATTAGTTCCGGAGATTAGGGCGTTCAAACTAACAAACGCATCACCTTTATATATTAGTAGAGATATGATACGAAATGTCTGCCTACTTTTAGCGTGCTCCTGCACGCCGCATAAACGAGAACACCGTTAATGGCGATGAGAGCACCGCTGACCATCCAAAGGCGACTGACGGTAGACGTGCGATGCCAGTGAGGGTACTTCAGGACCCAGGTGAGCAAGCGCAGCCCGCTCGTGTAGTGTAGTTTCATGGAGTACGCTTGAAGCAGGATTAGACCGTAGAGCAGATAAACTGTAAGCTGTAGATTATAGGCATATATTAGGCAGGGCCACACACGTTTCCACTAAAAATCGCTTGAAGATGTTATTATTTAATCAGTAATCTCTAGAATCTATAGCTATTAATATCAATATCAGTAATCTCTAGAAATTACGTACTCAATTAAGTATAACAAAGTAATTATTTTTATACATATTTATATTATCTATAGCAATTGCGAATTCTCGTCAATGTAATATCAAAAATAAAGCCGCTGGTGTTTAGCTATACCTATGTTGTAGATTTAACTTTAATTTCATTTCATTCGATTAGTCCCAAGTCTGTCGTACTGAACACACTCATATTTGATACGAGATAAAACAATAATACAGGAAAAAAACCGTTGCTTTTTATCACATTTTACTTATAATAGACAAAAATCATCTAAATCGGCCTAACTAATGTACTACCTTATTTAACTATACAGCAAGCTTAAAACAATACATACTGATATATTCATTACCTTATGAATATTCTTCAACAACGACATAACACGTATAGAGACGTTATAACAAAATATCGCCATCACAAGCGAAATAATCAGCTGTGCGATCAACAACGCTCGTAGTACGGTAGCCAGCCTTTCTCGACCTTCCCTACTGAGAGTTAACCCACCCCACGCCATGTAACGGCATGGTGGAACATGCGAAGACTTAAGTTTAAAAAACACAAAAATCCAAGACATAAGGTTATGTTTACGTAGGTTTGTCGTGTCTAATTTAAAAGTCAAACTGTAAAAAGTTTAAATTCAGTAGTATTTATACAATTTACGTCAAAATAACATTCTAATTTAATTAATCCTAACTTTGTTTTATTGTTTGTCTAACCATTTTTTACCATATTAAATATTATTAAACATTAAACCTATGTCTCTAATGCATGATTACATTTCACGTATTATTTATAAACACGGATGGCATCAATAAATCTAATTTACTGGTTTTTTGCACAAACCCTACCATACATACCTTATTGTAAAACAAATAGTAACATAGCAACCTCCTTATTTATTGAATCTCCTTGATTTTCTTTAACTGGCTGGCAACAATATTGTTTATTACGACAACCAAGCCATTCAATTGTTTGAAATTGACACAAGTGGCAGCTTTTATGTTAGAATAAGCTATAAATTAACTTTACGGTTATATTTAAGCTATTCGAGCGTAGTTAACGATGGAAGGTGTTAGAAGAGCTAAAGTGACTTGGAGCGATGACTTAAGTCATAATTCTGAAGAGGAAAGAGGTTAGTTAAGTTTTGTATTTAAGTCAGTCGCACACAATAGCATTTTCAAGATTTCCTTTATCCTATGGAGCGATAAATAATTACTCCAAAATTCAATTAATAGTTTACTATGATGTACAGAACGCGAACGGCAAGCGCAACTAGAACGGGAGTTAGCGCTTGTACCGGTGAAGCCGGTGTATGAACCAGCCGAACTGCAAGCGCTGGTCTCCTACGTCATGGACATGACCACACTGTACGACCTGAGAGCGGAAGACTGGAATGAGGAAACCAAAGCCGGGATAGAAGACTGGATCACCGAGCCGAAAGCGCTAATACTCTGTGTATATTTCAAGGGCGATAAGTTAAAGGCTGCTTCAGATATACCCTTGTCACCGGTTTATGATCTAACCTATTTTGTTCGGCCACCGGATTTTGTCTTTAAGGCTGAGAGCTTCCACGACGATGTCGTGTTTGGCACGTTCGTTGATTCCGTGGAAGCGAATATGATTAAGCAGTTGGAGTCGGTGTTTGCTCCTTTCTTCTTTGCTGTTAACACGTGGCCGGATAGTAAGTTATATCTATCCTTCCTTTGATATCAGGTACATACTTTTTCACGTAAAAGTTACTGGATAAATTTTGATAAAACAAATCACTAGGTGTTTGTTACATATGTGTCGTAATTTATAAAAAAAACATGTATATGTTATGTAACGAACGGAATACCTGGGCATCAAGATCGGTAACTTGTTTATTCTTTATAGGTGTCAAGAGTGAATTCTGCTCTCAAATACATACATTTCTTGCGAAGTTAACTGACATGTACTATAAGATGTTGGGCTTGACTGTCCTTTACATCCCTCGGGAAGGTCTAAATCTCACTTTTGAAAAGGCAAGCGCTGATAGAGAGCTAGTAAAGCGGCTCGAGGGCGTCGTGGTTTATTGGACGCACCAGATTAAATCTTGTATTGAAGATCAGTCGTCTGTTGCGTCGCAGAAGGAATTGTTATGTCCCAGTGACGAATACGACTTCTGGGTGTACAGACGTGAGTTATTATCTAATTACTTTTAAGTTAAAGTCTCCATATCGTAAGTGCTTACTCGTCGGTGCAATAAACTGTTCCAGATGAGAACCTAAGCGCGTTACTGTATCAACTGCGCAACCCAGCCGTAAAGCACATTACGAAGATTCTGGTGACCACACATTCGACATTTATCCACCAATTCCAGGCACTCTGCGACGAAATCAATCAGAAACTAAAAGAAGCGACGTCGAATATAGAGTATCTTCAAGTGATCAAGCAACCGTGTGCTATACTCGAATGCGTCGATGACCCCGACGAGATAGCTAACCACGTACCCCAAATCATTAACCTCTTCAGGTTCATTTGGATGGAGTCACCGTACTACAACTCGGAGACGCGGATAACTAACCTCTTCAAGGCACTGAGCAATCAGATTATAATTCTATGTAGGAATTATATAAAGCTTGAAGAGCTCTTCGGTGGACAGACGAAGAAGGCGTTGGGCGAATTCAGTAAATGCATAGATTGCTGTAAGCGGTATAGAGAGATCTACGAAGTGATGGCCGAAGCACATAGCGACGTTAACCCTGGCAGCTGGGAATTGGACATCGGAGCTATTTTTAACTATATCGACTCCTTTGTGCAACGTTGCTTTGATATGCTGGATGTATGTAATTGCATGATTATCTTTGGAAGGTCAGCATCCTATTTCATCCCCACTACTTCAGTTCACTTTAACTTTTAAAATGTAAAAACGTGTACTGTACTGTTTAAGAGCAGAAAATACTTCGAGTAGTTACGACACATGGATTTTTAACGAGCTTTATTGTTTAAAATGAACTTTCCAATTATACCTATATTTAATTCTGTATCACAAGGTCTTAAATATAATTTTTTAAGTTATAAATATAATGTATATTTAAGAAACTGAGTTATTTATTTAGGATCGATGAAATGGAAGTCATAAATAAACCGATGTTCGGAGGAGCGCGTGGCGATCAATTCGAGGCCAAGTGTGATCAGATTGAGCATATGTTCCACGACGCTTTGGACAACGTCAAAGCCGTAGCCGACACTATTTTGGACGTCCAGGCGCCATCTTGGTACGACGATATATTGCAATTCAGGACAGTCATAAAGGATATTGAGGTAACTATCTTTTAAACCTAGCCTTAGTATACCTTGATTAATTTTTTAACGCGCTTTCTATTGAACTTTTAAAAGTATACAAGATTAATTATAGATAATATTCTTAACAATATGCTGGTTAATAATAATTTTGTTACTATTGCGGAGAAAAAGTTTTATCCTCTTCTGTTTTAGATAATAATTGAGAATTTAGTCGAAACCGTATTCGAGGGAGTGAACCACATAGAGGAGGCGGTCGTAGCCTTGTATTCTTTACACAACTATTCTAAGCGGAAAAGTCTTAAACGAATCTTCAAGAGGAAGACAGCTGAAGTAAGCCCAAATGGCAAATTTTCCACATTTATTAATATTTTGCAAACCGCAGAGTACCTACTACTGACTATTTAACGAGTAATTTTAATGTACAATCTATCGGAGTGAAGCAACTTGAAATGGCGGTCTATTAAAACTTTTCCGGTTGTAGTTTAAACGTGGTTATAAAAATTTGCTCGAGTTTTACTTTTCTATGGTATTGTTCGTAATCTATAATGCAATTAGTACACAGCTAAAAGAGACATAGTTTGTTGTTTATTATACAATATGGTATCATCAGGTGTGGGCCATGTTTAGTGATGAAGTGCAAGAAGCTAAGAAAGAAATGGTTTCCGGGCGGGGACAATATCCCACGGATCTGCCATCTTTCTCTGGAAGGGCTGCTGTTCTTCGTATGAGGAAGAATAGACTCGCTTATTTGAAAAAGGTTGAAGGAATGAAATATTTTAACCGCTATATCAGTTCTAGCTAAAAAACAACCTCACTTGAAAATTTATATTATTAGATATTTTGTGTATACATATAAACCCCTTTTTTTCATTTACATGGAGCATGGGCCGAACATTTTTGTGTCCGTTTTAGTGAATTTACAGGCAAGTAACTGATTCCACATCTGTGCCCCGTGAGATGTAAAAAACTTACTGTTTTTTGTAACTATTAACCAGTGGGATAATTACATTACCATGAAACTCGCAGGTGATGACAGACGCTTCTGTGTGGCTCATGGCTTGCAGCAACTCCGAAGACGTCATTATGCACGTGAACCGCCTCATGGGCGCCATTGATGTAGCGATTCGGGAACTCTTTATATCTTGGACGGTAATCAATTCAATACAAAACTTAACGTACAAATCATAATATGAACGGAACATAAGTGTAACGGCCCAAATCTTTAAAATGTATAACCTGAAATACGATATAGACTAGTTGAGCAATATATATTTTTTTAATGCCGTTCTAGCACAATTTGGACGAGAAATGTGGAGCCGGCCTCAACAAAACTTTGATGAGAAAGAGTGCTGAAAATCCAGGTCTACTTGAGTGTAATATTGATGTGTACGTTAATTTAACCATTTCATTTGATTTAGACTGAACTAATAATCTGTCACTGACCAAACTTGGCATTTCGAATTATGTTTCCAGGAATATTCTGGAACTCTGCAAGGAAGCACATCACTGGGAAAACTTGGGTTTAGATATACCTATGCATGCATATCAGGTAGATAAGATAATACGTTAGACTATTTTTGTTGTTAAGTTACAAAACACATTGAACTTACAAGTACTGGCTCTTAAAAACATGGATATAATTTGTTTCCTTCAATTTTAGTTGTATTTGATACGTCGTACGATACAGAAAAAAAATACAAACAAACTAATTTCAACAGGCATGGTTGAGAATTTGTATTTATATATAGACAGCAATAAAGCTCATTTATGAGATCATATTAATTCATACATAAAAATTGATTTTTAGGTGTACAATAAAAGCAAGACAGTCTTCTATGTTTACGAGAGTGTTCTGGCTGTGGTGAAAGGCTACAATAAAATCCTAGACTCGCTTTCAGACGATGAGCGTCTCCTTTTCAAGCCACTAACTACGGTATGACTTTAATCTCTATAAAATTAATATCTTCTAACCAGAAAAAAATTCATTATGCAAAATAAGGTCTGTACTTTGTGTGAAAAGATGCATTCCTTGTGTAGACAATCTTTACTTTTATTGCTGTTAACTTAACAATAATAAATTGTACTTTGTTTCCATAAAATATGTCACACTCCAATTAACAAAATTCATTTAAGGCAAACATCCAAGTGATCGTTCATATCTGCCATTTCCACCATTGTCATACAACAAGGGCATGGACATTTGGTCCCCGTTTCATTCAATTCTAACGACTCGTCTAAGTCATCAATGACTATGGTCTCATTTGAATAGCTTGTTGAAGCACCTTCTTCAGGAATTGAAGTGTTATTATCAAAGAATGCTAGACATTCATCTAAATGTTCTACAATTGGTTTTGTTACTACTTCACCACAGCATGGACAGTCTTGTTTAGCCGTTTGTTTATTATCTTTGTTTGCATTTGTCTCCTCATCATCTAGAGACCATGGTATATCAAATTCTTCATGTTTAATTTCATCACCAATATTTATTGTGTCTATTGTCTCTGTTTTAACTACTGTCGGACACTTTACGGTTTCACTTGGAACTTGAGTTAAATCTATACAATCTTCACGTTTCTTAACATTATCTAACATATTATTTTTAGTATGTATCACAGCTTTGTGTTCTTCATTATTACTATTGCTTATTTCTTCAATTAAACTTTTATTTAAACAGTCATCTAAGTGTTGATTGACATTGTGACTGCTAATTTTAATATGACAGATTGGACAATTGACCACATTTTCTGTTTCAACAGCCACTGCAATTATTTTATTATCGTTCTTTGATTGTGTGATATTAAAATCTTGACCATAAACATCTCTTAATACATGTGATGCAACACTTTTAAAATAATCATCAATTTTCTTAATTTTCTTTGGTTGTGAGTTTGTTTCAGAAGGAATACTAGGTCGTTTTAAAACTTGATTAGGTGCATTTGTGGCAGGCAAAGTTTTGTTTGCCCAAACATTTCGAACAGTCTCTGCAACATTTGTTTGATCTTGACTATCACCCCCATCAGTATGACAAATTTTTGGTATGTGTGGGTTATAAGTCACATTGTTTTTCTTTGAAACTAATAAATTACCATTACTAACTCTTGGTGTATTAAATTTCGAGTCAGTAATAGGTTTAAGTATTTTTTTAACTGGTTTATTCATATCTATAACTGTTTTATCATTGTTATTAGTAATGTATTTTGTAATATCGCCCTGATTACCTTTCTTCTCATCTTTTTTCACTTTATTATTCTTTTCTGGTTCTTTAATTTTAACGAAAGTACCTCCACATTTTCTCTGATGATCCAGCCACCAGAAATCTTTAGGACCTGGCACTCTGTTGTTGGTTCGACGGACAATACCAAAATGTGGTTTTTGTGTTTGACATGGTCCATTGCATCTCCACCAATGAGTCTGATAGAGTTTTACCTGTAAAGCGATAAGCATTACCTCTATAGTATAACTTCTATTTTGATTTTAGTTCAAAATATTTTTATTGGCAACATAAGAACATAAAATGATTATAAATGTTATTAATGATTTACAGGGTCATCCATTTTTACATAAATATCACAGTGCTTTTAAACACTCATCATCATTTAAAATAACAACTTGAACTTGCCTCATCATGAAAATCATGATAAATACTGATATTTAGGCCTGCAGCCTGATTAATTCTAAACATGTGTGCTTTGAAATTTGGCCCATGTCCATCCCTGTCTTGATCTCTATGCGTTATAAAGAGAAATGCATGTATCATTTCATGCAAAAGAGTTTCAACTAAATCTTTTCTTGGCCGAAGTTTAAGCAATGGTTCACTTAAAGCAATATCACAGAGCCCTCCTCTATCATATCTAAAACATATTATATAGAAATTTATAAGGAAACTGCAACAAAGAAATCTTTTATCCCTATAACCAAGTAACCAGTAGACTTCTGTAGTGGAAGTATAAGCAGCTCAAGGCTAACATTTAGTAAAATAAAAATAGGCAAATAAAAGAGCAGAGTAATGATTATTATTAATTATTTTATTGAGAATCGGTAGTGTACACAGCTACCTTCGTAAATAACAGACTTCGCAATTCGTTGTCAAATTATAAGCTTTTTACTTACGTACAAATCCCAGCACAAGAATACATCCTCTTGCTCCATCGCACAACGGCCCGGCTACATAATTTGGCCCAGAAGAAAGTTTTGTCGAATTGTAAAAACAACGCGTAAACATTAGGTGTTGGATCAATTAATTCCAGCTCTGGATCAGCTAAGTTCATAACACTGACCATTTTGTGATACCACCATTAATTTATTATAAAAAAAAGTCATTGAAACTTCTACAATAATAATTGTGAACAATAAAGTGAAAGTGTAGTTCACCGCGATTTATTCAAAATTTTAATTCATAATAATTTGAATCTGTCAACGTTAAATATAACGCAATCACACAGATTATAAAATATAGTATGACATTTTGTTCTTCATAGGTGTTTTACCTACCTAACAAACGTACAGTTTATGTAAAAAGCGAAATCACAATCTTTATAAATAGTGTCCTGTCGCTGAACAAATGATAAAAATGTGTTTATAAGCAATATTTTTTTTATTGTGTACACGACTTAACGAATCATTCTACATTTAAAAATATATGGCAAGGGACTCGAACCCACGATCACTTGCACAAATTAATATCGTGAAATAATACTAACTTAAGTTTTGGTTTGGTAACAGGCTTGTGAAAAGAAAGTTCAACCTGGAATTTTTAAATTAACTTGGACATCAACAATGTCTGATGCATACATAGCGGATTGTGTTTTACAAATTGGAGAAGTGAGTTATACAACCTTATATTGGAGTAGAATTTTTAATAGTCAATTTATTTTTAATAAATAAATTACTATACACACAATATTTAATAATAATTCTTAACTTTTTTAGCTTCAAGATTTTCTCACGACTTACAAAAACTGTAACATAAACTTAGTAAAAATAATGGAGAAAATTTGCGACACACCATTAATTGAGTTTGATATTTATAACGTGTTTGAAATAAATGTACTACGAGCAAAAATTCGGGAAATGGAAACAGAAGCAATTGAGAAAATTTTAGATATGTATAAGGAAATAATAATTTATATCATTATTGTGTATGAAGGATTTGAATCTTATATTGGCCAGGTTAAATTCGATTCTTATAATATTAAAATAACGTATCACTTAGCACAGTAACCAATTCCGGATATTGCCTTAGATGGCGGAGCACTGGGTGAAATATGTCAGAAGATTCGATCGCCTGATTGAGGACGCATTGCGTTTAGCCATTAAAGCAACTATGCAAAATATGTACAAATGTGTACATGGCGATGGTGTGTACCCACATAGTACTCCGCACATTTTTAAGTTAGCTTTTAAAATTTCCTCTATAATTGTTCCTTTCAACCCACCCAAGGTACCATGGCGCCATCACCGTTAATCAAAATGAACTTATATTTATCTGACAAAAACATTATCTATCTCCCGACTAAAAATGAAATAAGCGACACTTTTACGACTGTCTTGGATGAAATCGTTCACATCCTAAGTACCATGCCCAGATTGTTCCAAAAGTTTGGATTACCTGCTGGTGGACTTAAAAATTTTACTGAAGTTATTCAAACCGATGCTGACACTAACAAACTGCAGTCTCTGATTGATAGTGGTACGAGTATATTTTGTATCATGCGTGTATCGTTCTATCGTTAATGTCAAAATATTTCCTTAAGATAATGTAAAAATACTTTAAAATATTATTTTTCCAGAAATTGAATACAATTTAGGATTGATTCGCGAACACATGAGAATGTGGGATCCGTACGCGCATATTTGGAAAATCGATAAGGATGAATTCATGGAGAAATATCGTCAAGAAGGGCATACAGCTGCGGACTTTGATGAATTAATTATTAATTATAGTGATTTAGCCAACGCTGTGCAAATACAAGAAACGTTCAATCAGGTATTTCGTCAAGTCATTGGAATTGTAGAAAATTAACAGAAATTTTCACTATTTAATGACCATATTTTATATCTAGCTTAAATATGTAGGTACAATTACGAGATTTTTTTATGAAAGTGAAGGACAGGCAGGCGTGAACTATTTGATGGAAGGTTAATTACCCTAGACATATAATATCATCTAAACCAATAAGCGCTTTCATTACTTGTTAATAATTATTATAAATTGCTCAGCAAGACCAACAGGTAGGTGCAAAATTTGTACATTAGTTGACATACATTTTCAGATCCATTTTATCACACTAAATTCGAGCGAACTAAAGAAGTCAATAATAGCTCACTGTTCAGTTTGGCAAACAAAGTTAGGCCAGTTGTTGAGAACTATTACCGAATGCGACATAGACGTGGTTTACGCATACATAGAGAGGAGTAGTGTGGAGGCTATGACAGTTTGTATTTTTCGAGTTTTATCGTAATTATTACTAGGTAAAAATTTTACGACAAAAATAAACATCTCTCAATTCCAGATGCCAGCCGATTTAAAGGAACTTGCGACGGCAATAGCTACATATGAACGTTTGATTGCTGAAATTTCTCCATTTGAAAAAACTTTTCCACCTATAACAGATCAAATGTCTACGCTGGGTTTGTAAAATTTAATATATGTTATACTAGTGGTAAGTCTACAGCTCAGAATTTTGATTAAAATAATGATTGTCTGCTTTTAGTCAAGTTTGAAGTCGAACTTAGCTCTGATATGGTAGCACGGCATGAAAATATTCCAGTAGTCTGGACTGAATATTTGAACTTGCTTGAAGAGGCGAAAAAGGCTTTGGAATTAAATAAGGATAAGTTTAAAGCAGAACTATTGGAACAGGCTGAGGTATGTTGAAAAACAATCACAATTTCCTCTTGTTTTATTCCGTTTACTAATGTTCTAATTTGTTAGGTCTTTAAAGAAGCGGCTAAAGAATTTTGTGACGATTTCTATAAAACGGCTCCTTGTAGTTCCGATGTTAGTGGTAAAGATGCAATGACACAGCTAAAGGCTTTCAGAGAACAACTAAATGCTTTACGTGCACAAGAACAGCAAATAAAAGATGGATTGGCTGTTTTTAATTTAACGTAATATTTGTTATTGCGTTGTTCATTTATTTAAAAATCATTATTTTAATTGCACATCAATTTACCCTTTACAATTAGAATACTTTCATAACATTATCAGTTTTCATGTATCGTATTATATTCGTATTATAGTGTATAATTTATTTATTCTTGCTTTATTATAGGTACTTACATAATATATCGACTAAGTGTTTAGAATTTTAGCAAAATAGGTATCTGATGTTATAAACAGTGTTCCCAATTATTTCGTGAATTTATTAAAGAATTATTGAAATATTGACCTTTGGCTTGGCTTTAGGACTCCCGTTAATTTAGACCTGCAGCGGATGGAAAAGGAGTTGGAAAAATTAGAGGAAGTTTGGGGTCTAGTCTTTCAGTGGGAAGAGTCGTGGGAAAAATATAAAACACAGACATTTTGGGAAATGGAAACAGATGAAATGGAGGAGAACGTTATGTATCTCTTTAGGTACCTCAACACTTATACAATATATAAATCAATTGTTTCTATTAGTCTGGTAGCCAGCAAGATTTAAACATTTTATGACTTATAGAAACTTTAATCGCCTTTCTCGTCAATTGAAAGACAAGGGTTGGGACATAATAGATACGACTCGCGTCAAAGTTGACGCCTTCCGAAGAACTTTACCGTTAATTGGCGACTTGAAAAATCCTTGTATGAGAGAGAGACATTGGGATAGAATCAAGACTCTTATGGGCGTGTAAGTTTATGCTCTAATTATCGTAAATGTTAATATCGCAAAAAAGACACAGTATTGTAATAATTAAGAATACATTATGATTATTATTATTTACTTTTATTGGTAAAACCTTCCTTTGTAAGGCTGTAAGACTAGAGCTTTTAAGCAGACATGGATTTTCCTAAAATACGCCACCTATTAAATTACTACTATTTTTTGCAAATAAAAGTTGTTCCTTATAACAGGGAATTTGATCAGGATTCGGAAGATTTTAAGTTAGAAGTTATAATGCGTCTTAATTTCCAAGCGTACGCAGAGGATATCGCCGAGATATCCAATGCAGCAACTATGGAACTAAATATAGAAAATGGTCTGAAAGCAATTCGCGAAGTGTGGAAGAACACGACTTACGAAATGCAACACCACAGAGGTGATATGTATAAAATTAAGAATGTTGAAGATGTCATGCAGGTCTCCTATTTGATTTATATTATTAATACTGTGTAAGCAAAATATTAAAAAAGCCTTTACTCTTAGTTTTTAGAGGACCACCAAGTTCAATTATCTTCTATGAAATCTACTAAATATGTTGAACCTTTCATCAAAGAAGTAGATTATTGGGAAAAATCATTGGGATATGTCGCGGAATGTATTGAGGTAAATTATCAATACCTAATTAGATATACGGTTCTCATACTACCTTACCTACGTTAACTATTTACTTGTTCGTAGATATCATTGCAAGTTCAAAGACGATACCTATACTTAGAAAGTATATTTAGTGGTGAAGATATACGTAAGCAATTGCCGAACGAAGTAAAAATATTTGATGCGTTATGTGCAGATTGGACTGAAATAACTAGCAAGTGAGAATCGCTTAAACAAAGTCTTTACTCAGCAATTAGTTACTAACCGTTGAATATTTTAGCATGTACGCGGGATCCAATGCTATCGAGGCTTGCTTATATAAACCAGCACCGTATTTGTTTAATAAACTGAATAACATGGTAGATAACTTGGACGGAATTTTAAGAGCTTTGGAAAAGTATTTGGAAACGAAACGCCAATTATTCCCAAGATTTTATTTTATTTCTAATGATGACTTACTAGAAATTTTGGGTAACTCAAAGAAGCCGCAATTGATACAAGTGCATTTAAAAAAGCTTTTTGATAACGTGAATAAGATACGGATCGATAAGGTTTGGAAATAACTATTATTTATCTCTAAAGTAGATTTCAATTATTTATTTGTTTTTGTAAGATTTTAGCCCAATTCTCTAGTACAGACAGGCTATGTAATCTATTGTGACAGTGAATTTGTGTCAACTGTCAAGTGTCAAGAACATGCGACGCAGTTACGAATTTACGCGCCCATGGCCGTAATTTTATCAGACTAAAGTATAACGTTATTCTGTAATTGTAAACATATTTAACAAAGATTAATTCACACCAAGTTAAAAATATTGATCGCAAAATCAAACAGTGACTGTTGTCGTATAGTTGTGATATTTGTGTTAGACTTTGGTTGAAGTTACTATGACTTCAACTAAATACTGAAAATACTACATTGTCGGACAATGATGGAGATTTTAGTACTTCTCTGAAAGCTGCAAAAAGAAAGCTTAGTTGTGATTCAATGTCTAGTGAATCTCTTAGTAGTTCTAAAAGTGTAACGAAAATACTTGATGAAGATGTTAACAAACCTAACGAGCACGTCAGAGATATCACCGCAACAGAAGAGCAATCGCCTGAGGGAGATTTTCAGTGTTTTTATATGTCAAAGAAGTCTATCGTTAGTACCTATTGATTTAAATATTAATATTATTATTAAGATTTAATGTCTAAAGTCTCCCACTTGAGGGGCCCCATAAAAAACTGTATGACCACAGAATATTAAATTAGAATTGTGCAGCCTAAACTTTGTCTAATAGAGGTTATTATAAAATCTGTGTCATAACAAATTAGTAACAAACTAAGTCACGATACTTTGTTATTAATAACTAGATTTTTAAGAAGTTTGGAGAATAAAAAAATGAGTTTATTTATGTAGCAATTTGTTGATGAGCACAATTGTATATTTCATATGTGTTGCATTGTTTGACTGTTTTTATGTGTATTAATTACAATATTTCAGCAAAAAGCCATGTCTTTTCTAACACCTGTCTCCGATGGCTATTTGAAAGCCAGAACATGCAGGCAAAACCTAGTGGAGAAGCAAACGTCTCAATATGTCATCAAGAGCTACATTGCCCACAGATACTGTGGATCATATCATTGGAGAACAAGATATTTGATGGCAATGAATAGGGCTATATATTCACATGACTGGAACAAATTGCTCTATATACTTAAGAAGTCACCTATAAATGAACATACTGATGAGAGAACAGAATTTCATTATATAAGGGTAAGATATTATTGACTTTTCAAATAGTAAATTCTAATTGTATATTTTTGTTTAGTCTATTGTTAGGTTGTCATAAGATTTAAGATTGTAAAACAAATTTCATCTTAGATCCCTTTGCCCTACCTCATATTTTGCAGCATTAAAGTTTGCCTTATAGGAATATGACAATTTTTATGTAAACTAAGTTTACACTTTTTCATAAGGTTTCCTATTTGTTCAATTTGGAGCACACCTAAAACGAAAACTTCTAGAAACTATTATTTTAACTTTTACTCTATGTAGGTATATAACATTATTTAAAATAATATGAAGTAAGGATTTATACAATTATCATTTGTATTGTTTATTACATGATTTTTTTAAATTTTAGAGTTGTTTAAAATTGGACCTTTACTGCACACATTGACTGATTTTTTTGCTTCAGGCTTTAACAATACTCTTAATGAATCATCCGAGTGCCAAATCGCAGTCTCTGTTGAATGATTATCTCCACATGGTCCTATCGTGCCGTTCTGACCAAGACAAGAAAGCATTATTTAAAGTCCTCTTAACTATGCCTCAGACACTTATCGGGCCTTCATATAGAGAATGCTTAGCCAAAGAACGAGACAACCAAGCTGAAGACCTTTGAAAATGAAGATTTAGAGAGCTGACACTGAAAAGCATGTTTCAATCAATAAAATATTTGCGAAATCTGTGATTATAATAATGTCGTTAGTTGTTACTACTGACAAATATATGTAATATTTAAGCATAATGGGTTGTTTTATTTCTTATTCTATTTGTAAACCAAATTAATTAAACGCTTTAATAAACTTGTGCTTTTAGAATGCTTTAGGCCTGCCTGTGGCTAAGGCGATGATGTCTGATGATGGAGAATGCATAGAATGGAAGTACAATTTAGTGTTAGATGGACCAGCGGAAGTGTGGCTTCTGGGCCTAGAGCATACTATGAGAGTTGTGCTTAGAGAGGTCTGTTAATATTGTTGGCTAATGTGTAATAAAAAATGTGTAGATCTTTACACCTACTTACAGGAAAAAATATTAATGCTTATTGTAGTTTTGTTGTAGAAGATTTCACCTTTGTTTTTTATTAGTTAATTTGAAGTTAACCTAACACACAAACCAATGTATATTAATAAAAATATGTTTGTTCATTAGCAACTTATATTAACACGCGCAGCATTAAGAAAGTGTCGTTATCAAAGGGAACAATGGATCAATGACTATCCCGGACAACTTGGCATAACGTGCAGCAAGGTAAGAATTGACCTTGGTAGCCTTTAAAAATTATAAATGGGTCATAAGAAGAATAAAATAATGTTAATTCGTACTTATATTAACGTAGAACAGACAGATTATTGAAATTCACATCGGATGTTGTTCAGTCGTTTCCTGATTATAGATTCAATGGACATCGGACTGCACTCGTACTCTTTGTCGTTGCGAACTAATGAAAGAGAAGAAGCCGTTAAAGAAATTGCGCAAAAAGCAGAACCAAATCCTCAGCACATTACAGAATATGTCTAGGAAAGACATTGCGAAGATTTTGCGGTGCAAAGTGAATGCTCTTTGCGTTATTGAAATACATTCGAGGGACACTGTTGACAGGATGTATAAGTTAGGTTGGTTAAAACGCGATATATATTGTTTGTGCGATATTATAGTTGAACGTATTTGAAAAATATTTTAACTACGGCCCGGTGTTTCGGATGCTTTACAGCAGCCATGGTCACGGAGAGAAAGTTGGTATATGGCCAAACTGACCGGGCCGTCGTTAAAATACGTTTAAGTATTATAATTCGCGTTTTAAACCTTATTTAAATGTGTACTGCTCGCGTAAACTACAGAACTAAGCGACGGCTGGTTTCATCTCTTTCTCAGGTTGCATGACCGTCTCGGCCTTCGAGTGGTTCTCGCAGTTGAAGTTCTATTGGGACCGTGAACGGGAAGACTGTTACATCAGGCAGACAAACACGAACTCCATCTACACCTACGAGTACATCGGTAACTCGGGGAGACTCGTCATCACGCCATTGACAGACAGGTAGCGAAGTGTTTTAAAAGTAATAAAGTTTCAAGGTTTATTCGGTTTATTTTCTACTATATGATCTCTCTCTTAATTTTCAAAATCAAAATGGTTTGGAGGCTAATTTTATATATGGCTATCATCGTCCATCAAGTAAAATTAATGCTTTTAGCATTTTAAGGGACTTTATTCCCTTATCATAAAAAATAATCTACACACCCGTCTTTGGGTTCAATTTAATTTTTTCATTGTTTTTAGATGCTACATTACATTGACGACTGCGTTGCATCTCTTCCGAGGCGGCAGTCCGCAGGGCCCAGCCGGAACGGGCAAAACGGAGACCACGAAAGACCTGGGAAGGGCCCTTGCTAGATGGGTGGTCGTCACCAACTGTTCGGACGGACTTGACTATAAATCTATGGCCAAATGCTTTGCTGGTAATTCATTTTGGATATACGTATTGGCAACCGACAAATTGGCAACCACACAATTGCTGACGTCAGTACCTATGTGCTGTGCCTATATTTTTATTTTCTTAGTCAACCTGTATATTTTTTTTTAAATTTATATAAAATAATATTAAGTGCTAAATCATAATTGTAGTGTAGGCTTACTGTCTTAGTCAATCGGAACGATTTCGACATTGTATTACTCAAATGAGCCAAAGTTATAAAATCGATTTTGGATTTTTTTTTAATTTCAGTTTTAACGTTTTAAAAGACAAAGATTCCGCAATTTCTTTTCAGGCATAGCTCAGAGCGGCTGTTGGGGCTGCTTCGACGAGTTCAACCGCATCAACATCGAGGTGCTGTCTGTGGTGGCACAGCAGATCCTGGCCGTGCTGCTCGCGCTGTCCCTCTTCCTCAAGAGGTTTGTGTTCGAGGGTGCCGACATTAAGCTGGACGGCAATTGCGGAATATTCATCACTATGAACCCTGGGTAAGAAAAATCTAAAATTAAACTGTAACGAGGAAAATGGATGACCTTGGCGAGGCTTTTTTGCTTAGAAGCTGTTGCTAGCGAGCTTTAAATATTTGTTTCATCTAAAGAGATTTCTACATGAAATTATCGGTGTTAAGTGTTTTATTTAAATGGAGGAATAAAATTGTATGTATATACAGAATATTTGTTCTTTAAATAATCTTTAAAAATGTCTAACAGTATATGCCTTTTAAAATTTACTCACCGCTTTTGTGGTTACCAAATATGGTCGAAATACTCGATATGGCAAAAAAAAACGTTTGCAAGGTCAGCTAGTTGATTATATTTCGACTCTTATATAATAAATGATGTTTAGTAATTTTATGTAGGGGGATATGTTATAAAAACAATTATAGAGTATAGAGACTAGATTGCATAGCCATAATTAAAATTGTTATTTGTACAATTACAGATACGCAGGCCGTACAGAACTGCCGGACAATTTGAAGTCGATGTTTCGACCGATCGCTATGTGTGTACCGGATTCACTTATTATCGCCGAAAACACATTATTCTCTGACGGGTTCACGGCCTATAAGATTAACGCCAAGAAGGTAAGGCTTCCATTTCAAAGGCAGCTAAAAATATTGGTATAACAAGAGTAGACCATCCATCACTAAAGAGACAGTTAGATATAGATCGATGAAGCCGCTATAACAAAGAAATACAAAATATGGTTACTGTTGATCTTTCGTCAATCGGCTTTGCAATCTTTCGACCGAGAACACTCATACAATAATCTTATCCTTTTTGCATATTTTTTTCAGTATCAATAAGCAGTAACAAATACTGGAACTAATCATACGTTACGATAAGCGATTAGTGAGTGTACTTAGTACTAAAACTCGCTCGAAAATCTGACCTTTTAATAATTAACATCGACGGGTTCCGAATATTCAAAGTTAAAATAAGTCGAAAGTGCATTATATTACATGTTATATGTCTGGGGTATTTCAGCTTACATACAATGAATCTGCTCTGTCCTCCTCTATCTTAAAAAACATACACATTTGCACTATTTTAATACGTTTTTTACTTAGGTGTTCACGTTATACCAATTGGCTATGCAGCAGCTCTCTAAACAAGACCATTACGACTTTGGACTTCGGTCTATGGTTGCGTTGCTGCGCTACGCGGGAGTGAAGAGACGCGCCTATCCTCATTTGCCAGAACAGGAGGTAAATATTATCTATTACAAACGCGTTTACGTCTAGCAATTGATTAAGTACTGTCTGTTTATTCGACAGGTACATATAAATTAAATAACTTTTAAGGGTATTAAAGAATAAAAAGCTATTACAGAATTAATTTGGAAACTACGACCTGACAGCACGCAAGCCAATGTCGGGTCGTAGGTCCTTATATATATACATTCACAATTTCGCGTCTTAAAGCGGTTGCACTTAAAGATCTAGTTTTTGATGACATGTAGTCTGTGTATTAATGTGTCATAAAAAGTTAATATTTAAGCTTCTACTCCAGTTGCAGCATTACCAGATAATGTAATTCCTTGAGCCTATATAACTACAATAATCTTTTCTATTTAGATGGTAATCCTGGCGATGCGAGACATGAACGTGGCGCGTCTGACGGCCAAGGACGTGCCGCTATTCGACGGGATCATGCAGGATATATTTCCGGACGTGTCCGTCCCGACCTTGGACTACGAGATGCTGGAGACGGCGATCTCGGCGGAGATGAGGCTCGTGGGGTTGCAGCCCGTTCGCGCTGCTCTGCATAAGGTCATACAGACGTTTGAAACCAAGGTACCGTCATCGCCTAATGTATATTTTGTATTGTATACATTTTAGAGATATGATGTCTATCTCTACACTTATCCTGGCGAAATGTATGTTAGTTTTACTGGCTAATATGTAAATACGTAATGATAAAAACGAATTCCGGGGAAACCATAGATTGTTTCGTACGGGGTAGACACAGAAAGCTCATCAAATTTTTGCCCGTAAAACCGATGATTGCAACGAGAAATGTGCTCGCGCCATGCTCTCGGTGGGAACGTAATTTCACTGTACAGTATTTTAACTTATTTTTAACTACGACCCGAAGTTTGGATGCTTTATAGTGCTTTTTTTAAATTTCTTTTCTATAGGATTAATATCATTGTAGAATTCTCGTCACTCATCCATTTTGTTGGGCGACACGAACACGGCGAAAACCGTATCCTGGAAGATGCTGGCTAACACGATCAGTCGGCTGAAGCGAGAGAAGGTGCCTGGGTTCGAGAACGTCCAGGTGCACCCCATGAACCCCAAGGCTCTGACTCTGGGCGAGCTGTACGGAGAATATAACTTGGCGACCGGAGAGTGGAAAGATGGTGTTCTGTCGTCAATTATGAGGACGACTTGCCAAGGTATCTAAAGTAGGAGAAGAAGTATAATAAGTCAATTTTCTTTCTTTTTTTCATTTTTGGCTTGACTTGATAAACTTCATACGTCCAAGCCAAAAATGATAATTCATTTTAGTTTACGGGGTAGTCATGTGTTTAATTTTTCAATTATAAAAACGTTTAACTCGACTTTATTCTTATCAAATTAGTTAAAAAGAACATAATTTAAAAATCGAAAATAAATTGAAAAAAGTTTCGACTCGGGCAGGACAAAATTTTTTCAATTTATTTTCGATTTTTAAATTATATAGTGCCTTCTGTGCAATAACATGTGAAAAATATTAATGTTTTCAAACGTAAAAAGAACATATTTTCATATCATAAAGTACAAAAAAATATACATGTACACAATTAAGAAAATTGAAGTTCTGTTTGAGGGTGATACCGAAATATATGATCATTAATTTTATAAAGCGATTATGTGCAGTAGAAACCTGGGCAAACATACAATTTCTTGGAATTAAAACAATTATTTGATTTTGCTTTGTAGACGAGTCTCCAGATCAAAAGTGGATAATCTTCGATGGCCCAGTCGATGCTATTTGGATTGAGAATCTCAATTCTGTGATGGATGACAACAAGCTACTGACGCTGGTGAACAGCGAAAGGATTTCTATGCCGCCGCAGGTTCACAGAAAAAGATTTAATTTTGAGTCTTATTTTTATTCACCATATCAACCGATGGTTTGTCGAAGCCGACTACCGCCGACAGCCGAGTTACAATTCCATGAAAAATGATCTACTAATCTACTCAAGGCTACGATGTAGAAGCCATCTAAAGAGAAATATTTATTATCTTTAGTACTTTTTAAGTACTCGCTTGTATTTTAATATTACTCAATATCAGGTATCTCTACTGATTGAAACCCTGGACCTGGCCGTGGCCTCCCCAGCTACGGTATCTCGTAATGGAATGGTGTACAACGACTACAAGGATTGGGGCTGGTGGCCTTATGTCAACTCTTGGCTAGACACCGTTGATGACGTGGAGTATAGGGAAATGGTACACATCCATCATTTTATCCTCAGACATATAGTTGACGCGACATGCCATGTTTTTTTTGTAATCATTAGTAAATGCTCTTATTTATAAGAAAAATAGAAGAAAAAGTTGCAGCATAAATGCGAAATCTACTTATAATAAAAATGTCTTATATACCACATTGATCTGGAACTGTTTAAGAATATGCCCCATAAGTCTTTTTGTATAGACTCCGTTTTTTCTCAGCTTCGTCGCCATTTCCTGAACATCCTCACGCCAGTTCTTGAGCTGAAACGCCTTCAACTGGTCGAGGGTCAGAGCGTACGTGGCCAGGAGTTGACCGGTGTAAGATGCCTGTGCCGCCTCTTGGGATTGCTTCCGGCACCTGCCCCACCGCAACCTGATGAGGAGGACAATGAGTCTCTATCGAAGATGAGGTTTCTTTTCGCGTGAGTGTTGGAGACGGATAAAATCTATCCATAACAAAAACATTTACTCAGGCATTGAACCGTCCATTATTAAATAGCTAGGACGAACCTTTTTTTTTCACTTTAACGGTTTAAAACGCGAAATATATATATTAGTTATTTGAAAATTATTTCTTTTACGTTGAGCCGTAGTTTTAAAATACATATATTTAATTAAGATATTTCGCGTTTTAAACCGTTAGACAGAGAGCTCACATGTTATCTGTTGTTTATATTTATTTATTTTTCCTGTAACAATGGCAATTTCAGCATGATATGGTCCGTGTGCGCGACCCTGGAAGAGGAGCCGCGGCGTAAACTGGACAACTGGGTTCGGGAGCACGAAGGCGTATTTCCCCTGAAGGACACGGTGTACGATTATTATGTGGATGAGAGGTTGCGTGCCTTTAAGCCTTGGGAAGACAAGCTGCCTGACAACTGGAGGTTTAACCCTAGGTAAGTTTTACATCTCACACTGAAGGAGAGTATTGCTAGTATTTTTTTCGACAAAATATAGTAAATGTAATTTTTTTTCTATCTTGTTTGCATCAGTTAAAGTCTTATATAAATAATTCCAGTTTGGGTTTCCACAATATCCTGGTACCGACGGTGGAGTTTATTCGGGTACAAATAATTGCCCTGGAGATGCTGAAGGCGGGCTATGGAGTACTGGTCGGAGGAGGAACTGGGACTGGCAAGACTTTTCTAATTCAGGGCACTCTTGCGCAACTAGATCCGGACAGGTAATCAATGGTGAAAATATACTTTTTTGTTTCCATTTAAGCCTATACCTATAATCATATGAATTGTATTCCCTATGTGGGTTGTCCTGATTATTTAAACTAGTAAATTGTTAGCAAACTATAATGAGATACTTCTTCCGATTTGAAAAGCAGAATAAGTGCTTACGCAAGTTGACGATGAAATTTTCTCTTATTTTGTAATTTTTACAAATAAAAGTCGAATTTATATGTTATTTTAATGTATAACTTTGATTTTGATTTTACATGACATATTACCAACACTTTTATAACTGGATGAAAAAATGCTTTCCACTACAGATACAGCACTCAAGTGATCAACATGTCAGCGCAGACGACGGCTGCCAATGTCCAAGATATTATCGAGGCCCGATTGGAGAAGAGAACCAAAGGAAATTACGTGCCCGCCGGCGGTAAGTGCTGCAACGAAAACTTGCTTATTTTTTCAAACAACCCGTTTGTTTTTGTTGTTGTTTGGTTGTGCTGTTGTTGTTACCAATACTAATACTAGTTTTTCTAACACTTCTACTACTACTAACGTTTGGAGGTAGGAAGTGTCATCTCTCCTATGGAATAAAGCATCCTGTGTCCGGTGTTGTAACATTTATAGAATGAATTAATATTTAATAACAAACTTTATGCACATTGCAGGGAAAAAGATGATAGCTTTCATGGACGATATAAATATGCCGGTGCGAGACGCTTACGGCTCCCAGCCGCCTCTAGAGCTGACGCGGCTCTGGCATGATTATGGATATTGGTTTGACCGGCAGAAGCAGTGGAGGAAGAATGTTAAGGTATACTCCGAGAAATAATCATAATATTTATTAACAATATGCAAGAGAACGAAATTTTGGTCTCATTGCAAAGTGTACCAGCTTAGTTATCTATATTAATATTATAAAGAGCTTGTTTGTATATTTGTTTGTTTATTGGAAAGCACTAATCTCGGGAACTACTGGCTCGAGTCGAATTTTAGATTTTTGCTGGTTAAACCAATTATTGAGGAACGCTTGAGCTAAAATAACACACTGCAATCAATAGGAATAAAGAAAGAAGAAAATGTAAAAAAAATGGTAAATCATTAATATCTGGGTGCGCTGCGAAAACTGTTGAAGTTACCTAAAACTCGTATTATTAATGATATGGCATGACAAATGATCAGGATATGGTGCTTTGTGCTGCTGCCGGTCCGCCAGGTGGCGCGCGGTCGCCCCTCCCCCCACGCTTACTGTCCTGCTTCCACGCCTTCTTCCTACCCCCTCCCACGCAGCAGCAACTCATCAAGATATTTGGCACAATGCTCTCGCAGCATTTGTCTGACTTTGATGAGGAAACTAAGACAATTGGTTGGTTGATGATATACTAATAACATCTTAGCTAGGCTTAACCCAAATAGTACTATGTTACTCTTTTTCGCATACAAAGAACATGGATACAAAATGTTTAGTGGATGTCAACTTTCCTAACAGTTTAAAACCAAATAGCCAAAGCCAAAAAAGGTCAATAGCATATATGCCAGGAGTATTTCACTTTCTATGAAGTAAACCCTATGCTAGTCTGACCTCCTCTATTATTTCTAAAACTACTAAAATTTATGACACTATTTTCTACTAATTTTGATTTGAATAATTTTAAAATACAATGCATTCTGATTTTTAAATCTCAATTTAAATTGTACTGAAATATTTTCCAGGAAAGATTGTTCTCGTCGCTACTATAGACATGTTCAACAACATCGTCGCAAAATTATTACCCACGCCTAGTAAGATGCATTATTTGTTCAACTTGCGAGATATCTCAAAAATTTTCCAGGTACTTTCCTCTCTATTCATAAATATTAGTTTAAAATAATATTGGTATGCGAATAATAGTGTAATACGTAGATTAACGAATACTTTACGCAAATACAGCAAGTGAGATTAAAACCAATGTCACGATGTATGTATGTTTTTTTAGGAACACTCTACATTAATTATTAACCAACAATAGTAAGCATTTTTTTAATGGCATCTAATTATAGAAATTAATTTATAGGGACTGCTGAAAAGCAATAAAGATTACCAGAATACAAAGCCCCGATTTCTTCGTCTTTGGGTTCACGAGTGCTTCAGGGTATTTTGCGATCGCCTGACTGAGGAGAAGTAAGTTGGAACACAGAATTTTGAAAATTTATTTTTATAATATAATAATTATTCTTACTTTCGAAAGGTCTTCATTCGAACCCCTTTTCTGTAATCATTACTTTTCAGTGTTCTCTTGAGTGAATGTTTCTCTAAGAGCTCTATTTTGATTTTCCAGGGATCGAGACTGGTTCATGGGCCAAATGGGTGATATGCTCGGTAAACACTTTGAGCTGACCTTCCACGCGCTCTGCCCATCCAAGAGTCCGCCACTTTTCGGTCACTTCCTCAACCCGTTCGAGGTGTACGACGATCTAAATGATGCAAACGCTCTGCGCAGGTGGGTTTTATGTAATATTTGTTTATTAGTGCATTAAGTCTTAGAACTTTTTACTGTAACGAAATAAAACCGTTTCAAGTTCAGTTTAAGAAATAATTACATTGGAATTCAAATGTTTTCGTTGTTTTCGTTGGAAATCATTTCCTTACTTTGAAGAAGGTTGTTGCATTGTATAGTTAGACTTTCAAACAACCATCAAGTCATCATTGTTATTGTTTTTCTATTTAAAAATGCATAAATTATGCACTGATTCTTATATTTAATGCGTGACAACTAATGTCGTGCGTTGATCTTGCGATAAACTGATTATGAATTTTCTCTACCAAGTTGTTTCTAATAATTATTAGTATGGTTTTACTATGACATTATAAGTTTATATTTGTTTTCTTTTTCAACAGATATATATCGAATCAGATGGAGGAGTACAACAGTTGCCCGGGCGTGGTTAAAATGGACCTAGTGCTCTTTAAGGACGCGATAGAACACATCGTGCGCATTGTGAGGGTTATATCGCAGCCGCGTGGTCATATGCTATGTGTAGGAATCGGTAAGTCAATGGAGGGATTTCTCAAAAACAAATAATTGATTTTTATGTAAAAAGAAAAAAAAAGGGTGTACTTGAATTAAGAAGGAACAAATAAGCTGCCATATACATGGCAACATTCCGAACAGGACATAATATTTGTACACGTGAACACATAATCCTGTAAAATATTTTTTTTTTCAGGTGGTTCGGGTCGCCAGAGTTTAACTCGGGTCGCGTCATATATTTGCGAGTGCAACTCTTTTCAAGTTGTCGTGACTAAGACGTATGGTGTCAAAGACTTTAGGGAAGACCTCAAAGTAATATTTTTTTTAAATAATCGACATTACTGCCTGTCTTTTTTTAATCCGAATATATAATATAGCTTGTTTAAAAATATCACATAAAAATGCTAGTTTAACTTCTAAGGTTCTCTACACAAGCTGCGGCGTGGACAGTAAGAAGACAACCTTTATATTCTGCGACACACAGATTGTGGAGGAAACTTTTACGGAAATTATCAACAATTTGCTCAGCAGTGGTGAAGTCACCAATTTATTTAAGCCGGATGAATTTGAGGATGTAAGTTTTCAATTCAATTTTCTTTTTCGTATAATTAATAGAGGGGGACAGAAAAGCATGGGGTTGGCATGATAGTGATATTTCCCACCCACATGAAACCGAAACAGGATTCGCGGTCCTACAGAAAAAAGCAAAGCTTTTCAATTTGACAGAACTTTAACGGAGGTTGAAGCAGTTCATATGAATCTCTTTTCAATATAAGAATCTCTGGAGATCTAATATATATGGCGTAATCTGATTAAAAAAATATTGTTTTCCAGATTAAACAAGCTCTTGAAAAGCCAATGAAAGCCGCCAACATCATGCAAACTGCTGAAGCCGTTTACTTATTCCTGGTGGATCGCGTGCGAACTAACATGCATATTGTTCTTTGCTTTAGTCCTATTGGAGACGAATTCAGGTTACAATTTTGATATTAAAAATAGCAACGTGTTTCTAATTTATTAACTAATACTATCGAGATCAGTGCAGTAAGTTGATTCCAATTTGCAATGTATTGGAAAAGACTGTATTAAATAAAAATAGCTCACTGCGGCTCTGTGTGGCCTAAACTGGGTGGAACGTAAAAATTCTATACATGTTTACTTAATTCTATATTTTTTTACGTTACTGAAAAGATAAAATGGAAACATTAGGGTTTAATTGTATGCAATGACCTTGGAGGATGCTCCAAATAGAAATCATAAATACAATTAATTCGAATAACAAAATATCACTTAAAATAATTCCAAATAAATGCCAATAGATGGCCAACTAACTAATGAAAAATAAAGACTAATGAATATCGGACAATAGTGTTGGCCACACATGAATTTTGCTATAATCTGCATCAGTATTTTAAATTTCAAAAACTATTATTTTTACAGAAACCGAATCCGTCAGTACCCTGCCCTAATAAATGCAACGACTACGAATTGGTTCTTGGAATGGCCGCGGGAGGCGCTGCTTGAAGTGGCCTATAAGTTCTTGGAGGGTGTTGAGTTGCTCGCTTCTATTACAGGACCTAGGGTATGCCTAAATATCGTATCAGCACAAGCAAAAAATCATTTCGCAATTGTTAAATGTAAGCTAAGTTAAATTTTTGGTCAACAGTCAGTAGTGTAAAGTAGTTCAGTTGTAAAATAATACTCGTCTTTGTCTGAGCGAAAAACATGTGTGTTTTCTGTAAAATAAAATTGGATAGATAATATTTAAGAATTAGTAAAACAAAGTTGTATTAAGAGACATTTAGTAGCTACTTATAAGTTATCTGTAACTGAATCTATTTCAAATCTTCTGTCGTAAGTATGGTATTTGCATAGCTATATTATTTTCAATTTGTATTAATATTTTGAGACTAGACACACTTGCGCCACTATCATCCCCCTTATTCCATACCAGAATAATCCGTAAAACATCGAATTCTAACAAAACGTTCTAACTCCTAACTTAAACAGTCACTGCTCTGTAAACGGACTAAATAAAAGTTAATTGATTTACTTTTTGCACTGATTTAAACAAACTCTAAATCATATAACCCTAACTGTATTGTAATGTGTAGTAATAATACAGTAGCTATTATGTTTTATCTCTCTCATACGAATTCGAAATTGACTTAGCATAACGAATCTATCCCCTTTCTTACAGGTCCGGCGTAAGGAGTCTCTAGTGGAGAGTCGAGAGGACATCCTCCGAGCATCTGTGGCGTCCATCATGTCGTTGATCCACTCGTCCGTGGGCAAGTACTCAGTGCGCATGTGGCAGGAGATGAGGCGGACCAATTACGTCACACCTACCAACTACCTCGAGCTTGTCTCGGGATATAAGGAGTTAGTTTCACATCAATAACCGTATTATTACTAGTTTAAACTTAGCCACGCCATTTTGATTACTAAGCTACTAAGTTTATTATTAACTTAACGTCTGTTTAGGATGAATAAGTAACTTAACTTCCGTTTCACGCATTTATTTAGAATAAAAAATATAATATTAATATTAAAAACGTAAAGCTGATGAGGTGAAATTTGTTACTTTTCACTTGGTTGTTGTTTTTGCCTCGAATGTTATGTTATCCGTTACATTCCAATTTGAAGGTTTACTTCGATATATTTTATTAGATAATATTAAATTTTGACGCTCTTAAGGTAGAAAATTTTTTATAAGGTGTATATATAAATGTGTAAAATATAGGTCTTTATAAAGCATATTTGTTGATTTTTAACAGGATGTTGAAATTGAAGCGTATCGACATAGCCTTGCAAGCGAATAAGCTGCGCAACGGATTGGGAAAAGTGGAGGAAACTACGAAGCTCGTCGGGCAAATGTCAGAGGAACTTGCCGTTTCCCAAGTAAAGAGACCTTAATTTTAAAACAAAACAATTTTAACGTGTGACGCAAAAAATATGTAACTACATATCGCGTTTTTTTAAGTGTTCTAATTATATTGAAGTAAGTCTTTTGTAGTCTCGTAAACTAATGGCAAGACCTTATTTTTAATTAACCATTTCATTGTTTATTTTATTATATGTATGCAATTAACACAAAAAATTGTTATCTCCCATAATAGATTTATTTATTTTTACTTAGTTGATACATAATATTAGACGTAAAATCAAATTATCTACCTCTTTTTGCCCACAATCTTCCTCCAATCTCAATAGGTGCAAGTAGCAGAATACACTGAGCAGTGTATAGAGTACATGGGCGTGATCAACGTGCAACAACGCAACGCTGACGAGCAGCAACGCTCCGTTGCAGCCCGAAGCAAGAAGACCCAAGAAGAAGAGGTTCAGTGCAAGAAATTGGCTGAAGCTGCGATGAGGGACTTGGCCAGTGCAATGCCGGCTTTAGAAGAAGCAGTTAAGGTATTGAGAATTTTTTTTTATCAGAAAAGTTACTTCGATAAAGCCAAGCCATGGTAACAAGCATCTACAAAAGGGGAATGTTTAAATTACCGGTAAATAGTATCAATACATTTTACGTGCCTGTTTTTGGCCTCAGTCTCTATCGATAGTAATCTAAAACTATTTTAATAAGACGATGTGTTTGAATTTCAGGCGCTCGATGCGTTAAACAAGAAGGACATTACTGAAGTGAAGTCTTACGCGAAACCTCCGCAAAAGGTTGAGATGGTGATGGAAGCTGTGCTAATACTTCTACAGGTAATTGTGTCTTCTCAGCCAATTGATGGAGGTGCTTTTTTCTGTTTTTGTATTACAAAAAAAATATCAAAAAACACTTGTTGTTGTGTATAAGTATGACAATTCCAGAATACCTTTGCAATAGAACACTTTATCTTTTTATTTTATTTAAATAAATTAAATATATTATAGATGATAAACAATCATTGGTCGTCCTATTTTTAATATATTTAAAAATATCACGTACAACTAACTTAGTTGGCTTTTAAAATGTGCAATGTCATTTGTGTGCATTAATAAGAAGTTGATTAAAAACTAACTTACTTAAAAGATGTGGTTATTGACCAATTAGCTTCAGTTTAATAGGGGAGAACTTGCCATGTAGGATTTTATGAGCCGTTAAAATTAAATGTGAAACGATTTTGGTTTGAAAATTTTTATCTAACTGGCAGGATCAACCTTAAATCTGAAATCCGAAAATTAATTAAGTTTTAAATATCTTTGTTTGTTATCAGAAAGAACCAACATGGGCGGAAGCGAAGCGGCAACTTGGTGACCAATATTTCCTGGACCGTCTCCGCGAATTTGACAAGGACAATATCTCGGATAAGACGCTGAAAAAGATCGGAACGTACACGGCCAAGCCGGACTTCGATCCGGAGATAGTGGGTACCGTGTCGGCTGCGGCCAAGTCTCTTTGCCTTTGGGTACGGGCTATTGAGAAGTATGGAAAAGTGTATAAGTAAGTGATGGTCTCTCAGTATTTGTTTAATTTAGCTCATTCAGGTAAATGCTTATTTTGTTTCTAATCATTAATGTGAGTAATGTATGTTGATTAGGCTCGATTTTCTCCAAATCCTAACCTATACTGCCCTTTACGCGCTGCAATAATTTGTTTTAATTAATTTTTTGTTTTATTTTTGGGTCTGTTTTAGGGCCTTTGCCTTACCAACTCGTGTATTTAATTAAATTATATAGGGTTTTCGCGGCTATATGCTAGGCTATATGGATTTAAAAAAAACACTAACTGTAACTAGTAATATATACGCGGCTGCAGCAAGGCATGTGAAACGTTGGACCGTAGATAAAACTATAACTAATATATTTTTTACCGTTAGTGTTTTATTTTAATATGTACTAGTCGCGTAAACTATAGACAGTATTCTATTTGAATTTTTATAAGTAATTAACTTACCAGAATAGTTAAACCGAAGAAAGAACGTCTAGAAGAAGCACTAGAGTCTCTCCGCATGAAACAGCAGATTCTGGCGGAAGCACGCGCCAAGCTCCGAGAGCTGAGCGAGATGATAGCTCGACTGCAAAAAGAGTACGACGAGAAAGTGGCACAGAAGGAGGAGTTAGAGCGAAAAGCGAGGATGTTGCAGCTCAAGCTGGAGAGGGCTGAGGCGCTCATTACCGGCTTGTCCGGTAATCAATGTTATCCAACTTATGTCACAATTACACAAAAATACTATGAATGAAATTCTTACAAGCCATTTAAAATCCCTATTTGCTGATAACAGCAATTAGCATGTTGAAAATTATAAATCAATTTCAAAACTTGTGAGACCAGGTGTCGAATTCACGACCCATTGATAATAAGTCGCTGTCGTTGTATGCTACTAACACTAGCGAGCCCGTTTATCGCAAGATATACTTTATATCTAAAGGTATTAGAATACTTATAGATTTGTAAATATTCGCAACTATTAGGCGAACGGGAGCGTTGGGAGCTTACAGTGGAGCGTCTAGACAAGGAGTTTGAAAACCTACCAGGAGACTGTCTTATTGCGACTGGGTTTGTTGCTTACCTCGGACCTTTCGTCTCAGAATACAGGGAATCTCTTATGTACGACTGGTTTAATGAGGTAAAGCTTACGTTTAGATAAAAATACCATATGAGGCATGTCATGCCAAGCGGACAGGTAAAAAATGTTGATGCTTCAGATTTTAGTGATATTTCAGTATGTTATACTTATATAGGTCCTCAACCTAGACTATCAATATTTTTACTCTGTGATATATAGTTATCGATTTAGAGGTTAATGAAGTTTTGACTCTACAGCAGGAATGCGCTATTTGTATTCCAAAGAAAAAAACATTTAAAATGTATTAGATGTATATGTATTATAAATGTATTATGTTTGAAAGTGTTTTGGTTAAATTAAATTCCATTATGTGCTTCAGGTATATAACGAAGGTGTACCCTGCACGATGGATCTGAGTATGAAGTACTTCCTCTTAGACGATGCAACTTTAAGGGATTGGAACTATATGGGGTTGCCAGGTAATTCCAAAATCTATTGGTTGTATCTTTTTCAACACTACTTAATTACTTGATTACACTCTCACAAAGAAGAAGACATATTTCATATAAAGTATATTTCATTCACAGATGACAATTTTAGTGCGGAGAACGGAATAATAGTGGTGCGTGCTACGAGATGGCCTCTGGCCGTTGATCCTCAAGGGCAAGCGTTAATCTGGATATTCAGACTCGAGGAAAAGAATGAAATTGAAGTAGGATTTAACTATATATTATACTATATTGTACTGGAGTTCTTAGAATTAGTAAAAAAATCTCTAAGAAACACTGAGATTTAGTTATGAATATAGTTTAAACTCGTATATTGAGTTGTCCGGTAAAAGCAAATAAATAATTATGTAATCCGTCCCCAATTTAATCTATTTATCAATTGTCCATTGACTTATCTAGGTAGTTATTGGCCTGGTAGTTAATTATGATTTGAATGATTTTCAGATTGTGGACTTTGGCCAGCCTAACTATTTGAAGATAATGGAAACACACCTCACCGAAGGCAAACCGGTGCTAGTCCAAAATGTTGGCGAAGTCTTAGACCCCTCGATCGCACCGATTCTGGATAAAGCCATCGTACGAATCGGATCTGCTCTCGTCATTAAGTTTAATGAGAAAATGGTGCCTTACAACACCAACTTCAAGATGTATTTAACTACGAAGCTAGGTGAGTTTTTAGATCTACGTATATTCCTTAGTAATTATCATGGTGAAAAAAAATGTAGACAAGTCAAATCTAAAATTCATTACGGTTTTTCTTTATTTTTGTTTGGTATAAGTAGATGCAAATAGATCTTAATTAATTATGTAAGGCTTTCTCGACCATCGTCCAGCATATCATTTTTTGTGGAACTGTTCCGCCGACGTGAGCGAAAAGGGGTCCTCGAAGATTCGCCATCACGCCTCGCGCACCGCTGGCTTGCCTTAATTGTTCGAAAAATTAATAAATTATCGGATTAGGTGATGTTAGCTCCTGTTGATGCCGTTCGCCCGAAAAACAATGATATGCAAATAAATCTTTGTAAATTTTTCTTTAGCCTAAGTCTTACATTTTAGGGTATTAATGTACCTAGATTTTTATAATGTTCTAATCGCATCTCTTATCAAACAATAAGAAATTTAATGCTTCCGCGTTTCAGGTAACCCCGTGTATACGCCCGAAACTCTGACAAAAACGACAATGGTGAACTTTGCTGTAAAGGAGCAAGGTCTGACGTCACAACTGCTGGGCATTGTGGTGCGAAAGGAGAGACCGCAGTTGGAGCTGATGAAAGACAACCTCGTGATGACCATCGCCAATAATAAGAAAGTATTGGTAAGAGTGCTTTTGCGCTGCTTATATAAAAATGTTTTGAAAGAAAATCTTCAAACAAAACTTCGCTGCGAATAAATAGTGGAAGATATTGTACAACAGAACAAATGCTTTAGAATATGTTCACCATATTTCAAAGCAAAATATATATACTTACTTCTTTAGATGGACCTTGAAAATGACTTGCTGCGCATCATGTACGAATCCCAAGTGCCGCTACTCGAGAACGAAGAACTATTTGTGACTCTGCAAACTTCGCAGGTGTGTGATTCTATTTAAAATACATATCATTCTATTCCATAAAGTGTAAGAAGTGTACAAATATTAGTTAAAAACAGGTTGAAATGAGAAATATATTACTTTTCGAAAGTAAAGAAGCTGACAGAAATAATAATTTATTTTCAGCGTACCTCTCTCGAAGTGAAGGAAGCTCTTATTACCTCTCAAGTCACTGAAAAGGAGATTGACACCGCCAGACAAGTACGAACGCCTTTGTTTTATTAATATATGTTTTTATGATAAAGGATGCGAGCATGAGTTCGCTCGATGGAAAGTGAAATACCAAAGCCATATAACATCTTCATAAGAAATATTAATAATCTGTTGGGAAATATACGGACTGTAACCAAAACGAATAAATTTTACTCATTTTTGCTCTGTGGAAGGTGTTCGTGTCCTGGACGGAATTTGCGAAATTGTTGCCACGCATCTAGTGTCCAGATTTCTAGACGAAGTCCAACATTTTTTCAGAAAAATTATAAATTGCATCATGCTGAACGATGGCCGTGAAAGCCTAACACAATTTATTGATTTAAAACATGTTGAAGCTCAGTGGAGAGCGAACCCACGGTCTGTTATTTATTTTTTTAACAAGCATATGCATATTCTTATATTAACCGCTGTACTATTCATTCTGTCGCAGTCTGTAATATTTCGTTCGACCAGTAACTCAAAAGTTTATGTCCAGGGTTATGTGCCAGTAGCTGTTCGAGCGTCCGTACTGTTCTTTGCGTTGAACGACTTATCCAGAATAGATCCCATGTACCAGTTCTCTTTGGACGCGTACATCGACCTCTTCACCTACTCGATAGACCGGAGCCCCAAAAGCAGTGAGTTGGAGGACAGGATCAACAACTTGAATGAATTTCATACGTTTGCTGTTTACAAGTTAGTAATGTTATATTAACTATCAAATGGAAATATTGCCTACTACACTAGTGCCATCTGTTTTTCTGTTAACGAACACGACACACACACACAAACAGCAACGCGCATACATTTATATACATCGTCTTTTATGTGTAATTTGCGATTCTTTACCATAAAAGTTCGACGTTGGTCTCTTCCAGTTCCTTAAAAAAATTAGCTATAATTTTAATTTATTATACAGTATCATTAAACATAGTAAAATATTCTTTTCAGGAATACATGTCGAGCCTTATTTGAGCGCCACAAACTGCTTTTATCTTTTCACATGGTCTCCCGGATCCTATTCCAAATGGGCAAGATGAATATGCACGAATACTTGTTCCTGCTAAAAGGGGGAGTGGTTCTCGATAGATCCGAACAGCCGGATAACCCGACAAGTGAGTTTGGAGTTATTTACTATAATTATCCTTTGCTTTTTACATAGGGCATACGTTAAACTTTGTCTACTTAGACCGTGATGAACCTAAAACTAGAAGTTTTACTAAACTGAAATCTATACATGAGCTGATCTTTTTAGAAACTAATTTACATATTTCAGATTGGTTGCCAGAAGATTGTTGGGACAATATTACTGAATTGGATAAGATTCCTGGGTTCCACGGGGTGACTGACGCCTTCGAGACCTTCTCAAAGGAATGGAAGGAATGGTATCTTCATCCAGAACCGGAAACCCAGCCGCTCGTTGGTAATTGTCCTTGAAAAAGTAGTTATTATAATTTTGATTTTAGGCGTCATGCTAGCTGGTAATACATACTATCATAAATAAGATGTAAAAAGGGAAAAGGTCCCGAATACAATGTTCATAGGATTCTTGCCTGGTAATTTGTTTATAAAAGCATAGAACACACACCATAAACAAATTTATTCTTCAATTGCAGGTGAGTGGAACGAGGTGTGCAATGAGTTTCAGCGGATCCTCTTCGTGCGTTCGCTTCGCGCGGACCGTGTCTCCGCTTGTATTTCTGCGTTTATCGTAAACGCCCTCGGCCCCAGATACGTTGAGCCGCCAGTGCTTGATATAAAGGTGCAATTTATTCTTTTTGAAACTTTAGCAAATAAAATTTTGCTTTATTATGATGATTTATTGTTCTATTTACATCGACTTACGTATAGGCTGTAGTATATCGGTTTTAACAGAAGTAAATAGCCGAGGAACTACACCCATTAAGAGAATTGCGTGTTTGTGACATAGCCTACCCTTCTCTTTTAAAAGTATTTTTAAATTTTGTTTTCAATCTAGGCGGCTTGGGAGGAGTCCACGTGGAAAACTTCTCTCCTCTTCGTGCTATCGCCAGGAGTTGATCCAACGGCAGCTCTTATACAACTGGCTCAGGATGTTAAAATGTTTGACAAGTTCCAGTCGCTTAGTTTGGGCCAGGGACAAGCGCCCACTGCCGCTAGGTGAATACAATTATAGATTATTTAATAAATTTCACTAAAGTTTTGCTAACTCAACATTGACGGTACTTTGGCACATTCGTTTTCTTTATACTTACTTCTAATATAGGGCTAGTTTTAGGTATATAAAAGTACTTAAACTTATTTGTGGTGGATATTTATCGCGTAAAGGAAAAAAGAGAGTTGTGGGTAACATACATAGTTAGAGTTATATAGTTTTAACATTTAAAATTAAAGGATGCTCACAAGTGGAATGAGAGACGGCGGATGGGTATTTCTTGCAAACTGTCACCTGGCCTGCGAGTGGCTCGGTTCCATCCGTGGCCTGGACAATCCCAAGATTCATCCTCGCTTTAGGCTCTGGCTGTCTTCGATGCCTGACGATAAGTTCCCCCTTAACGTTCTGCAGAGGAGTATCAAGATGACAACGGAGCCTCCACAGGTACAAAAAGGTTTTATTGAACAAAGACTATTCAAATAATTATTACTCACATTCGGCCAGTTTTTTTCTACATAAATGAGCAAAAACATATATTTTAATCACAACTTTCCATTCGTACAAAGGGTCTTAAAGGCAACATGGTTCGCATATTTTCCAACCTGAATGAAGATAAATACGACGAGGCGACACCGAAGTACCGAAGGCTGTTGTTCTGCGTCTCCTTCTTCCATTGCTCTCTCATCGCCAGAAAGAGATTTAGGCAGCTGGGCTATAACGCTGTTTATAGCTTCAATGATTCCGATTTCGATGTAAGTGCTTTTATATAATTACTAGATATGGGATATTGTAAATTATATTTCTTAAAATAATATTATACTATATTTAAGTATATAACTATATTTAAGTTATTTAATTACAAAAAAGGTTATTTTATAAGATAGAAGAGAAGAGAGACATACAAGTTTGGAATTAGATTTAATTTTTTTAATTCATTTATTAGTTTAGTTTACATTCGAATAGCCAAAATAAGTAGAAAGTGATTTTTGTTTAGATGCTGTATATCTTGGGTATTTCTTCACATGCTTGTCTGTTGTCCTCTTACATAAAAAGTTAGTTCGACAAATCTAATTATGATGCAATGAAATTGTGGAACATAACAATATTTCAGGTATCTGATAACCTTCTGGCAAACTACCTCGAAGAGTACGAGGATGTGCCGTGGGACGCGCTGCGCTATTTATTCGCGATCATCAACTACGGCGGTCACATCACTGACGATTGGGACAAGCGCGTGTTGATTGCTTATATCAACCAGTTCTTCTGTGAAGACGCGCTCGAAGTGCCGTTCTATAGGTAAGACTAGAAAGAAAGACTGTTAAAGAAAGAGTTCAAGATAGTCTTTTAAAACCCCCCATCCCTTTATAGATAGGTATTTATATAAAAATCACAAAAAGTCAAGTTTTCAGATTACATGCTTGAATATTTAGACCTTTCTGGTACTCTTTTTACCAATGGTCAACACCGTTCTTTACTTAAATACTTTTTTTCTGTAGGCTGTCTAGTATTCCCTCATACCATATACCGCGAGACGGTAGCCTGGAGTCATATCGAGACTTCCTAGATCTATGGCCGGCCTATGAGCGAGCGGAATCGGTGGGGCAACACGCCTCAGCTGACGTTGCTACCCAGGCTCAGGTGATTCATTTTTCATTAATAGAAGATCTTATTTAATATGTATGAAGCAGAATAGTTTTTAATGGAAATTATAAATAATTCAGGACGCCCTCATAATGTGTTCGACACTGTTCGCACTGGCATCTACGGGTGGCGGTGGCGGAGGAGGGGGAGAGGACCAAAAAGTTAGTATTATCGTCGATCAAATTATTTGCAAGTAGTGCATTGAAAAAACCTATCATCTCTTCGTGGGGCTTTGGGAAATGTATATAGATTATGCATTTTTTGTTCTATGTAAACGTATTATAGAAATAATTCGCCATATTCGACCAAAGGTAGACGACAACTGCAAGGAGACAGATGCCTCTGTCTGGTTTTGACTTTGACATTAGGACACCCTCGACCTTCAGCCCCCTCACGATCATGGCTACTGCATAGACGTCGGACCGTAGTAAAATAAACTGCAAATAAGTTTAACTAACATAATTCTAGTTCTAAACCGTTTCATGTTTTATTTAAAAGGTAGATGAGTTAGCGGCCGAGATGATTGTAAAACTACCCTCCAAGATTGACGTCGAGACTACCGAACGCATGATGGGACCCGAGATTGTGATGCCTATGTGCGTCTCGTTGCTGCAAGAGATCGGCTATTACAACGTGCTCATATCTGCCATCACCTCTGGATTAAAGGTATATTTTTTATTTTATTGCATTTTATAAAGTTTAATCTTTAATTATCAAGGTACTTCGTTTCTGAAGACTGCCGATTCATATTTAGAGTTAAAAGACTACAAGAAATCGTTTTAATAAGTATAGTATATTTATACATAGTATATACAAAATCTTGGTGGTTTTGTTCACAGGAATTGCGGCGCGCAATCGAGGGTCTGGTGGTGATGTCCGAAATGCTTGAGACTATGTATACTTGCATATTTGAAGGAAGAGTTCCTACGTTCTGGCAAAAAGGTTGCTTTTTGATATAATATAATTATTATTGTTTTAGTTTAAGAGCATATGATTGTTTGTAAGATTATTAAATAAATTACTATCCTTACTAATATTATAAATGCGAAAGTAACTCTGTCTGTCTGTCTGTTACTCTTTCATGCCAAAACTACTGAACGGATTTGAATGAAATTTGGTACACATGGTTTAAACCCTGAGAAAGGTAGGCTAAGGGGTTAAAGGGAAAAGATTTAAAAAAGAAGCCAAATATGTTTCAGTAAAGTTTTGAAGTGATTAGAAACAATTTAACACTATTTTATAAAAAAAATATGTAGAATAGAGAATAACTACATCAGATAATTTGTTTTACACAAGGCTTAAGCATGCCTCACTGTATTTTACATATTATTTTGGTTTAGCGAAATAGTAGAACGCAGATTTAGAGAAAAATTATTAAAATGTCAATATATGACCATGACATAATAAAATAATTTTGGTTTCCAGCTCGACCCTCAATGAAGCCCTTGGGTGCCTGGTGTAGAGAGCTGTTCTTGCGAGGGTCACACTTGGGCGCGTGGGCTAACGCGCCTCGTTCCCCACCAACACTGTGCTGGTTGCCAGCTTTGGTTGCGCCTACTGGTTTCCTCACTGCTGTGATGCAGGTCAGTGCTTTTCACAATAATTGTAACTGTCTATTAAGACACCAACAATTACCTAAAACAAATAATGCTTAACAGACTACAGCACGCGGTGAGGGCTGGCCCATCGACACTCTCTGCTGGGAGTTCACGGTGATGCCATTGGAGGAGACTGCCTTTGTACGACCACCTCGTGATGGAGGAGTTTATATACGGTACGAAGCATCAATAATGTTGTACTGTTATAAGACAGCGTGTTAAGAAATATTCTCTTGCTACTGTAATTGTCAAAGTATCTTATGTTGCGTTTTGGATGGGCTCGTTCGTGTAACGGTAGCAATATATTGCTAATAATCAATAAATCGTCGCTTCGAGCCCCTTCAGGTCCAACATGTTTGTAATCTATTAATATTTTTTTATTTCGTTCGCAAATCTTACATCAAATGGGTAGTAGCCAAAGCCAAAATAGGGCGACATGACATCTATTTTAGTTGTTATGTGACTGTAGTACCTTTATACCCCATACTTTATTTATCAAATTTTTCGACAAGATCGACACTGCTTTACAATGTATCCTCGCGTTTCAATTTCCAGCGGACTGTACCTGGAAGGTGCTAGTTGGAACAAAAAGGAAGGCTACCTACAGGAGCCTCTGCCTATGCAACTAGTGTTTCCCGTCACTCCGATACATTTTAAACCTATTCGCGCTACGGGAAGAAAAATGCGCAGTGAGGACTAACACTATGTTTAAATTATTCTTTATACTTTGTACATATTATCTTTGCTTTATAAAATCAACTTGTGTGTGATATTTCTTACAACTTTTATGTATAAGTGCTTGCCATCTGAATGGCCCAAGCCTAAAATGGATCGAAAACGTCTCACCTTTTTTTTTTATAAAAAAAATGAAAATTTTCAGATCGCTACGTCTGCCCATGTTATTATTACCCGAAGCGCATGGGCGCATTTGTCGTGGCCGTCGACTTGCATTCGGGCAAAGAGATTCCAGACTTCTGGGTTAAGAGAGGAACTGCACTGCTTTGCACACTTGCCACCTAGTAGCATTTTTCCTTCGGTAAATGTTTAGTTCATATTTCAATAAACTTTATAGTAAACGATTAGTGTTTCTTTTATTCATAATTTAATGAGATTTTCAGGGAGCTTAACAAAATGAAGTCGAATAGTACAATACCCGTAATTAAAAGAATGCTTCAAAAATGATTATTGGATTATTTAAAAATCTATATTATTTACATCTGTATCTCTTATTCTAAGCATACATTATTCTTAATAATTTATTAAAAAGTCTAAATATTATGCATTTTCAATTTCAATTATTCAAACAGTCCATATACGTGGTAAGTAATACTTTGAAAGATAAGTTTGTAAGGCAGATTGAATCTTATGTCCTTTACCTCTCGTAAAATCCTTATGGAAACTCATTTTACTAAATCGCTTATTAATTAAAATGGCACATTATATAAAAAAATATGAATGTCATTCTTCCTAAGTGGATATTAGAGATGACATTTACATGTAAGTTTCGCCTAAGTACAGTTGCGTTTATATACGAATATGTTCATATTGCTACATAGTGTAGTTGTTAGTTTCACGTCATCCGGCTTGAAGGATCAGGCAATTTGCCATAACCACCTAGCTTATTTGTTCAGATCCTTACAATATGACAGCACCATTATGTTACAGACATTCTAAATACTTTCACACAATTATCTTATCAGGCTGATATCTCCCCCTCATATGAAACCTTCGCTTGTACCGTCGGAGGAGGGGGCAACGGCCCGAATGCCTCTCGTACGTGCCGTATTCGCAGCTCGGTGGGTTACAGTTGCCTTGCGCTATGCATACCCTGTCTCTTAAGCCGAAGTGCTCCCGTCCACGTGCTAGAGAGAGGCAGTCACGTCTCGTTGTGTTGTCTGGCCAATCGCAGATACAGACGCAAATGCCATCTCTTATTCGACTGCGAAAGAGGTGGGGACACGTGCATCTGAAATAAAATTTAAAGAGATGCAGTGTTTTTCGCAGTTGCAGTTTTATTTTTAGTGAGATTACTTTTCCGTAGTGTTGCAAAAATTGATTTGGTTCAATATATTTACTTACGCCGTTAGTATGAAGTTGTGGTTTGTTAGGCCAAAATATTTTTATCAACAAGTTTTGAATGTGTACAAAAATACGTGTGTATTTTAATATGTTCAATAGTGTAAATCCTATCATAATTACCTCCGCAACAGTGGCGGAGAGGTCTGTTCTTCGTCTCTTTCTAACCTTGGCTCTTCTGTGGCTCTCCAATCGTTCTGTCTCTCTCTGGAGTCCCGCCGTTCCTCTAACCTCGTTCTTGCTGTACTCTGGAGCGTTTCCTTTGAGACGCATGCGCATTTCGTGTGGTTGAAGAACAACATTCGCGCTGCTGTCAGATTTCCATCAGCTTTGTTTAACTAAAATGAGACGAATTTATACAAATTTTTAATTAGAAAGAGCTAAGAAAAGTCTAGAACATCCGTAAAGATTTATGCATTTGGATGTATTTTAAAATCCAATATAAAATAGTTTATTTAAGCGTCATAGCGATTTTGAAATAAGACTTACTATCTGTTTCAATTACCTAAAGAAAATAACTCTTCGCATAATTTAAACAGTTAATAGAATGCTATAAAAGAGAAGTTAGAAACGCATCGGGAGATATCAATTCAAAGTGTACCTTATAACATAAGCATAATAGAGTTTTATTTGTCTGTATCTTATTTAAATACGAGTTGTAATAGTGTCCCGCTCTAACAAAATCTAGAAGCTATGGGGAAAGGGATAAAAACAACGGTGTAGTTCATGAAGCTACAGCCTTAAAACATGTTGAAACTTGTGCGTCTACGATTATTTTGTGTCAAAAATGTCACGTCACTCGAAAATTAGGCGCGAAAGGGAAAAGAGCCAAACCCGGTTTTTTTTTAAATTTTTTTTTTTAAAAAAAAAAAGGGGGGTTTTTTTTTTTGTTTTTTTTTTTTTTTTTAAAAAAAAAAAATTTGGTTTTGCCCCCCAAACCCCACAAAAAAATATTTTTTTTTTTCCCCCCCCCCCCGGGGGGTTTTTAAAAAATATTTTTTTTTTTTTTTTTTTTTTTTTTTTTTTTTTTTTTTTTTTTTCCCCCCCCCCCCCCACTCTTTTTCAAAAAAAAAAAAAAAAAAAAAAAAAAAAAAAACGGGGGTTTTTTTGGGGGGGGGGACATTATCGACTACCGTTACTAAATTTGTGGACTAATAAGGACTAACTTTGTCAAGCCCGTTGGTCTAATGATAGTAGTGTATGGCTAATAATCAACAGGTCGTGGATTTTATTCCCACCCGGCCTAACATCTTTTAATTTATCTATTTTGAAACACATTGCACTTAGTCTGAAAATTTCGATATTAAGGCGATAGGAGAATAGAAGTTCCGTCCGGGTCACGAACCGCCGCCCACAGATATAAAAGCCGTGAAATTTTATCGCGTTTCGGTGTCGGTCTGTACGTTTCTTTATATCTAAAAATCTTCTCTAATCTAATCATCTTGCTTTAATGTTATGACTGGAGTAATCAATCGAGCAAACCCCTTGTATATGAAAACTCCTTGTAGTCATACTAAATCTTCTTAGAACATCGAGGTCTGCACACGAACGTACTAAACACTTAGCAACTAGACCAATGAAAACGCTGAAGCTGAATTACGTATTTAAATTACCGATATATAGTGTCAATCAATTATTAACTTAAAACTAATATACTTTCACTGTTTAAGGGACATAAGTAATTGTTGATTGTGTGTCTAAATGTTACAAATACTACAAAATATACCTCTTGTTATGTGATGACATTTCTTTCTACCTATGTAAATAATTTGTAAGTTCATTAGTTTCAATTCACACATAGTACTTTATACAATAAATTTCCTCTACACTATTGCCAAAAATAGACTGCTTTTAGTGAACTAGAGACTGAAAAAATCCTGATTCTACTGGGAACGAGAATTTTATTGTACTGGTAACTATAAAACTGGAAACACAGAATTTATTTATTACTCACGAAGAAAGGTATAGCGACATATTTTCCATCAACCGGCGCGCAGACCTCGTCTTCATTGTAGCAGCAGCCCGAGTCTGGCGCGCAGCGGTGCAGCTGGACGCAGGGAGGCATGTATCTAAAATGTACAACATCAATGACAAAGGTGTTAGCAACTACTATACTCGAGAGTTAGCCCTACACAGCGTTAAATCTTGAAACGGTATAAGTTAGAAATAGTCTGAGAATTGCGCAGCCATTTTGTATTAAAGGGGACAGGCAAGCACGGGGCTCACTCGATGGGAAAGGGATGAAATATCCCGGCCATATAAGATCTACACAAGATGCTCTGACGATTTTGACTTTGGATATTCGGAAATCCACACATTTTTATATGTGGACGGTGGTTCCGTGACCTGGAATTTCGATATTCACTTATCTATTCCACCCATTTAGTATCCAGATTTTGACCCTTTGCAATTAAGCCATATTGCTACCATTAGACCGACTAGGCCGTTAATTTTTCAATGTTTAGAATACATAGGTACAGAAAAAGTTGTAATGATTTCCTAAAATGTTGTATTATTATATCTAGGCCAGTTTTTGTTTTTATTATAATGTTATAGATTTATAAGCATACACTGTATCCGCCGCAGGCGCAAGTTTTCTCACGGTAAGCCACCTCGGTTGGGGAATGAGGCATTTGGCAGCGCGTACGACCGCGCCCATGTTGGAAATTACCGCTTTGCGAAGTTCCCTCCTCTCCTCGGCAGTAGACTGAGCTGAAATTAAAAATACTTCGTTCCCTTAATTGTTATAGCTTATACTTAGCAAGATAGTTTTATAGTGTAAACTTTAATATTGGAAAAAAATTTACGACATCAAGTGCGCATATATACCAATAGATAGAAAAAATCGATGGCATGTAGGACAATTAGTTATAGTAACCGCGCGGAACCCTGTGGGAGCCGGTTTAAGTCCTACCTAAGTCATAATTGTTTTTTTTATCTAAAATAGTTTTTTCTTTTTAACATTACTTTACTAAAATCATCCACATTAAAAAAGTCGCGTAACTCACAATCATCCAAAATCCTCGGCCTTTCATTAGTAGCGGCAATGGGATCCACGGCGGACACAATAGTATGTCTGTATCCGTCTAACCGGGTGAAGGCCGACGGGGTTACAGCGAGGTTAGGTTTCGCAGTCGAGCTAATCTCTTCTTCAATAGGATCCCACTCTTCACCAACGTCATTTGCGTAATCCCCATCTGATAGTTCATCCTGGTAACAAAATAATATGGTAAGTTTTTGATAGTTTCATAGACTAAGGGTATACAGAAACTACGGTGTTGCTGTAATAATAAGATTGATGATTGTAAATTAAATAAAGTATTTTTTAGGTCCTATATTTTGCAACTAGGTGAGTCAGCTACTGACTAACTTCTTCCGCGTAGAATAGTTATTGTGGGCATCCAAATTTGTTTTTGCATACCTCTTCATCTTTATAAATTTAAACTGCTACCCGACATCGACATCGGACGCGGCCCGTCGCTCGTGACCTTTCGTTCTTGCAAGTTAATCTTCAAAGTTAGACATAAACCGTCGCGGACTTTTTTTAAATCATTTAAAACTAATCATCAAAAGGGATCTTAAACCGTTTTCGCCGCGTACGCATCGGAAACCCACAGAGATGAAAATTTTCCCCCTTTTTTCTTGCCGCTGCTTCTTCGCTCCTATTAGTCACAGCGCGATGTTTAATAGCCTTCCTCGATAAATTTTGTAACATATAAAGAATTGTTCAATTCGAACCAGTAATTTCTGAGATTCTGCGCGTTCAAACAAACAAACTCTTCAGCTGTATATATTAGTATAGATACCTTTGATATTTAAATATGTCGATTAAAGGCATACGCCCTGTATCCTATATTTTTCTCATACGCTCTTACTTTAATACTTCATATCTAAAATAATAACCTATTTCTCTAGACGTCATATATGACATTCTAAAACAACACATCGAAAATATATCTCTCGCTTTATCACACAACTGCTACCGTACTCGTATGTACTTGTGTAGACAAGTTACGAATTAATCTCGTAAATATTTCCGCCACCAAGACTCGTTACTCATTCAACTCCTGCGCGTAATGTATTAGTCACGGCCAATAAGCACAGATTGACAAGAAACAGACGAACAGGCACGCACCGGGTCTATTATTGGACCTGGGGAGAGCACTGACTTTGCTTCTATGTAAGGTGTTTTACTAAATAGCACTTTGTTTAAATCACGATACAGCTTAGTAGAAGATGTTTTCGTTAATTCTAATGTAACTATCCTAATGAAATAATGTGTATAGGCTATATGAGACTATAGTTCGACATAATAAAAATAAGACTGAATCAGATATATACTAATTTCGCGAATTTGAAAAATATTTAACTTTAAAATAAATTGAAATAATTTCGACTCTGGCAGGACTTGAACCGGCATCGTCAGCGTTCCGTGCTGTTGCTCTCGGTAGCTCAATTGGTAGAGCCGATGCCGGTTCAAGACCTGCCGAGTCGAAAATTTTTTCCATTTATTTTCGATTTTAAAATTAATAGTGCCTTCATGTGCAATAACATGTAAAAAAATATTCAAGTTTTCAAAAAAATATTTAACTCTTTCTATTGATGATATATTTGAAACGTTGATGATTATTCAAACTAGTACAATATTAAACAAATGCTTTTTACCTACTCTATATATATATGTAATTTGTAATAAAACCGCTGGCTAATAGATGTAAAAGGCAATATAAAAACTAAAAACAATCGCATAAAACATAAAAAAAGCAATAAAATATTTCTTTGATCTTTTATACTTATGGTTATAAGATAGATGTAAAAAGCATCGACAGTTGTGGTCCTAATCTAAAATTGCATGTCAAGTGCAGAGCTTAATATAAGTTGTTCCAAATAAAATGAGGGTATCAAACTATCATATCTAAAAATATTAGCCCATATTGTATGTGTTCGAAATAAAATAAAGAGATCTGGGGGGTAGTTTAGTTTTTTCTATACAACGACCGGTGCCACTCGTGCGGGTCGGTTGTGCTTACTTTTTTTAAAATCTTATATGAGACCGCCATTTAAGTTTAAGAGTTCCAAATATTAAGTTATAACGCCCCCGTGTTTGAAAGACTACTAGTTGGTGTTTTAAACCAATTTTTTTAATCCGAGTCCAGTGCGTTTTTAAGTGTAATTTTTCGCAAAATCAGTGTACTACATGGTGACCTTAGTTTCTACCTTCGGTTGTGGGCACCCTTTCATCCCAATTGCGATGCAGACACGCCACAATCATAGTGTACGTAATTCAGGAGTGCAGTGGTTAGGAGTTAAGGTATGTTCTTAGACTATATATGTGTTCGTTTTCTGTCTTTGTGATACAGCATATGTTGCTGTCAACGGCGTGGTAAAAAGTAACGCGCGTTTTTATAGAGTCAAATTGTGCCAGCAATTGTATTTAACAGATGAGTTCAGTGTGTTTGAGTATAATTATTTATTTATTTTATTATTCCAATAGCGTTTTTATGGGAGCCCGTCTGTTTACATATATACATTACATATAGTATGTGTTTTCCGTCTGCCATACACTGGTCGTATCGAACTACTCGTGAACAAGTGCAAAGCGCGTACGCAACCCATCAAGATTTGTCATCGCGTTTGACCTCATCTATGCGATAAAATAAACGATTTTCATAAAACCTACACACTGCCTACAACGTTACCTAACGTTTGTTTAACGTTTCGAAACGTTTAGACAATTCTTAGAGTAACAATACTCGGTAATTTGAGTATGCAAACGCCCATTTTATTTCCTAAATTGTCCTAAAGTAACTTTCATTGATTTGTTGCTAAAGTTAATCGTTTTGAAGAGCTTAGCGCATTAACTTATACCGGACATACTTATGTGTTGATGTTTTTTATAATATCCTGATCGTGTCGTAATTGTTTAAATAAAACACTTTACGGTTTAAAACGCGATATATATTAAACAAACTCATTTGGTATTTTTTTTAACAACGGCCCGGCGTTTTGGATGCTATGCAGCAGCCGGAGTCACGGCGCGAATAAAAATATCGGGCCGTATTTATAATCATTTCCAAATAAATTTAACTAATACACATCGTGTTTTCAACCGTTGAATTGTTTTATGACAATGTGTATTGCATCGTAATTGTGCTAATTTATTATTTATATATCTTTGTATAACCTGTGACCGTAACTTTTTGTTTTAGTACCGTAATTATAAATGGTCACACGATGGAGTGTCCCTCAAATAGTTGTGAAGCAAATGCATTACAATTTCGATCCGCGATCCCGCCTTCCGAGAAGCAATTAGCCAAGCTTTTGTCGGCACATTTAATGTGTTGATAACGTAATCTTTGTAATTATTGCTAATGTTTAACAGATTAGCTATCTTAGCACAACAGTAACTTTGGAACGATATATCTTTAGAAAGCGAGTACTTTACGTCTGGTTTAACATCGAAATCGCAAACAGTAAACGGTGTTAATGCGAAATGGTTCTGTACGTAAAGTATGGGCGGACACATTTTTGTGGCTAAACCTTGATTACTTACGAACAAGTAGATACATATTAGTCTTCTTTGCCTAAATTTACCGAAATAAATTCATATTGGACAGTATTTTCTTCTACTTTAGGTCCTGTATTTGAATCCCGGGTAAACACCAATGATGTTGCTATTGGGCGGGAAGCACCGCGGGACGCTACTATTCTTGATATAATTATCTCAGTACGCATAGCGATGACACTGTAATGCAACTTATGTCACATTTCTACGAATCTAAGAATGCAAATAATAATTGATAATGTATATTTGTTAGTGTGGGAATCCAATGACCTATTAATATAAGGAGGAAAATAATTAAATAATAACAGCTAAACAACCACACAAAGCGTCTTTTTAAAGATTTTCTTCACTTGAGCTCAATGATAAGTATTTAAAGACATCCAAGTTTGGATTGTAATTAGATCTCATAAACATAACAAAGGTATTTTCTATGTTCGTTATCCTTTCTGATCTAAATTCATTTAACGGGAATTCCCCGATTTACACAGACTCCGGTAATGATTTCTGGGTTTTTATAAAAATGAAAGGCATTTTTTTTTAACTTTAAAGTTTTATATCAATTTTTTTTTGATAGAGCATTGGAAATGTTGGTCGGAAATATGTATATAATTTACCTTTAGTTATCTAAGTGAATAAATTATTTTTGACTTCTACTGAGTCACCACAAATATCTATATTTGACTATCACTATTTTAAACCTAGGATATAGTGCAGTTATAATACAGTTATGTAAACACTTAATATGCTAACTTAGGTATTTATAAAGAACCCGTCTTTCAACATTATTTACTGGCAAAAACACGACAGTATGAATTTATCAAAATAAATGAGACACGAGAGTTATGACTGCAGCCAATGTCGTCCACCCGACTCCAGTTAATCATGATTTTAGTTAAATTTAACTCGTGAACGAAAACCAATAAACGCGGCGGCCGTTGGCAATCGGTTATGAGAATTGTCACGTACGCTGCTATGCGAGCTTGCTATTCACTGAGCTGGTCAAATAAGGATATGTTGTGGGTACTACATAGCTTAATGGTTTACCGTGTCTACCACTGCGTTAACTCGTTATCGGTTCCTGGGTTCGAATTAGGATGCCACATTGTCGAGACATTTTCAGTAATATCCAAGAAATCTCTAGACTCTCTAAAACTCGATATAGAGTTGACATTTTCTTTGAATTTTTGTAGGAGTAAGGTAGCGCACTCAAACTAAAGCTCTCAAAATACTTATTTACAATAGTGGCTCAGTCTACGATGCCTTGCATTGATTTCGGTTAAGAGACATTTATTTCCCTATATTACTAAAATATACAAATAACATCGACGACGTGATAACATCGGGCAGATAAGAATATATAGTATAATATAATATTATTGATATTAGTATTTTTATAATTTCCTAAATCGCAATATTGAATATTTTAAAACGAATCGGTCCAAAGTGGAGCGGTAAGGTAACTTTATAACACCATAAATTCAAAAATAATCTCACGAACCCTAAATCCGAAATGTAATGTACCGAGCTGTATTAAACACATTCCGAATATTATTAAGGGACTTTACTATGTCCCGTTTATCTGCTTGAACGTTTGTGTATATCGTTTTTGGAATTATAAATTAATTATTGGTTTATCTTTATCTTAACTTCGTTCGCGAGAATCGTTATTTTGAGCTTCCAAATTCGTTTTTGCAAACCCCATCATCTTTATAAACTTAAGCTGTTACCCACGACGTCTGTCGCGTCCCTTCCCGTCGCGAAACTTAAAATATAGATATATAGCGCCACGGACTTTTTTCACGGAGTTCAAACAAACAAACTCTTCAGCTTTATATATAAGTATAGATACTTGTTGAAGGTACTCATGGAAGGTTATCTTTTAGGATAATATTTATGAATTATGTTTTTCATTTTATTAATATGTACCTATTTAAGTGCAACTATGTCAAAAACTTTACTTATAAGAATTGTAAGAAGGTTTAAATATGAAGTAGAACTTTGATTGTGGCGTTGACTTTTTCCATCTAAAAGCTTTTTATTTACGTTATTGGTAACGACTAATATCACCGGAACAAAACACTTAACTAATACATTTTGCGCTTTAAACCGTTAACTTATTTAAAACTAGCTGTATCAGCGACTGCGTCCGCGTAAAATAGTTGGGGATCAAAATTTGTTTTTGCAAACCTCTAACTTCGGTCTCGTCCCGTCGCTCGCCAAAGTTAAACATATAGTGTCGAGGACATTTTTTCAGATCATTAAAAAAGAAATCATTCTTAAATACATATTTTTTGTGTGTTTTGAGCCGTTTTCGCAGTGTAGGCATCTGAAACCCACAGAGATGAGAGATTTCCCCCGTTTTGTTTACATTTTCCGCTCTATCTTCGTTTCTATTAGTCACAGCGCGATTTTTTAGCCGATAAATGCTCTAATCAACACAAAAATAATTTTTCAATTCGAACGCATAGTTCCTGAGATTAGCGCATTGAAACAAACAAACACACTCTTAGCTTTATATATTCGTATAGATATATGAAGAAAAAAGAGAGAAAGAAATGTTGTATTGTTGTGCATGTTTTAAACAGTTAAGTGTTTTATTGAAATGCGTACTACTTTCATAACATCTGTTTTAACCGGAAGAGAATATAATTATGAAAACAAACGTTTTACCGTTTTTTTTTTAACGACAGAAGGCGATCTATGTATAGGGCATATGGTTAAGACAGTGACCATGTTGTGCCGAGGTAAAAACTTATATCCGGTCTAATAAGTTCTAACGCATTTGTATTGTTTGTTTAACACAGGTAGTCTGTCCTCATTTAAAGATTGTTCACGTCCCTTTACCATTAGCCAGAATAGTTGGGCTGTAATGGTAGCGATGTATGGCTAAAAATTAATATGTGTGGGTTCGGTCCCCACCGGGGCCAAAATTTTTCTAATCAATTGATAATTACTCTGAAACATGTCGGACTTCGTCTGGGAGTTTGGATACTAAATGGTCGAGGTCATGAACCACCGTCCACAGATAAAAAAGCCGTCAAGTTCAAACGTGTTGCGGTTTACTTTATAGATTTCTGCATATCCAAAACCAAAATAGGCATATTTTTTATACGGTTGGCTATTCTACCTCATGCCCCACCTGTCTTCGTCTAGTATAAAAAATAGCCTGTTAGTACCTTTAAGCACAAACAATATATATTCTTAGATCAACATCTATTTCCTAAATGCATGTGAATGTATGTCTGTTTATCTGATATTTGCGTCTGAACTCTTTATTAATGAATATTACGACCTTTTAATTTATTTAGGTACTATAATACATAAAAACTATGACCTTTTACAGCTGTGTTGCTTTCAGTGGCATTCGTTTTAACACTTTTCGTTTTCGTTTTCGTTTGTGTATCGTTATCTGTACTGTTAAAATATTTCTAGTAATTTGAAAATCATACTCTAATAAATAGAGAGAAGAGAGAGAGGGAGAATTTACAGAGTGTGGTTATATACAGTTTCCCTCTTTATAAAACACGGCCATATAACGTATAACTAACTACATAAAATACCTTAATTAGTGTTACAACTTAATAAGTTTGCCCCCCACGACGAAGCTATTATGAAATGAGCTTGTCGTTTAACTGAAAACCTTTGACCTCGACCCTTAAACGACTCTGTACAGCCAGTTATTATACAACCTACACCTCCACGAATAAGATGCACTGGCTAGAAAGACAATAGGCTTTCTCGGCATACGAAAATCGTTTCAAGTTTGACCGAAAATTGGCTTTATAAAACTTTTAAAGTCAAAAATATCACGTTTTCAGGTCGTATTCATTGAAGTGAGGACGTTTTAGTTGAATACGGACGTTCAATTTAAAATCATTTAAAACGCGTTACTTTTTGGCAATTGCTAAAATATCGTCTAGTAAAAACAAGCATTAATTATTAACCAATGCCGATGATTTGTTTGCAAGACCCAAACTTTGAATTGTAATTTTTTTTTTCTATAATTTTAAAGTTGCTGTTATTAGCGATCTTTTATATTTTAGATTTCAAAACTAATACGTAAAGTATAAGTTTGTGTTATGTAAAAATAATTTTCTGTTTAATGTGTGTTATAAATTCACACAAAAAAACCTACAGTTATGATACGCCAATTTTTACCATATTTAGTGCTGTTTAGAAATAATAATAAAAAAGATAAAACACCAATCCACAGTAATCACTCACGTCGTCATTCCAGTCAGCGTCACCGTAATCTTCTATGATCTTCTCGCCTTTCTCCTCCTTAATCTGCTGGATCTCTCTCAACAGCCCCTGAAGCTGTTCGTCGCTCATGCTCCCCCAGATTTGCATAGCGGAGAGCAGTTCCTCATCCTCGGACAATGCCCGATTCGGGGTTATCGAGTTAAATCTATCCAATTTCTCATACAACTTGCGAGCCTCCCCGTTCGACTCGGGCGCAACTGTTAACTTCTCTAGTTTCTCGTAGAGTTTGTCTAACCTCTCCGCGAATGACTTTTCCGTTGTGAAGCCGATTGTGATTGTAATAAGACACAGGAGTAACACGACACGCAACATGATGCCACAACGCCGGCCGCGCGACTGGTCCGGCGCGCGAGTTTAGGGTAAGCGCGCCGGTTGTAGGGCTGCTTTATTATTTAGAGCGAACTCTACTTTGTATAGTATAAAGTTATGCGTTTTGTACTAAAATGTAGCTGGTGTTGTTAGTATTTAAAAAGGATTAACTACTGAACTATTAACATTGCTTATAAGTTTAGGCAGTCTTTAGTAAAAAAAAAACCAATGGGTACAAAAATTTACATGGCATGTGTTTATACTTTTAATTGATAATTTAGTCGAATAATGCGCCTCAATACGAAGTTAAAAGGAAAAGAGCTGATGAATTTGGTTCTTGTTTTACACGAATAACATGAAATGTAACAAATATTTTCTAGAAAATCACAGCAAAATCTAGCTTAATAGTAAATCGATAATACTGATGCAAGGAACATTGAGCAAGCAAAACCTACATCTCAAACTACTACATTAATTAATGTTTAGCCTATAAACATTGTGAAAGGGAATTGCCAAAGATACAATAAAGCAATTTGTCAGTTCTTTGAAATAAAATATGATTAAGTGCTAACACGCCGGTATACGCGATGCGCCCTACTTCGGCGTCTAAAGCTTGTAGACATAAGTTATAAATAAAGACTTGCACGCCGCGCACGCTCATTCATACCGAGCTTGCTTTCTGGAGATCGTTTGTGAAATGTTAAAACCCTCGCGAGTGGTCCTGCCTGCCCAACTTAGTTTTCAGTCAATTTCAGCCTGCTGCAAATGTTCTAGATCTAACTATATCATACAACATATCGTGTTTAATGGAAACTTATGCTTCAGTCAAATATTATAAATATACTATTTATAATATTTGACATATATTGAAGCATAAGTTTGTTTTATTATTTAGTTAAGAAGTGTTATCCCGTGTATCTTGTAGTTCCGAGAAATCCCTAATGACTTGTTGATAATGCTAAAACAGGTCTCTATCATTGTAACCTCTGCTTTGCCTTCTCAGAATTCTATATAAAAAGAAAGAAAAGTACCTATGGAACATTTGAAATACTTGCATAAATTATCTTAATATCACTCCAATTAAGGCTGCGCTTAGAAAGTACATAAAAATGTGCAATTTTTCAAAAGTATTAGGCTCCTGTAAGGCTCCTTAACAATATAGAGTAGACAATCACTTGTGGGTGTTGTCGAAAGTCGGCTGTACAACCGCAAAATTAACTTTTAAACTTTAGGCTTTTATACTCTGCATAAACTCAGAACAAAGAATTTATTTAAATGTAATTAATTATACAGGTTTAATAGAAAATGGAATATAAAAATGAAATTCTATTCAAAAGTTTTATTTTATTATTAAGTACTTTAGGTTTTTATTTGCTTAATAATAATAACGACTTGCAATATGAGGATATCTTTTTGAAATATAGTTTACCCTATTTTATAATAATAGATAAAACGGACTAAGTATTTTGGATTTCCTGTTTAATTTAGAAATAATTAATTGTATATCATTCGGTATTTCCATTAAATAGATAAAACATTACGGCTTTTTGTTACCGTTGAAATGCTGAATTAGTCTTTTTTAATAAATTTCAAAACGAAGATTAAAACATAAGTACTCACAATTGAAACAAATTGAAAGTAAAATTATTGGTTCAATATTAAAAATAGACATAAATTATAATATTTCAGACATTTAATAGTAAACAAAACTTAATCATAATTTTCATGACAACGAGTCAGGTATAAATTCAAAATAATAAACAGTGTTGGTGCAAGCGAAAGCTTCTAGCAATTTTTATCGTGAAATAATCCATTTGATTGAAGATCAGATACATAAATTGTCCCTTTCCCCCCGGGCTGCTTCAAACTAATTAATATGCGCATGAAAAACTATTTTGTCTTTTGGTGTGATTCACTATACCGTAAACTACAAAAAAACTCTCTAGTACCAATTTTGTACTCAGCCTTTGGTTTTTCGTACTCATTTTAACCGCTTCAGTTAATCATTATACATATTTTACATTACTGAAAACCACATCTAGATCAGATGAACCGTTTCTGAGATAACCAACAGACAAACCGACAAAAACTCCAAAACCATTGTTTGCAATAGTATTGCGTTTCAATTCATTGTACATACAGCGATTGGTTCCTTTTTAATTATATGAAAAAGGATGAAAAGCGTCTACAGAGTGGAAATATGACGTGTGAAACCACCTGACCTGAATGTGGCCAGATCCTAGATAAGATTAGCGCATGTAAACAGAATATTAAACGCGCTTTTGCGGTTACTCATAATTAGATGCACCGACACTGCTGCTTCGTCACGTCTAAGCTGGGCCAATTTCGGACTTATCGATCAAGTAAAAGTGTTGCCCTTTGAAATAATAACTTTATTTTTCTTTCAGATTCGAACCTAGGACCTATATCGTATAGAATCGTTCGGATATTGAATGTTACCGATGTTAAACTCAAAACAAAAAAATCTAATTATTTAAAATTTCCACTATTTTACCCGCTTCGTTTCCTCTCCGTTCTGCGCCTTGCTCAGGTGAAAAATATATTTTTTACCCAATATTCGAACCTAGTACTTGTGAGCAGAATAAAATGAATATCCATTTTTACTTCCTCCTAGTTCACTCAAATAGAACGAAGTTGACGTCTTCTTTAACCACCGATCCGAACCAGTGTTGGGCCACTTTCATTACGTCGAGGACATTTTAATGGAATGTACAAATAATAACTCGCAGTGCAGGTTCCAGGGGATTGGGTCAATGACCTTTGACATTTGCAAACTTTGCATTAACCGACTTTACAAAGGAAAACAGGCTTGACAGTTTTTTTTGTAATCTTAAAGTGCCAAGTATAGATCGACCTAAGTGTACTTTAATATAGGTATTTCGCTGGTTTAGTTCTTGCTTTCTTACGTACACAATTTAAAAGAAAATAATGAATAAGAAGTGTGGTTTAGGGCTAAAGTTTTTTTATGATAGAGAAGTATGGGCTCACCTAATAAAATGTGAAATACCTCAGTCATATATAAACTCAAAATGTTCTTTCAATTTTTTCTGTCTTTAAACATTCGGAAATCCATAGACTGAAACCGAAAAGCGATTAAACCTTACGACCTTTTCGATATCGCTACCACCCATTATAATCCAGTGTTACAGACTGACGGCAACATGTTCCAAAAAATAATAATAGGAAATATAATGTACCCGATGGGGATCGAACACGCGGCCTGTTAGTCATAATATGCTACCATCCTACTTCCTACTAATATTATAAACGTGACAGTTTGTATGTGTGGATGGTTGTTTGTTACTCTTTCACAGAAAAACTACTGAATGGTATTCAATTCAACTTTCCAGTACTATAGCTTATACATCAGAATAACACATAGGCTACAATTTATAAAGATATTGTGTGAGTTGTCCAAAATATGACACTAAGTGTCAAGTAACTAGAAAAAACCTACCTTTCTGCGAGCTATTCTGGCGTGCGCTGCCATAAACGTTAGTTACAAATAATTATGTAATGTATGATATGATAGACATCATTTAGTTTAAATGTGCGATACTACGTATTCCTAATCCTAATTCTGCATAGACGAAGTCGCGGGCACCAGCTAGTTCGTCATATATTGTTACTTTGAGTGGCCATTAATAACGAAAGGACTTAAAACGCAATTATAATTATGTTTCTATCCACTGGGATGTAGTTTGGCGTACTTTAAAAAAATACGTCTATGGTGGTTGTACATCAATCAACAAAAAGCGTAAATACTTCACTAATTTCAAACGCCTGTTAATTAGAATGCGTGAAAATGTATAAGGCTAAGCGTCTAATTTGGTACTAAAATAAAAGTAAAGTATATGTCATAAATAAATATTTTTGGTTTAGTCATTGAAATTATTGACGTTCAATCGGTACTTCATCATTATGAAAGTAGATCGAATACTAGAAAGTCAGTCCGATAGTTTTTTTATACGTTTAAGTTTTGTCTGTAGTTTACGCGAATATTTCTGATAAAGTAATTTATTTTGCGTTTTAAGCCGTTAAAAGTGTTTTCTTTGATTTTATTCGCTTATTACCTCAATCGCCGTAGTATAATAAGAAATCAGAAATATGTTGTATTCTACACTGTATCGCTATTCTAGAGAATGTTGTATTGATACATAGTTGTTTTTCGTTAATTACTACAAGTTTTAGTCACAGTCATTTCACGCTGATCTACGGTCACCCTTAGCACATGTGTGCCCGCCCTACATATCGACTTCCTTTACTAATAAAACAATTTACAGTTTTACCGCGAAACGGCCCGAAATGCGATAAATTTTCATATTACATGCATTTCAAGTTTATGTATTGACTGGAAATTGCTGCCGGGACTGCGCCTCGAGTGGGTTATGGGCAGTAGGGTTGTCAGTTTAACAGAAGAATATACTGTTAAACGATGGTTTCACAGACTTTTCTGTCCTCAACTGGGATATAAAATTTAAAGCATGTTATATTATTTTAATAGAAAAATGTATAGAAGCTTTAAAACCTTTATCATCTATGAGGTATTTATTCCAAGCGACATCTAGATCATCTTAACAAAATATAATTGACAACCCTAGCGGTGGATGTTCCTTAATTTGTATTAATAGGCATGTTTATTATTACACATTAATTTCATGTCATTATATTTCCGTACTCAAACTGAATATTAGCCAGGTCATTAGTACTTGTGTGTTTTGGCGAATTTCCTGGTTTATTTGGATAGATTTAGAAGGCTCAGAAATTCCTTATATTTATATATTATATTTTGTCAAGTAGTATCGAGTATCCAAAGTCAAAATAATAATAAAATTGATTAGATGTTATATAACTGGGATACTTACTTAATATCGAGTGAATCCCATGCTTCTCTGGCCTCGTCTATCATAAACAAACATATTTATTAGTAGCAAACGCTAAGAAATGATTGCCTACAGCGTTAAAAGTATAAATGTCAATTTATTTGTATGTGAACTATACGAAATGTCATACGGAACCCCAATTTAGAAACGGAGAGTGATAATGCGTGGGAGTGGCTCCGCACGTGACGTTAATTATTTTTTGATTGACAGACGATGTAACGAATAGAAAAATAAACAAAAATGGCGCAATGCAGCAGAGTCTATAGTTTATTATTAGCTTGAATAAAGAAATGTTTTCTATCGCAAACTCATCTTACGATTTCAATTGACATTTTAGATTATTTTTGTTTTTGTATTTGTATTTTTCACAAAATGTCGACTAAGGTTCAAAGAACACCAGAGCGCTAATTAATTCAAATTAATTGCCCGTTTACATTCCAGCTTTCTTAGAATGGCAACACTGTAAAACATTGAGCACGTTATTTTGTTTTATGCAATTCCTTGGAAGCTAGCAGTAAATAAGGGGCTGTTATAGATGCACATTAGGGTTGCCACTCTACGGTTTTAACTTTTATTCGCCAACAATCTACAGACCGTAGGGTTGTTTTGAATTTAAGTTCATATATAGGTAATAATATCGAGCAAAAATACGTAGTTATTGAACGTTATTGTGACGTACCGAGTCCGTCCGTAAATTTTTAAATGTAAATAGATTTTTAATTTATATCACATGTAAAAAAAAAGGTTCAAAATCAATAGATTTTTGAATCTGGACCAATTCAAAGTATGTATTAATAGGTATGGTAGGTACCTTAAAGGTAAACGAGCTACAACTTAGGCTGTGCTTTCACTTAACATCAGGTGAAAAGCAGCCAAACATTTATCCCTTATTCATTGCTCGTCCTAATTCAAAGTTTACAATGACTTATAGGTTGGTATCGTATTGTGGTTGGTAATTCGGCCACAAGAATAGACTGGAAGTATGCTTTGCGGCAGGATAAAGTAATAAATAGCGAAGTAATCTCAAAGCTGCATTATGCAACACGTGCGCTTCCGGACTCGTCTGTTCATTCAGCCACTTGAGACTCATTTGCATTTCTTACTATGAAGTGCGTGCGGTCTCATTACTAAGTTAATGCTGGAATTCTGTTGCTTGAAGATTACTGTCCCTACGAGTAAAGCCTCACATTTCTCTAATTAATTCTACTCTTAAGTTTTTGACGGGGTTGTTAGTCTAATGATAGCAATGTATGTTGCTAATTGTTAACGGACACGATCAATACCGGGTCTAACATGTTTCTATTAAGTTTAGATTTTTTCTGAAATATGTTGGACTTCGTCAGGAAATTAAACGGATGGGTCACAAACCACCACAGATGAAAAAGCAGTCAGTGGATTTCGTATATTCAAAGCCAAATGCACATCTAGTTTAGATGTCATGAGATAGGGCATTTTACCTTCTATCAAGTTAACTTCATGCTTGTTTCTCGTGTATAATAAAAAAAATGTTCCCTCACGTAATATCCCAATTTTTAGGTGTTAAAGAAAACAAAGGATAAAGAAATCACAATGTTATTTAGTGCTTAGTTTTAGTGTCTGGTGGGGGGAGACGAAGCCTAGCGGCCAGTTCCTGGGGGACATCTAGATAGGTCCTCTCCAGTCCAACGGTGAGGAGTAAAGCTCGGAGACGGTCCACCTCCACGGCATCTCCCTCGCTTGACCACACCGTGATTGAGGAGTTAAGGTAACCGGTTTCCCGAAGAAGATCTAAGATGACGGGTTGGCTGTTAGACGCAAGGCCGGCACGAACCTGAAATATTGAATGTAATGTTATGCAACGACGGACAGACCTGGACACACAGTAATTTATAAAAGTTGTCCAAAAACTTCAGCTGTTTATAATAGGCAGTCTTTAAAGCTTACTTAATGCCAAACATTCGTCTAAACGACAGAATCAGACACATCCAATTAAGAAAAGTCACAAATGCTACCGACGCACTACACTTCGCACGCAGTCTGTGGCAAGATTAAAGGATGGCAGGTGGCAAGAGTATCCCAAAAGGAAAACGGATCAAAGGGAGGCCAGTAGCACGATAGGGCGACGACATACAGGCGATCGGCTGGCCCACAATGGGCGAAAACTGCCCTAAACCGGGAAGCATGGACAACTTTGAAGGACGCGTACACCCGTATGGTTCCTAATGACCTAATATTTTCTACAATCATCTTAAATAATATTGTATATAAATAATACCATCTCGTTGAAACTAGAGTATGTTAAACGTTGTACATAGCAGCCATTTAAAGGAAATAAAGGTTTTTATTTATTAAAAGCTTACTGGGAATGTAACAGTCTGGTTGATGTGGTGTTCGTTCAGCATCCGAAGCATGGAACCGATCTGATCACGACTGTACTCTCCCTCAGTGATGTTACCACCGTACTGAGTCGTCCAACCTACGGAGAGGACCGCTCTCTTGTGCTTCGAGCCAAGGGACAGGAACTTTTCTGGGTCTACTGGCTTCGTCTCCGCGTCCACTGGTCCCGGTAGGATGTCCGCGTTCAGCCATATCGGAAAGGTTATCTGTGGAATTCGTGTGTGACAATCTAAAGTAACAATGTTGGTGGGATAATGGTCTTACAATGTGTAAAAATGAAAATGTGTATTCTCTCTCTCTTTATAATAGAATTACAACTTGTTTTATATAAATGTTTGATTTGATTGATGAATTTAGTTTAATATTGAATTCTAAAAATTGTCTCTTAAAAGGTTCTCTTAAAATATATTTAGTTCATAAAAATGTCGCCCCTTTAGTCTCTTGCGTAAGCCGATGTATCATTCAGCATAAAACCTAGTGCTAGACTAGGTTTTATGCTGAACTACCTATATGAACTGAATTAATTGTAGAGAGAAGACAGTCTTTGTATGACATAGAATGTGGATGAACCACAGTTTATAATTTATCTGTTGAAATTTTCATGTGGGCGTTAATTATGAGTGTATTAAACACAATTACGCTTAATATTCTAGAATCATTGTCCGCGCTTCAGTCAGACCGCACAGCAGACTAAGTAATTTATATTCACGTATTTATAGACGAGCTTACGTTTATAAATATCGCCTTTATCTCAATGGAATAGGGTTCATATTAAACTGCCGTTAAACACGGAAGCTTATTCACCCAGTGCAAACTACAAAGAAATTTTTATTTTTGTTTGTAAACATATGATTAATAGTGCTCTAAGATCACTCGCACAAAGATGTTTATAGCCAAGGGAATAGAAAAATGAATCAAAGCAAGTGTTATTCTTACAAGTAGGTATATGATATATATGTATAGTGTACAAACAAACAAACAAAAAATACTATATAGTACCGTCCTAATAAATGTACGCCTTTTTCTCAGTCATCTCTTTGTTTTTTTCTACAGGCATGATATTCTATTATCTACCGATTATTACATATGAAATATATACATACTTACATTACTCTTTAAGAAGCGATGTTACGAAGTATACACGTGAGATGGCTTTTATTTGCAAGTGTGTTACTTTTTTTAAACAAGTTTCGTCTCACATTGCTACCTACTGATACACAAAAACCTGTATTTATTTATTGATAGAATATTAGCTTACTACACTTTTGTACGCAAGGAAGAAATTGATTAATTAATTATTAATACCAAGTGTTGATTAGAATTGCATTTTCGTATTAGTTCGGACAAATTCTAATTAGTTTTAAACAATTTTCCATGTAACTTCCATACTACGTGTTTCCAAGTGCCTACAAACCCGATGATACAGCGGTCTGATTTTAATTGCCGAAATGTGTCCAAAGCAATTAGTTTTACAAGCTTATTTATCAGATGAGTCACGATCAAATGGTTGTCACTCGAGATAAAGATGGCGAGAAGATAATTATTTAGGTGTAAGTCTAGTTGCACTATTTATATATATTTTTTTATTAAGTCCATTTTTTGCCAGGTCTTACTCCTGTTTTTAAGTCTAAGAAAATGTTGCCCCCTATAGGAATCGAACCTTCTCAATTTTTTTTGTTTCATAAACAATTGAATGCCACAGCATTTAAACGCGAGTATCTAAATTCTAAGACGTTGTTAAAGTTTGGTTACCTAACAAAATGTACATAGCGTTTTATTTTAAAGCTTACCTATTTGTGTGTCATACGACTTTGCTTTAAAAGGCTTTTAAAATGAAGTAATCTACGAAAGTCTCTCTCTAGATAGTTACGATATAGCAGGAAAGTTGTAGTTAATGGATTTTCAACATATTTGAGTCGTAAATAAAGTACAACAAAAAGTAAACTAAATGTTCTTACTTCGTACGTTTTCAATATACTTAAGTACCTACTTGCAACACAAGGCATTATAAAAACAATCTTAATATTTTGATTAGCAATTTAGTTTTACAAAAACATATTTCAGTTTTCCATATCTTACTTATTTATCCTAGAAAATGCTTTCTAGAGACCTACTCTTATTTTAGTAAAAAACTTACATCTGGCTTCAAAAACGGTGCTATATGATCCTGTGCCTTTTCAAACGCGTCGATGCTCTTAAAGTCCAATTTTACTCCCTTTTGCTTCGAATTGACGTTGTTAAACTGAGAGACAGCGCTGAGAAAGTCTGCTAGGGTGAGATCCGAGGTAGTGGCTGGTGGATGAGCCATCACTGGAATCGGTGGACCGTCTTTACCCTTCACATGACCTAGGACTATGTCCGCTTCGAGCATGGACACCTCACCTGAAATATAGTTAGAAGTTTAAAATTTACATATTTAATTTTGTTGTAGAATTCTAATTACGATGAAGCTCTTTTTCAATTATGTGTCTTTGCACATTCCAACGTAATCGGTCGATCACTTTATGAGATTACCTTAAATGTAATCAATAAATAAATGTGAGAATCAGAAATAATAATTGTTCAAAACGTACATTATAATACAGTTAAAGAATTTTATTCTAGCAAAAGCTTTACTCAGTTCGTGTCTATAAAGCGTTAATTGTAATTAATCCCTTTCCAAGAATGCCTGTCGCGACAGCTGGTCTGGCGTCTAAAATAGTTTCATTATCCGTTGATTAAAATCAATTTAAACACTTAACATTCTTACTAGCTTAAATCATGACGCGTTAAAATTCAAAGCTCAATAATAATTTAAGCTTAAAATGTAGTGGAGTTGTTACAAATGTTGCTTTGGTTCGATGCCCGAAAAATAAAAAGAAGTTTAATTAAAGTTCAGAGGTAGTAAAATAATTATTAATTTACACCTTGTGTCTATCCTTTCTTTTTGGAAGGTAAAATTGGTAGTATTTATTTTGTTTTAAAAGCACTTACTCGCCAAAGCAGCTTCAAGATAGGTCTTGTTATTAACAGCATGAGCCCATGTAACCGTAGTTAAATTCTTCATGATCTCTTCTTCGCTATGTATTACGCTCGCTTAAAAATATAAAAAAAATATTAATTAACATCCTACATTACAACAATAAAAAAATGTCGTACAAGGCAAATTTACTTGTATCCGAATCATGTTTCTCTCTGAAAAAAAAAACTGTGACAGTTAATTAAAATGGCGTCGTCATCGTTCAGCTGTTTAAACCGCGTATTTATTTTTGCGTCCCTTTACCATTCCTTACCTTATTGCAGACGACACGGTGCTTTTTATGTAAAACAAAATTCAAGTCCTACGAATATGTAGGTTTTTAATAAAAATATAAAGTAATAAAATATTACATACAGTAATTGGAACTACGATATCAATATTATTATTATGACATTTGACGTCTCATTTACTTGACATTTGACTATGCCATCTTTACATTGTCTAGTTGTGAAAATAGTTTTAACATGATTGTATAGATGGCGTTGAAATACAAGTGATGTTTATATTAACTTTCACATTTTAGCGAGTTTAAAATCTCACGTAATATTTAAGATTTATTAATTTAATGATTGATTTATTACATTTAAATTAATAAAATGCATAAAAAATATAAGAGGTTGTACCAGCAGCTTTGCTGTAATGTGTAGTAGAACTTTCTAGTAGGTATAATTATTATGTGGGAATATAGTGCAACCAGCATTTCTAATTATCTAGATTAGTAGGTGATATAAATACTTTAGATTGAATTTCTAGACCATATGAAATACGTGGAATAAGAGAATAACAAGCACATGGGGATGGGGACTATGAATATATTTTGAAGTCTATTTGCAGTTGTATAAATTTATGCAGCAATTAAGTTCCGCTATTAAGGTTTCCCGGATAAATTTGGACCCACTTATTTCACGCTATTAGCATTTACGCAGCGTTTTGTACTGCTGATCTTACCAATTGATCTACCGTGTCACTATTTTATATTGTTTAACTGTATTTAACTTACCATTTTAAACATTCAAATGAAAACATGGTTTTTGTCGGCGTTATGAACATAATAATTTTCTACATATAGGAATACCCGTATGTTATATTTTAACCGACTCCAAAAAAAGTAGGCCATCAATTCGATTTTCTAATGCATTTTTTTAACTTTATCGTTTTGAATCGATTATGATTATTATTATTTTGTTAGAAAATAGACTACCAAGTTGGTCCCATATCGTAGATAATCAGGTTGATCACAGAGCAAAGTCATTTCTAGGCTCTGTGCAACTGGAATCTTTTAAAAATCGTGTTGACGACTATCTAAGAGTGACTTTGATAGTAGCTAAAGTAGTATCTATGGTGGTAGCGATTCGGATATTTTGAAATACTGTATTTTTATTATATTGTTAAAGTATTTTTTAAACAATTTCTATTTGACTTAATCCAAACGTATCAATTTTTGTTAATTCTTTTACCATGTTTATTTTGTACAATTTTATGATTTGCTGAAATATTCCTCGATCGATACAGGAAAAGCAGATATGTATACAATTTTTTTTTTGTTTTATTAGTACCCCTGAGCTCGTTCGGCTGAGTGGTGGTCGGATTTAAAAATATACCGTCACTCTAAATTTTAACGAACTTTTAATAAAATAGATATTTATTTACAATTTTTGATGCCCGTGAGTGAAGTAGGTATGCCATAGTTCTCTCCAATAAAGCATTTATTTTGTTTAAATATTAGAAACTTACCTAACGCGAGTATTACGAAAATTCGCAACATGTTGCACTTCACTATTACTTTTACTAAATCAGGTATAAACCATTGCTGCCCGGTGTTCCCCGTTCATCTGAGCCAGGATGCTACCTGCTGATTGGAAAATCGCCCAATTGTCATCTTGATTGTGGCAATTTGTGACGCCAAGGACTCTGGGGAGATAGGAGTTATCTTAATTTGACAGATGACGCGACTGAGAGGACACCCGCACTTATCCGACTCCGACTGATACGCAAAAGGTTGTTCTGTGAAACAAAGTTATGATTTTTTATAAAACGACACCAACTTAATCCTCCATTTTTCGTAGAATAGTTGTTTTGGGCACACTACATATTTATAGCTTTAAGCTATTACCCACGGCGTTGGTTGCGTCCTGTATTTCTTGCTAATTAATTTAAAAAAATAGAAATATAGTCTCGCGAATTTTTTTTAGATCATTTAAAGAGATTTTTTTTTGGTATTTTGAACCATTTTCGCACCACACGCAGCGGAAATCCACATAGATGAATAATTTTCCCCGTTTATTCCATATTTTCCGCTGTTTATTCGCTCCTGTTAATCGCAGCGTGATGTTTTATAGCCTTCCTCGATAAATGCTCTAACTCAAAAATATGTTTTCATTGCCGACCAGTAGTTTCTGAGATTTAGCGCGTTCAAACGTTTATTTGCTACTTCCGTTTTATATATAAGAATAGGTATAAATAACATAAGGAATGTTTTAGATAGAATGGCACTTACTATTAAATTTTAAATGTTCTAAGGCCACCTTAAGCCAGTGTTGTATTTTATGCCTGGGGAGGGCAAACAACCATGGAAGGCGGAATATCTGGGATATTCCAGCCTTCCATATCCAAGTGCTGTCGACCAATTTAGTTTGGGATACCCGGAATAATATCCCTTAATATATTGTATACTATGTTTGTTTTTAATCTTCGAAACTGTTGTTAAACCTCTTAAAAATGACAGGCTAATAAACTCATTTTTTGTAAAGCGCATTTGTCGATCGTCATTTTACCTAGATCATTAGTTTTTAAAAGTTCTATTGACTCTTAACTCGTGTCTAAATATCGCACGATGGAAAATCACATTGGTAACTCAAGGAAACGCTATGCTTGCTCTGCTGGAGCGGATATACCAAAGGATGCAATAATTACTGAACTGGTCCCAGGATGAATGCAATGTAGTTCTGATTGAAGAAGAATTGAATCGCTGACGTAAGTCGCTTTTGAAGTAATAAAGCGATTATGCTATTTGCATAAATGTCAACCAATTCAAGAGCGAGCCATTTTTCTGTTCAGGGTTAAAACTTCATACAAGTATTAATTTTATTACATATTTAACATGTGGCTTAGCAAAATTGGTTCAGTACTTTATATTGTTTTATTTGGCTTTGACTATGTTATTTTGACAACAAATAACCAAAACCTGTACAAATTTGTAAAGAGAAAGTAATGTTATAGAGTCTCAAAATTTATGTTCCTTAAAATGTTGTTTCTGACTTGAATATTGAGTTTTTTTAGTTCTGCCTAAAGAATACAAAATCTGCGAATAGTAAATTTATTTCTTACCCTACAATAAGAAATTAAAATAATAGACCAATGCAATTTACAACTGCTTGTATATTTAAAAATGGTATTTTTTCCATAACTTCCTAGAAAGTAAAGGAAACAAGATTGCCCTAACATTTTAACAGGCGTATTTTTATCACAGCAAGTAACAAGTTAACTGTTGTTCGCATATAACAGAAGCATAACATCTATTAATAAGTGAAATTATAAAAACGTTTATTGCTAAAAATTAGCAACAAATGGATATAACAAAGTCTAATCTGCTGCACCTCAAACCTTTTTTTAAGAAATTCAATTTCTTTACATTACATTAGGATCTGTTTACGTCACGGCTGTCAGTGGCAATAGTATTAATGATTATTAAAATCTATTAGCTGATTTGTATACTTTACATATAAGCGATAAAACAATTCAAATATATATTATATATATATTTAATTTACATTAATTTAAAGATTTTATATCCACCGCGAGTAATACCTAACATAAAACGTATCAGAACATTACAATCATTGTCTTTCAATATTTTAACAAATATTACGATTCTGTTTAAAAAATATTTAGAACCATATCTTAACTTGCCGGTAGTAACTTGTTGCAGACGAAGTCAAGGACAAAAGTTAGTGACATATAATGATATTGGAATGCATTAGACCCTGTATAAAGACGGTAATGCAGAAATAGATAAATAGAGAGCGATTACTATTGTCAATTTAAACTTAACAACATTTTAAAGCTCCGTTCAATATTCCAAACACTTTGTAATAATTACGATTGAATAACACTTTTGAGCTCAATACGGCAAACATTTACACAGATGTTTTTTTTTGTGATAACAAAGAATTACAACGTGTGATTAATCGTATCTTAAAATTAGTTTACCTTACAGTAATTAAATTACACGTTACATCTATCCACTAACTTAAACTATTATGACACTAATTTATTTACAATATTTCAAAGGATCACTTACTTAATTCGTCAACTTGCAAGTATAAAAAATTATAAATTTATTCATACTTGTACTTCTAATATGTGCAAGATATTGTTAGTAGATCCCAATTTTCACTGCTAGGGAAGAGGTATAGACATACATTCGTCAAATACGAGATAAAAGTTGACACTTGCCATTTACTTCTAGGTAAACCAGAACAAACCCCTAATCTTGATGTTGTTCACAGTTTTAGGCCTCTTACTCTACAATCACTGCAATATAACGACGTGAGATGGACAATGGCTAACGCCACATCTCCTTCATCTACATTTGTTTGTTGTGTAGGTATAATAAACATATGTGTCTGTATTTGTGTGCGACGTGCTTCTAGTATTGTTGTCGCGAAATGATAATTCAGTGTGTCTCAATTTTTGCTTCCTAAGCTTCGTGTCTGCTAACAATTTAATTTGTCTATACTCTTTGCCACAATCCACTGACCTTATGAACAAATACGGGTCTCTAGCACATCATTGCGCAATTTTCAGGTCCCTACACCTCACAAATCTCTTACTAAAAGCACCTCACTGTTTTTCATTCGGATTCAGTTTCATCTCCGCTTCGTCTCTCGGCTTTTCCAGCGTTACGATAATGTCTTTTGGTTTCTTGAATTGAGATTTCTTACAGCACGAAGCTAGAGTGATGATCCCCGCGAATGTGAGAGCGACGCACGCGCATATAGTCGCCCCCCAGTCGGAGACGGCGCGCACCATTCGCAGCTCTGCGGCCACTTTCTCCTCCAACACCACTTTTTGTTGCACCCAGAATACAGGGAACAGCATGCGGGGGACGTTCGCGAAGAGACTGGAAAGAATTGCTGATTTATTATCATATTATTAACTTCGGGAAATCGATATCTTCGAAGCCATATAAATTTAGTTTACATTTCGATACTTTTAGTTTAAGTAGTGTCGTTTTTAGGTATGACTAGCTGAGTCAGCGACTTCGTCCGCGTGGAATCGTTATATTTTTGGCGTCAAAATTTGTTTTGAAATCCTCCTTGTTTTTAATAATAGCTTTTACCTATGATGTCGGTCGCGTCATGTGATTCGCGTCCCGTCATTCGAGTCCAGTTTTTAAAAGCAAGTTATGCTTAAAGTAGACATATACTGTCGCGGACATTTTTTAAGATCAAATAAGAGGAATAATTCTTTAAAACATATTTTTCTTGCATCTTGAACAGTTTTCGCATCACAAGCAACGAAACCTTTAAATATGAATAATTTGCCCCGTCGTTTTCACATTTCCCGCTGTTTCTTTGCTCCTATTTATTGTAGGGTGGTTTGGCGTTTTATAGCTTAAAGCATTCCTCGTCAAATGCTTTAACCAACACAAAATAATTTTTCAATTCAAACCAGTAGTTTCTAAGATGATCACGTTCATATAATCTATGTCTAAATAATGTAAGTATAGATTACGTTTTTAAACTTTTGTGTCGAACAGCACCAATCAGGCGCAAAATTATAAATATTTATATTGGAAACATAGACATTTACTTTTTGTGTAGAATGTCATTAGAAGATTTGTGTGTATTTGACAAACATATTGATTAATTTTTATTAGCTAGTTTAGTAAACTTTATTAAAATAAAAAGGTAATTTATTTAAAATCTCTGACAAAGAATAAATAAAACTATTTTAATATACAAAATGCCTACAACGCTATTAATAAACATGGCGTACGTATATAGTTATTCTTTGTAATTAATATTTGAATAAATCACATTAAGGACGAATAAATGAATTGTTATTCTGTTTACTTGCTAGTGGATGCCAGAAAATTTGTTCACGACGTTCCTACGTTTTTTTTTCAATAAAAAGTTTTAAAATCAATTACGCTGTACAAGTTTCGCGAGTAAAATAATGATATGTACATACATATACAATTAATATAGTATACATTTCACTATTTTGGTAAGTTTCAGTGTTACTCTCACTAGATGATGTTAGTGACCATACTTTTATTTTGGTAGAGATAAAATACCAAATGTTATAAATATGGCATAAATATATCTCTGGACAGACACGTCCAAACCCACGCCTTTAGTATGATATTAAGTTGGTTTAATATTGAGTGGGTAGCTAGTAAGGATATAAGTATAATTAAGTAGTACTCACGCTATATTGGGTATGGGCTCTAAGTAAACGTTGAATTGAAATCTGGCTGACACGTCGACTGGTACACCAAGTTTCTGAGAAAACAATACAATCTTGTTTTAGACTTAAACATATATACGTATGAAGGTATAATAAAAAATAATCATAGAGTCGTAGAGTAGAGTAGAACCAATTAAGCGAGCCCATATCTTTCTTCCCATACTATGTCTTACACCAATTTTTACGACACAAGCATGGGGTTTCTTTAATGGAAGATGAAATACTCCTAACCGTATAACATCTCAACAGGATGCGCTACCGTCATAATAATATTTTGATGGCCAGTAATTATTGATTTTAGTAAACAAAGATTCTTAGCTCAAATCTTGGACCAAAACACAATAGTTTTATATACTGCCTCTAGTTTACGCGAGTACTACACATTTAAATAAAACACTTTAACGGTTTAAAACGCGATATATTTTTATATTGGCCAGTTTTGCCCAATACCAACTTCGACGGAACGTGTGGCGTTAGCGTAGCAGTTTTTTACTTTGACGTCAGAGATATCCTCCATCTGTAGTCTCCGCTGTTAAAAATAAATTTCAAACAAGTTTAACTAAAAATATATCGCATTTTAAACCGTTAAAGTGTTTTATTTAAACACATTAGCTTTGGTTATACTAATTCTGAGTCTACTGAGTCAGCCGCAAACAGTGTAATGGGAGGTCTATTTTTTATCAGCGTATAGTAAATGGGTAATTTTCCATTTCGAATTCCTGATCATCCTTTTATGGTTTTCTCCTTTTATTTGTGTCAAAGATCGAGGCACAATCGCGATAATACGAGTATATCAGTTTGTTTGAGGAAGTGGCAGTCATAAAGCTGCATATTTTATATCGTTAATTAGTTAAGATAAAACGATTACATACAATCAACATTGTACTAATGAGAAGCTTCGACCTCTTGAGGTTATGTTAAGTCTGTTTCAAGTACAGCTTTAAGTATAATACCAACCGATGTAAGTATTATTCCTAAGGTCTTCCGATACTTTAAGTCTATACATAGACGATCAGTAGGTTCGTTAAATTATTAAACGCGAAATGTACTAGTTAACATATGTTTAATTCGTGTTAATTACAACTCAAAGTCCCGGATGCTTAGCAGCAGATGGCGCTAGCGTAGCAATTTGACTTTGACATTAAGGATACTCTTCATCCTCAGTCCCTCTGTGACCACGGCTGCTGCTAAAAATAAGTTACCTATCATATTTTGTAGATTAAATATTAAAAGTGTTTTATTGAAATTCAATAGTGTATTACCTCCGTAAACTACAGACGCCTTAACGCCTCCTATAATTTTTGTACTGTTTTTTTACCGCATCAAATTAATATGTCAAGAATATAAGAAAAGCTTAATATTTTTGATCTCAAAATATAATTAAAATCGATTATAAATTGAAAAAATTACGTCACGGGCAGGACCTGAACCATGAAATGACGAGGACCACATCCTAAATAAAAATCTCGAGACTGTAAATAATCCAGTCATGATGGACGAGAGAAATTGGTGCATGAAAACTTATCGATATATAATGGATCCTTACCGGTTCCACTCCGAAGTAGAACGAATGCTTATCGGGGTCAGGATGTAAACCGTCAACCTTGCTTCTGAGATCAGCGTCTCCATGTAGGAAGTGGGGCAGAGACAAGAAGGCGGGAGCACCGAAACGGCACGCAGATACGTTCATAACCCCACTCCATCCGCACTCCTCCTTGCAGAAGCACGTGTTATTTGGGGCGAGAGGAGCTGAAATTAAGTTGTACTTTGATTAATTAAATTTAGGCAGTTTCGTTAGTGTACCCTGGTATTAGCTTTTCATACTAGGCACTTGCTAAATACTGTCTATAGTTTACGCGAGTATTGAAATAAGCACTTGTTACCTATCTACTTTAATTATTTTATTATTTTGTATTAAACTATTATTTTAAATATTTATTTTTATTAAACGTCACTTGACTTGTTTTTACTATTACCAGCCCAGTTTAAAGCTGAGTTTAACACCCAAAAGCACATATCTAAGATCTGGCACTCTATATATTAAGTATTGTCTGCAGATTAGTACGCATACACATATAAATAAAACACTTTTAACGGTTTAAAGCACAATATACATTAGTTAACTTATTTACAAATTATTTTAACTGGGCCCAATGTTTAGGAGGCTTTGCAGCATAAATTGTGATTAAGTTAACTAACACATTTTGCGTTTAAAACCGTTCAAGGTGTTTTAAGCCGTATATCATCAGAACGACAAATAACAACTTACAGTAATCGAAACTGGTTTTCGTCAACTCATACTTGTGGTAATTGAGACCCATGTGGCTTTGGGTCGCCGAGTAGTTGAAGTAGACCGTCCTGCATAGATCTCCCATGAAGATCTCAAGCTGCGTCTCTTCCGTTAGGTTGTGGGGCATAAACTCACCAGCGCTGCCGGCCATCTACAATAACAATTTTCAATTCAACCTACTTGGGAAGCTATAGAACGTTGCGCAAGAGTTGATTCAATGGATGAAATAAATTCAACGGTGATGTGCGAGACACGATAGTTCAATTGGTTAGAGCAGCAGCACGGAACGTTGGAAATGGTTCGAAACTCGCACGTGCGAGTCACACGTTATTTGTCAATGTAATCGATTTTAAAAATATATAATATTGTAAAAGTTTTAAAAGTGCCGGATTATTACGACTACACTCCAGTGTTATGTTTACTTACAAAATTTCTGTTGAATAAGGGCAGAAAAGTCTCAAAGATTAATTTCTTTTCTATATATTAAATCAGTCATTAACAGTCACAAAAATATGTCTGCATACTGCCGTGGGGAAACAAAATTTTAGGTTTTCCAATATGTTTAGAAGAATTGCTAAAAGTGGTACATAGTATTTAAATAAAAAACTCTAACCGTTTAAAACGCGATATATATTAGTTAAACTTATTTGGAAATTGTTTTAACTACGGCTCGACGTTTGCAGTAGTTATAATAATTATCAAATGAGTGTAACTAAAGTATATCGCGTTTTAAACCGTTTTAAAACTTTGTTTAAATGTGTACTACTCGTGTAAACTACGCTGCTTAGTACCTTCGCGCACGACCCCTCGTAGAACGGCAGATGATCCAAGTGGTTCCACCGAACTATCTGTCCTGGTAGAACACCTGGTGTCTCGCCTGTCGTTATTTCCACATAACCATCAGTGTCTATCGAATTGTTCCTCTGAAACGTCACAAAATATTCCATATTATTCCGATAGGCCAGTTGCTTTGTAGAATTGTATGGCTAATCAACTGGTCGTGGGTCCTATGGAAATATGTTTGAAATCTGGATGTTGTGCGGTATATATTGTGCATGCTTTAATTCCGCCCGGGTTATGAACCACCGTCCACAGATAAAAAAGCCGTACAGTTAGTCCCGTTAGGTCAACAGCGATTCTTGTTGAGATTCTTGAGTTTGTTTTTTTTGCAGGCTTATAACCTACAATCGAGTGGACCCCATGTTTTTTAACTTTATAATGATTTAAATAAAATTATAGACAGTATTTTAAAATGGTTTATAAGTTTGTAAATTGTAATCCTGGTAACTTGTAATCATAAGTATATCATTTAATTAAAAATTATCCAGCTTTATTTCAGCTTTTAGGTATTAGTACATTTAATATGGATTATGCACTTTTTGTTCCGAATGAATAGTAAACACCAACGGTTAATGTATTATTTTCTTCTAAATGTACTTCAGATATTCAGTCGATTCGTCAAAACGTGACACCCATCAACGCCTGCCTGATTGATCCGCGGTCAAATAGTATATTTGTGGGCAAATCAATAAGTTTAAATTAATGTTGTTGCAAGCTGTAATGCCAATATAAAATTCAATGACTCTTACTGTCAATGCCTTCATTTTATTTTCTTATCGTGTTATTGTTTACCGCAACTTTTACGTGGCAACTTAAAATAGGTTAGCGTTGACCCCCTTTTCTTTTTTTTATATAAATCGACATCTTTAAGCTTAAAAAAGTGAAAAATAATATTATAAGGTGTTTCTTTACTTAAGTTAAAATTAATACAAGTATATTATAGAATATAATAAACTAGCTGTGCCCGCGACTTCGTCCGCGTGGAATGGTGACTTGGGGTAGAATTTTTAATTAGTTAGGCTGTTCAGTTAATTTATTCGTACGGGCACATTTAAGGCAGTCATCTATGTTGTAAGTGCTACTTTGCCGCAACACTCTCACCTCACATCAATCCTACCCTAACTCCCACTCTCATTTCTACACTCACTCCCTATTACCAAAAAGCCAAAGAAGAAAGTTTTATTGTTCTAGCTTCAAAAACCACGAATTTCTATTCAAACTTTCAACCCCAATCAGCCCTTCTTTGCAGTGAAAAGTAGCCAGTAGTATTTTCTAAGGCCCTAAAATATCTGTGTACCAAATTTCTTTTAAATCAGTTCAGTTGTTTCGGAGTTAAAGCCGGACAGACAGAGTTACTTTCGCATTTATAATATTAGTATAGATATAGATAATATAGAAGTATAGAATTTTAGTAGGCATATTAACAAATACTAAACTACGAACATAGAAGTAAGCTTAGCTTTTAGACGTTTTAAAATGTAAATAACATAAATGAAACAAGTGTTTGTTATATTTTTATTAACAGTATTGAATATATGAAAAACTGTCCTAAATTTATTTGGACACAACATTTTCCGTATTGGTAATTTGCCAAACAGGACAGGGATTAGCATGACGTCTAGCTTTTACATGTTTCGTGGATCTATCTTCCCAGTGTTGGTTTCAGGATATATTATGAAAAGGCAATACATCAATATTTAAATTAACAATCTGCATCAAAAGTATCTCGGGGATATTTTTGCCTTATGAAGTACTGTTCAAAAAAAATTAATCACGTTCAAAATAATCAACAGTCTTCAACTTTATAATATTATTATAGATTACTGTAGGTTCTCTAAAAACAAATTCCGACTCACCCCATAAAAGAGTCCAAATCTATCGAGTGGTGGTGCGCCCCCTGTCGTGCTTGCTGGGAGGTTCTTCGCTATTTCCATTAAGGGATCATCGTAACCCTCGAAGAGAAGCTCTCCCGCCAACCGGGAGACGGATATACCTTGGCCGAACATAGCCAGTCCCATTGACAATCCCTTTTGCCGGAGATAGCCCCAGTGTCTTGCTCGGTATATCGCGGACTATAAGAGATATTTTTAGTAATTACAAATAATAGATAAATTATCAAAATAGTTACCATACTGTTCTTTCAGTACTTTAGTTAGTAAAACACAATTAAATGAAGTACGTTTTTAACGGTTTTAAACTATAAATATATTAGTTAACTTATTCACAATTTATTTTAACTAGGGCTCGACATTTCTGACACTTTGCAGCAGATGGCGCTAGCGTAGTAAATTTGACTTTTACTTTTATCTTCAGTCACATGATCATGGCTGCTACAAAGCATCTGAAGTTAAGTAATATATTTCGCGTTTTAATTCGTTCGAAGTGTTTTAATTAAATAAAACACATATAATTATTACGCTGTTTAGTTTTAGGAATAAGATAACAAACGTGATTTGTTTTTATTAAACATAAAAGAAACTGAACGTAAAAAGTATTGATAAGATAAGCTCGCTTATAGACAATTATATTTAGCCATATCAACGCAAAAATAGATAAATAGTAATAATTCAACAAAACCAATATTTATATGTATAATAATGGACTTTAAATGTTTAGAGAAGAAAAAAAGGCGGGCACTTTGTGCTATGGCTAATAATCATCGAGCGGGTCGATTCCTATCGGGTTTAACATGATCCTAATCTATTTATAATTATTTTCCAACAATTGGAATTCTATATCAAAAACTGGATATTAAATTGGTAGCAGGAATTATCGAAAATTCGCGCCCGGTTAAAAAGGCCGTGAAGTTTAATCGCGTTTCTGCGTCAGTCTGTGGAGTTCCACCCAAAGCTTAAACATAGGTCGGCTGGTTTATTTCACCTTTCTTTAAGTGAAACCCCATTCTCTTCTGTGCTTTTCTATCATAAAAATCCTCTGAGTCGTTGGCACACAAATACTTGAACTTAGTTACTTAAAGACCTTTTCCTCCTTATCTTAACCGCAGGGTCAGTGTCACACAACATAATCCATAAGTCAACGAATGCTGTTATCTTTTATTATTATTATTGAATTAGCGAAGGAATTAAACAATTATATTCCTAGATTCTAGTGAAATCCTGTTTCTCTCCCGTGGGGCATGGGGCGAAGACATTTTTGTATTTATTACACTGTTATTTATCTTCTTACAGGCAGAAGCAATCTATTGTGTCCCCGGGATTCTAGCCCTGAAGATCTCGCACTTAACGCACTGTGTCATTTAGCAACAGAGGCGGTCCTAGACTTTAGCGCTTCGAAATTTCTTCAGCGACTATGACGAAGCCAAAGCGGTGTATAATTTACATGTTTGTACTTAATATACCTCACTATTGATTAAACTTATTGTAAAACTAATAATAATAATGGCAATAGCGCGGTAAAAACAAGACTAAAGAAATGCACATATAGTTTTTAATTCGATAACGTTATTTTTATACTTGTTACCGCCAAATAGGGTTACCTATCATTGTGTTAAGCACGAGATGTGAATCCCGGAAACTCGTAAAATAGATTCGGTCAGGCAGGACACAATTTATCAGAACGGACACAGAAATGTGTTCGCTTCAAGCCACAGAGGGGAAAACGTACTTTCAGTGTATTATAATAATATAAAAAGTATCCATTCATTTATAACGTTATGTGACTTACAGTTTATTCAAGTGTTTTATTAATCTATATTTATTAAAATTCATGTTATGGCGTTTCAATAATAAGTGAAAATTGAAGAATTCCTATATTATTAGGTTGTATTTTTTGATTGATGATTTGATTAATATTTTTATTAAAAACACTTCGTCTCTCTTCTGTAACGAAACTTACAGCAGCAATAACGTTGATGATGGTAACATTGTCCTCCAGGGTTCCGTTACTAGTGTCAGCGTCGAAGTACCACGTCCGCTGGGTCATGTAGGCCATGGTCCCATTTTCGGGAAACCACGAGATGTTTACGTGACGTCGATGTTCGCGGAAACGATACGGACCTGCAAAATAATTAATCATTCCAATAGATTGTAAAATAAGCTATTATAGCACAAAGGCTAAAATTTAGAAGACAGGTTTGAGACACCGATGACATTTATAGGATTCCAACCCATGGTAGAGAACATAGGTACCGGGTCAGTGGCCACTGGCCTATCGCTTATTAATTTAAATTCTAAACTTCTTTATGGATTCTCTCTAGTGCAATTTAATTTGATTTAAAAGACTCTCATGTGCTTAAAATGACATTAACATTTGAAGGTCCATACAAATCTACTCATATTCATTAATTTTATAAAAGGCTGTTTTATAGCATAGACAACACATTTTTTTAAACATTTCAATATGATATAATTGCTAGATATGACAAATATAAGCGACAAATTTGAACATTAAGGGAGTAAGTAAGCTGTAAACATTTTTCTTACTGACAATTTTATTCGTGATCGCGCTTTCATATTTTTATTTACAATTATTTAAACACTAGCTGTGCCCGCGACTTAGTCCGCGGGAAAAAGTGAATTGGGGTAAATTTATTAATTATTGAGGCTGTTTATTAATTTATGTAGGGTGCATTTAAGGCAGCCAATCTATAGTAAGTACTACTTTGCTGCAACACCCTCACCTCATATCACTGCTACTCTAACTCCCACTGTCATTTCTACACTCACTCCCAATATCATTCCCACGTCCACGCCTAAGCCCACGTTAATTAAAATATGTTGGACCTGGTAAGGACCGAACCCGCATCCTACAAAGAAGCTAAACCTAAGAAGCTGAGCTTTATATAGCTAACTTAAGAGTTTAAAGTAATCTCCAATTAGTCCAGGAAATCATGCATCATCGCATATACCTATTACATATATCCACTGAGAACGATAACGGCTTTAAATAATGGAATTCTGTAGTCAAGCAATTAAAGAGAAAAAGTCAAGATAATCAGCAGCTGAGCGTAAACTATCGTTCTTACTTGAAGCAGATTTCATTTTATCGATATTATTATTTTCATTCGCTTTAAAATTTGTCTACATATATTATGTATTTTATGCAAATACTTTGACAAGAAATGCTAGTACTGTCCTAGTTTACTCGATTTGTACACATTTTATCAAACGCTTATAACGGTTTTGCCCTTTAACTCGTTAAAGGCTTTGGCTAAATGATACTAAATTTCCCACAAATAGTTTACAACAATGGTTTGGTTGGTGATGTTACGACCGAATCAAAAGCAGTTGCGGCGATTGTAAAAGAGTTTTTAGCGTTCTTCATTTTAAATCTTTTATCTCAGCCTCATAAGCACGGCATCATCAAAGTACTTTGACATAAGATAAAAGTTGTAATATTACGTTACAGATACTCTGTAATGATTATTTTAGCTCAATGTTATAAGGTCAAAATTTCACAATGATTAGCGAGAACTTTATATTATTACTCGTATTCGCTTAAGACATCTTAATTATTTAATTAATTCAGTGGATAATTAATGAAAAAGGTGTGTTCGTATTTCATTTACTTGAATTACATTCAGTATTAAGATTTGTTGTTTCTATTTTATTTCGCTTTTTAGGATTATATTATAAAAGAGCAATCAAATAAAAACCTCTTAAGAGCAATTGAAATTTTTATTATTTTTTTCTTTAATTATTATTATTCTAAAACGACAATAAGCGTTACTTCCGCTCTTTCAACTTCCTCTTCTTCTTCTTTATTTATTTATTATTATAGTTGAGTGTAAATACCTATAATGGCTATTGCTTACAACATAGCTTCATAATATAACTGCATTAATTTTACAAATTGTGTCGAAATCTCACCAAGCTCCACAAGATTTGGGGTTTCTTCGGGAAAGTTCTCCGGATTTGTCCAATTGAAGAGGTAGACTTCGAAGAAAAGAGGCACCGTCGGAGCCACCCAGTCACGGAAGGACCTCGTGTCTGGCTTCAAGGCCACTTGCTGAAAGGAAATTGAAATGTGAAGCTCGATTTTAACATAGCTCTATGATGTTTAAAATTGAAAATGATAATGTTTTACAGAGATGCCTAGCGTAAAATAAGTAAATTATTTAAAGGAGGTATAAAGGAAAAAAGGAAACTGCGCAGTGGAAAATGCGCAGTGGAAAAAGGAAAATGCGCAGAAGGTCTGCTGGACTTTATAAATGTATAGAATTTTTCTGTGAATGCATAGATGTGTATTAAATACTGTATTAGTTTACGCGAGTAGGACACATTTAAATAAAACATTTTAACGGTTTAAAAATCGATATATTAGTTAAACTTTTTTGATTTTTTTTGAGAGGTGTCGCGCGTGACCACGGCTGCTGCAAAGCATCCGAAACTTAAAAAAATTAAATCCGAAGTTAAAAATAATTTTCAAATAAGTTTAACTAATATATCGCGTTTAAACCGTTAATGTGTTTTATTTAAATAGATGTGTAAGAACATTTTCTATTGGGAATCTTGTTTGTTATGTACACAGTTCAAGATTTTGATTGTGTGCTAATTTTAACACTTACTTATACATAGATTGAACAATATTCGTCTATACTAAGAGGAATTTGAATGTTTGTTTGTAAGTTATAACTTAAATTAAGTTAATTTTTAATCTACATAGGCTCCGGAATGTTTACCATACCATAAAGGGAATAGCAGTCGGTCACTATAGTCTTAAACGCGTGGTTACCTTGAATGTAATCGATCTACAAATCGATCATCGATCTTAATCCATGGCCCCGAATCAATCAACCTAATCGTGGAACATTTTAGCACAGTTATTGACATCAATTAAACTTCTTCATACGAGTATTAATGAACGAGAACAATACCAAACAAAACGCGCTTTGATCTCATCCGATTGTGGAGAAGTATTATGGTTTTTCGTTACCGTATTTTATAAAGAGCCGGAGAGCCGCATTGGTCAAATTATACGTGAAGAGATTTGATATTCAGCTATCCAACAAAAATTGTAGGACTTAAAAATCTGACACGTGTGCTCCGTTGAAGCCTGGGTAATCTGGTGTCCGAGAACCAACAACATGCGTACCTAAACTAAATTCCGGATATCCGAAGCTAAAAATGGTCGACAGCACATCTTATTATGATGTTATACGTCTGGCCAGCTCGGTAAATCAACCTCACCCATCATACCCACAGTAGGGGGAAACTGCTGAAGTCTGATGGCAATTATTACATTAGGTTTTTCCAAACGGGAGACGGCAATCAATAAATTAATATTTAAAAATATTTATTGAAATTCCAATTTAAAAGTCACCATCTTTTGACATTTACATTTACGAAAAAAATGTACAATATGAAATGCATACTAAATAATAAAATGCTGATTGAGGACATTCAATATTTCATAAAAACAGCTCAAACGGCCATTAAATTTTTAAACTCTACGGTCTGTTTTTCGAAAAATTTAAAACTTAAATGTCAATTGAACAAGGTCATTATTGCCTTTTGTTACGAATTATGGCGTTGTAACGACTTGTGCATACGTTCGTTTAACTAAGTTGGCTGTTTGAGCTGCTTTATGACAGTTCTACGACGTTGCTCATGTTTATTATAAACTTTTAGATTAGTATTAACGGAAAGAAATAAAAAATTACAAATATAATTCATGCTAGACCATCACGCCGTTTTGAATTATTTTGTTAATATTTCGATTAGTGGCAACTCGTGAATTAGATATGCAATTATGCGCTTGCGCCGCACTTTAAAAAACAAACAAGATTAGATAAGGATATATGTATTTGCATGCTTATCTTGTTTCTTTATAGAGGTAACGACACATTTAATTTTATTTAGCATACACGCGCTAAAAATGTAACCTGGAATAAATTTAAACTAAAACAAATATCCAACAATAATAATTCTTCACTCCTAACAATGAAAATAATTTGTTATACCAGATGACCATATCTTTAAAAAAAATTAAATCTTACAAGTATTCGAACAATGCATCGTGAACAAGCAGTTTATTTATATAAAAAACTAGTCTGTCCATTGAATGCCACAGTAGGTGAGTTTTTTATGAAATTTAAAGCAGTTTTGCATCTGTCTGTGAACATTTTGTGATGACTGATTGGTTTTTGTATGTTACAGATGACATTAAATTTTCATATATATACTAATAAATATATCAAATGGTTATAGTGGAATATATCTTACCGCGCTTTCTTATAGATACATTCTTGTAAGTGTATCTATAAGTCCTCGTAAGAATAAAAAAATATTATTTTGTTATATAAGGAACGCTGTTTTCAATGCAAGTTTAATATTTACGGCACTCTATACATAAAACAAGTCTTAATATACCCCAATTACATTGCATAATATTTTGTCATTGTCCCATAGTTTGATAAACACAAATTGTTGGTAAAAATAAACTAGGTAAAATAGTAATTCTTTAAATAATTGTCAAAAGTACTCTACTTAATTCAAAGAATACTAACTGATGCGACCAAAACAACAAAGCGTATTATCACGTTTTCGAGTTTTTTCACATGTTAACATCTTAAACAAAAAATCAATAAAAATGCTAATATTTTGCAGTGAGTTTTTGCTAGTGCATTCTCGTTTTTGCCTCGTGCCATCAAATATTTTTTGTGGCTTGTCATTCGGTATTTACAATAATTAAACGAGACATATCGTCAGCTCATTTTAAGAATGTGTGGGAAGACTTGCGCTAGACGTGTACGTAATTATCGACACATTTTTGCTAATGCAAACCAACTGGGCCAAAAAACGGGTCAGTTTAGACAAACGTGTAGTTTTTTGGCAAGCTTGTAAAACACGTGTAACAAAAGAAAAAGAGATTTTTTTTTATTTCGTTTGTACGATATTATTAATATTCTTTTTAAACCAGAACATTATCTAAAAGCGTTTTAAAATTTCCAATTGTCCCAATCAAAGGACACGTATCTTCTTCTTGAATAAGTAAAAGAAAACTCATAATTAAGCTTTTGAAGTACGATAAAACTACGATTCATAATTTGTGGTTATGGATTTCGTCTGTGTTTTTTTTATATGAAAGCCAAATTATGGTAAAGCCATGATATAGAATGGGTATAGAAAATCTAGATGGATCTTTATTTTTAGTCGACATCGAAATTTCGTCGTTAAAAAGACTTTAAAAAAAAAGCCGAAGAATGCTTACTAAAATGTATTAGTAAGCTTTTTGTTCGATCATTAGTTAAAAATTACTCACAGAAGCGAAGACCGATTCGAAGATTGAGTTCCAAGCGAGCGCGGTGGCGAGCGCAGCGGCGGCCAGGAGGGCCGCGCAGGCGCACGCGGCCCGGCGCCACTGCGGGGCGCGCCCGCGCATCGCGCCGCACCACACCTTCGCACCTGCAATTAAAAGATTTATGAAAATTTGCCAAAAATACTTCTGTACAATACAATAAATATGTTCTTGAATTAATTGTTATTTTTATTCCCTACTAATATTATAATACCGAAGAGTTTGTTTGTTAAACGCGCTAATCTTAGGAACTATAGGTACGAATTCGAAAAAAAAAATCTGTTGCTTGGACCATCTATCGATGATGGCTTAAGGCTATAAAATACATGCTGCGACCAATAGAAACGAAAAAATATTGGAAAGTGTGAAAAAGCCGTGAATTTTTCATCTTTGAAGGGTTCCATTGCGTGAGTTGCAAAAACGGATCAAGAGACCAATAAAACCGCACTAAAGCACAATACTTCTTTAAATGATTTTTAAAAATGTCGGCGACAAAATAAGTTAAATATCTTTTAAGATTAACTTTCAAGAACGACAGGACGTGGGTAACAGCTAATGAAGAAATAAAATCACAATTCCACCAGAGTTGATAATATTTAAATTCTACAATCTGTATACCATCGCCTGCAAATAATTAGATCGATAATTGTTCTATCTATAAGAAATACTAAAGATTAAGTGCTACTATATCTTAAGAATTGAAACAATTATAATTACTCATATTAAGTTCTTATAAGGAATAAGAATACCAAGGATAATACTTTAATTTGTCGTTCCTACGTTAATCGTCGCATGCATAATTAATATTTACGTGGTTTTAACGCGTGTGTCCCAGGTTTTATCCATTGAGTCGTCTATCTATACTTATATAATATCTAGGTTTTGTTCTAGCGGCGCTAAAAAACATGACGTATACCTAAATTAAAACATAACGTCAAAAATCCGTTTGACAGATGTCAATGTCATATGTTTTCTTGCCTGCAAAATAATCTTTCGTTCGAAGCTCAATTTTCTCCAGATATCGGAAATGGCAAAATATGGATTTTGGATTAGTGTTTGGTTGTTGACAGTCATCATAAAACGCTGTAAAAAATATTGGCACCTTGTACTCTACGGACTAAGATTGACGAATATAGATAGCGTTTAATCTTTTTTGGAAATCACTAGAAAATTCCAGTAATTACTAGAACATGATTAGTTTGCACCTGCTAGGCGTCATAAGAATCCGTTACTTGCGCAAGTGGCAATATGCGTTTTCCTAAAATAGAGATACGCACAGTATTTTTTACTTTCAAAATTCTCCACTAACTTGGCCTTTAGGACACTTAAGGACGCCGCGTTCATGCATGTTGTATAAATTGCACAATCTGGAGCAATACACTACTTTCAAATTACACCTTAATCTTACTCAAAGGGCTTAACATCCATTCTTGTCAATTGTCCTGCGCACAATATTTGGCTCCCGACTGAGGAACTGTAATAATGTCACCCATGTAAATTTTTAAAGTCCCGTTTCCCCTATAAGGCTGGGGCAAACAAATCACACAACACAGAAGTGTCTGATCGATTTTGCCTATGCTCTGCCCGGCCGAAACATTTTCCCGAGATTCCAACTTTGAAAATGTTATTATGAAAGATAATTCATTATTCATATTTCTAAAGATACTTTTATCTTTAATCGATAGGCTTAAAATGTGAATATATTTGCTTACAAATTGACAGATAAGAAGGTTTAGAATATTTCAGTGTTAAAATATAAGTGTTGGTATAAAACTGAAAAAGTTCTTTAGAATTTAAAAGGATGGTTACAATAAGAAAAACCATCCAATATACATCCAACATACAATAACTTAAAAATCTTTTTTTATGAAAAATATCGTGTAAAAATATTTTGCCTAAAATAGTATATGTATTAAAGTTTTATTTTAATTTTATTGTAATTATAAATGTAGGTATGCGCTAAAAAACTTAATGCAGAACAGAAAGATTTCTTTATTATGACTTTTTATTTTTAAAGCTATTTAGTATTTATTTATGTACGAGTACGCTAAGTGCAGAGGAAGAGGCCTCCAAATAGCAAAAAATACATGAAATTTAAGCTACTCTGAATATTTACAAAGGACCACAACTTGCTTATTTAAGGAAGACATTATCTGTACATTAAAAATAACATAATTGGAATGTCCGTGTGTAATCAAGTGCATGTAGAGTCATTAAGATCTACATTATCTAGGATAACGTGTTACGACATTTTTCTTTTCCGTGTAAGAATGAAGATTGAAATAAAACACTTTAACGGTTTAAAACGCGAAATATATTACCGTGACCACGGCTGCTGCAATGCATTCGTAAAGTATTTAAACATTTGAAATAAGTTTATCTAATATATTTCGCGTTTTAAACGGTTAAAGTGTGTTGTTTAAATGTGTACTACCCGGGTAAACTATAGCCAGGATGAAGATCATTCTGTTAACGACAGAGGTTTGAACTTGATTCATTGATCGTAAAGAGAAGGGAATTGTTTAAAGTACTACACCAAGATACATGCTTTCGGTACATATACAGTACAGTAAATGTATTTTTTCCAATCTGAGAATGATTCGTTAGACATAGGTACATATATATGTCTGTTTCTTTCAGGTACTTCCAGCAGAGTCACTTAGTCGTCACCTAAAACCTCATCATCACTGCTTTTAAGGTATACTCAATATTATTAACAAGCTGTATCAGCGACTTCGTCCGCGTAAAATAGTTATTTTGGATATCCAAATTTGTTTTTGCAAACCTTCTCTTCATCTTTATAAATTTTAAGCTGTTACCGTTAAAGCTGTTAAAGTTAATCTCAAAAGATGTGTAGATGTCCTTTTAAGAGATAATTTAAAGATTAATCATTCTTTCGTACATATTTTTTGAACCGTTTGCGTAGCGTATGCACCGGAAACAAACACAAACACAAAGTTAAATAATTTTCCCCATTTTCACACATTTCCCGCTATTTCTTTACGCCCATAGCCGACCTCGATAAATGCCACAATGTAACCATCGCAAAAAAGATTTTTTCAATTCGACCCAGTAGTTCCTGAGATTAGCGTGTCCAAACAAACAAACTCTTCAGCTTTATGTATTAGTATAGATTTAAATAACAAATTCTTGCATGTAACACCGCGCGACGAAGATACATAATTTTATTGCAGTATTCTAGAAAATGCTTTTTAATGGAATTATCTAATAGAGAATAGATAATTCGCTAGATTAAGGTTATTTATGGTGTCAGGTTAGCCGCGAATAGAAGATTTAATATGAAGACCGTACGATTCTACGCAGTATAATGATCTATGGTAATTTAATAGACAAACCGGTTTTACGCATTAGTGTTTATACAAATAGGATTGTTACACCATAAACTTCGTCAAACGCTATAATAATCCAATAAATCATTAATTTAACATAAAATTAACTTTAATATATTATAAATCATCAGAGATATATCTTGACCACTTGTACTGTAGTACTTTGTCTGATATTCGGTTTAGATTTAGTTTTTTTTAGTTTAGAACATTTGAACGTAAAGCAAACTTTTTATATTTAAATAAAACACTTTAACAATTTAAAACGCGATATATTGTAGTTAATCTTATTTGAAATGTATTTTAACTACGGCCCGACATTTCGGATGCTTCGCAGCAGCCGTCGTCACGGGGAGACTATCAATCGAGAGATATATCGTGTATTAAACCGTTTAAAGTATTTTATTTACATATGTACTACTTGAATAAACTACAGACGGTATTTAACATTTTATATCTTTCGTAACTTGTAGATAAAGTTAAGCAATTTTTCTACTACTATTCACAACACGGCATGGACTTAATTGTTAGAGAATCGTTTATCCTCGCGTGACACCGCTTAGTAACCATTAGATGCGTAGTTTTAAATTAAAACAACAATTAAACTACTGCTTAAGTTAAAAAGTGGATCAGCTAGAAGTCACTTATTTATTTAAATAAAACACTTTAACGGTTTAAAACGCGATATACTAGTTAAACTTCTTTGAAAAAGATTTTTAACTTCGGTCCGACGTTTCGGATGCTTTGCAGCAGCCGTGGTCACGGGGTCACTTATTTATATTTATAATCATCATAAGCTAACATTTAAATGTCACTATGTTAGTAAGTAAACATCAAACGAATATCGGGTTGCGACTACGGCTTAAAGCATTTTTTGGTTAATCTTTAAGACCATTCGTACTCTTGAAAACTTTAATATTTTTCACATGATGGCACTATATAAATTAAAAATCAAAAATTAATTGAAAAAATATACGACTCGGGCAAGACTTGAACCGGCACTATCAGCGTTCCGTGCTGTTGCTCTAACCAATTGAGCTACAGAGTCGTAAATTGCGTGTATAAAGCAGTTTTTTTTTTCAATACACCCGTGAATTAGTATTTTCTGTATCGTCTTTAATAACTATAATGAACATATCATAAAATACAGACCATTACAATTAAATTTAGGGCAAGTTTACCGGACAATATGCAATCGCAAATTTTATGCACAACCTTTGGCATCGGTATCACTGTACAAATACATTTACTTAATTACGTAGCAACTTGATAATTTTCAACGAAATATAATATGCACTAATATTCAGGAATGTCAGAACTAACAGACGGCCAACAATAGCTGTCTTATATCCTTTGACGGAGTGAAAGCAACTGCTAAACACGACGAACTAACATTTCACAATCTGTCAGTCTGTCGGTCAAAGTCTCAAAAATCGCAATACAATTTTGCAAATTGTGTAATTATATTGCTTATATAAGGACAAATAATTAAAACAATAAATAAATATATATAAAAAAGTCAAAGCCCATTTCCCCCTCGTGGGGCATGGGGCGAACACATTTTAACATCTTTTAACAGGCGAGTAGTTGATCAGACTTCTGAGCCCTGCCCGACTGAAACAATTTAATGTTTCTCTGGGATTCGAAGCCATGACCTCTCACGCTTAACGCTAGGCAATACTTTTAACCATTTGGCTGCAGAGGCGGTCATATGATCAGCTTATATCAAATAAATAT